TCGGATGTAAAGCAACATGGCACAAATACGCACAACTGCAAAAGCAACAGTGGTATTATAAGCTTGCGATACAACATAATGACTAATGTTGTTTCATGTGAAGCCACAGAGGAAGCACCACCAACAAAAGAAAAAGAAGAAAAAAGCGCAACAAGGCAAACATCATGAATGCATTATCACAAGAAAGGAAGTAATAATATAAGCGTTCAAAGAAGTTATACATCATTGCAACCAGAAGAAAGAACATACTTACCGCATACCACAGCCACAGATAAACCAGAAGAGTATAAGCAATCACCGGAGACAGACCGGAGAACGAGCATGCACCAAAGACAGTAGACCGGGAGAGACCATTTTAGCAGCAGCAGCAGCAGCAGCAACAACACCAGCACCATAGACAAACTAAAGAACAAGCGCCATCAGCAGAGACCAGACAAAGACCAAAGAAGCTATTTACGACTTTTTACCACCACAGATAGACCAGAGAATATGCAATCACCAGAGATAGACCAGAGAACGAGCATACATCACAGATAGCAGACCAGAAAAGACCAGGCTAGCAGGAGCAAAGCCAGCAGCAAGACCATCAGCTAGACCATCAGCAAGCACCAGCTGCAAGACCATTAGCAACACCAGCAGCAATACCAGCACAGTAGAAAAACCGAAGAACAAGCGACACCAGAGACCAGACAGAGACTAAGGAAGCAACCTCCAGAGACAGAGACCAAAGAAGCGACTACCAGACATAATGACCAATGAAAAAGACAACAGAGATAGCAGAGAAGTAATGACAACATTACCCACTCAAACGAGCAAAAAATTATTAAAACCTAATAATCAAACTCAATTAATATTACTTCTACGCCTTCCAGTGCTCGTTATCGAATGGTATCTAATATATTCCACTTCAAAGAAGCAGTATCAAGTCGTTCCAACAGTACAATACAGCGTTATCAGAAGCTAGAGTGTTATTATCAATCAAACGGTTTCCAAAACCACCATGGTTTGATACTAAACGCGTTTTGCAAAAAGGAAAAAAAAGGGGGGTTTAGGAAAAATGAGAGGGCGCCTTATCCGACGTCACGACCAGTAGATTTGGTCTCAGTTTTCTGCCGCGGCAGCTGTATTTTCTAAACTTTAATCTTCAGTTGCGTAGTGGGTGTTTTCGTGTTCAAACTTGACCTGATTTGACATCCTTTGAACGTTTTTGCCAAATTTGACTATAAAAACTGTCGTTGTCACACCCAAATTTCTAATATAACTTTACAGAACAAAAGAAGCTGCATCGAATGGTGCTAAATACAATCAGCTTTATGACCGAAAATAGTGAGAGATTTGCAAAAATATGAAAGCAGGTTTTCTGTGAATATGTCAAAAGCTAGCATATACAAGTCTCATAGAAGCAGCTTCTAGTGTTGCGTTGCATCTTTACGATCAATTTGATCCGATATTTATCATAGAAAAAGTCGCCATTTTCGGGGTGAAAAACGCGATCGTTTGATTTTCAAGAATATTCCCTTGCTAGTACTCATGTAAAAACGACAATTTTCATGAATTTGCAATGACCCAAACAAATTTGAGATAAGGTATCAGTAAGTAAAACGTAACCAAGAAGAGACGTTTGGCCTTGTTCCGAGCGTCCACAACGCTTTGTAGCCTGAGTTATTCGTGCTTCAAAATGGCTAAGTTTGGACAGAATTTGGCCTAAAAATAAGGCGTAGTATGTTGTGCTCCCAAAGAAGTAAGTAAATTATAGTTCTTTCTAATGTCCCTGGTGTTCTTAATTGTACGGATCTCAATTCCTAAGTTATCTACGCTTTTATTCTAACTCTTCTGATGATCAGATTTGTTTGAGATGATGCTTGAATACAATGATTTTAAAACTTGAGCGTCAGTGATACTATGCAAATTTGAATCTTACGACTTGTTGCTCGGATTGACCAAGATGCTTATTGGGTTAACAGAACACTTTTAATGTTTGTCCACAACAGAGATGCCATATCTAGCAGCGAAATTAGACTTAAAGTCTATTCACAATGCTAAACACTCATATTTAAGGAGAAATGTCTGAAACCTGACAGGCTGAGTCGGTGTCAGCACGATGATTAGGAGGATCAAACAACGAAACCCTGTATCATAGTCGAGCGAGTAAAAAATCGTGATACCTACAAATCCTGTGATACAAGAGTCGACATCAACAAATTATAGTTAAATCAGGGTTGAGTAGTTTCAAGGAGCTATGTGGAATACATCCACTCTGACCAGTATTCCGACAGTTCATCCAGTTATCTGATTTAGATATAGACTATATGTGCACTGGATTAGATGTACGATACGGATTATACTATAAGAAGATATGAGCTTCAGATACGCTAGTACTATAAGATTCATACTATATAAAATATAGGCTTTAGATGGCACCACGGACATGGATGGCGCTATAGACTTATACATGTATTCCGACATTGACTACGGATGTTTACCATATCTGGATAGGCACCAAGATTAATGCAATAAGAGCTTGTTGCTTCAGATGTGCACTTCATGATCCACGCTATAAGACACATGCTTATATCCGTGATACTAGCTACAGATACTTCATGTACTACAGACTTGTACTATATATGAGGCATGCTATAGACATGCATACGATATGCTATAGACATGCCATATATTCAGATACGTACTAAAGATGTATGCTCAGCGATATACACTCAGATATGTACTATTGATATAGACTAAGAAGACTCTACCTATCGGATACATGCTACTAGATCGATATTAATTATCTTTATAGAAAGGATAGATCAGGGTACTTTGGATGAAAGTCTAATTATTCATCCAGGCAAAGCTAAATCATGATTAGCTTGCTGGAGTTGTCTTTTAGCATGATTAGACATTAGTTGATCTGAGTTGACTTATTTGTTAATCCAATTAATAGAACTTTTATCCATTGTTATAGTATATAAGAAGGATCATCTACCTGGCCAGTAGAGAGATACTTCAGTTTACTTTACGCCTGTCAGTTTGATAATAAAACATACCTTTATCAAGTTGACTTTACTGGTTTTTTTTTTCATTCTTTTTTTCCGTGAATTTTAGTCTATAAAGCGTCAAATTCTACAGGTTCCGCTGTAATGGTAAAGCGAAGTTGCGAAGCATCTGTATATTTGAATAGGATTAAGAAAACAACACAGAAATATCATAAAAATTTAGCTAGTTTGATAAGATACGTTTAATATACTATTAAATGCTCAAAAATCATACTGATACATGTTGACTATCAAGGCTGCAATGAGATGAAATGCTCTTGAAGCTCCTTGGTTTCAAATAGCTGAATGAGTCCTTTTATTCTCTTGCCAAACGGATCAAGTCAACACAGATTTATCATTTGCTTCCGCAACGCTGGTAGCAAGCTCAGATTTGACAGTTAAACACTGTTTAGGGATATGAATGGCAACATCTATTAGATTGCGTAAGAATCTTTAACATCTCCAAAGTGTAAATGCTCTGGATAAATGACGTGCCAAACCCTTATGACTGAACGGAACTGTCAACAGAATTACTTGATGACAGCGAGAATGAGCAATTGAGTCGCATGTTGCGTAGAGAGTTTCTGTTTACTTTTAATCTTTGCAGGCTTAAATTAACAAGCAATCAGGCAAAGCGTAATCATAACCTTATTGATTTTGCTGCTGCTGAATTTTGTTGGGATTTATAAATGAACTGATGGCAAACTGCTTCCTTCTGGATTTATTAGGCTGCTGATGGCATGGTATGGGAAATGAGTCTTATGCATCGCATGTTTGCAGAGTGAGATCTTTCATAGAGCCATAGAATAACAAACAGACACAATACACAGCATGATCGAGTGTCAGCAGCAGCATTTCGTCCAGAAAGTGGCCACCATCTTGCGTTACGATAGCTCCTTCTACCCTGTCAGTTACTCTTGATGCATCTGTGACAAACTCACTTGATAGTAGTAGTAGTAATAGCTTTGACTCGAGCAGTAGCACAGACGCCGCTAGTATCAGCAACGCAAATGTGGGTAGCGTCTCAAAAAGCATTGGCAGCCAAAGCATTACTTCCGATAGCAACGTAGAAACTTGCACAGGCATTGATTGCCCCAGCTCAGTGACCCTGTATGGAACCAGTATCTGCTCTTCAGGGGAAACCAACGGCAATTTTGTAGTTACCATGTGTGGACAGCGACCTTGCGGTAACGGTGAGCTACAGTTACCATCTGTTCAGATAATTCAGTCTGTTTAATTGAAGGCGGACTAAACTATACCATGTGCGGTACAGTCATCTGCCCAGAGCTTCTGTTATTTACTAGCACAGCACCATCTTGGTGGCACCATCACAATCATCATAATTGATCACACATCAGCTTTGAAAACAGTGCGCATCATCATTAGACACATGGAGATGGAATCTTCCCTTGGACTGACGGCACTAATATTGATTGGATTAACTGGGATGCGACGACCACAACCACATAAAAGAGCATCGTATTATACATCTATAAAATCATGCTTGATGATTTATACTATCGTCATTGGGGCAAATCTTATTTGTTAGTAACACGGTGCTACCAATTGAAACTGAACCAGTTAAAAGAGGCGGATGACCCTTGAACTTTCTATTTGTTTACAATTCGTGTAGATGTTATGAGTCTGTATCTCAATCTGATAAACATAATCATCAATCATCAATGGATCAAATGTATCATTTATTGTATATCGTTTGTTTTTTTTTACAACAATTTATAAATAAGCCTAAATGCGGATTGTCATTTAAATGCGATCGAAAATACACAAAATGCAGCCTTCATCCCTTTGATTGCAACTGCAAATTTTAAGATCTTGTTCATTTAAGGATCAGATAAAAAGAGTGTTTAGGGGGGTTAAACATGTGGGTTGCGCGCAGACTGAATCTGATAAAAACTTTTCCCTTCCTTGCTACACATCTCATCTCTTTTTCTTTAATCTATACATAATATGCCTATCAACATACCCAATCTCTTAGAAGGCAAAATACTAACAGGTGTGCTACCGCCCGAGAAACAGCCTCCCATACAGTACTTTCTGCCCCAGCACAATCAACCTGTATTAATTGACATTGAATCATGTATTGATGATCCCTCACTCGCTCCCTTGGGTAGCCATGTCAAGAAGCATGTGAGGAGAAAGAAATCACACAAGAATACTGGGCAAGTCTATCTAGAACCCAAGCAAAATCGACAAGATGTTACATCATCTACTGCAGGCATCGTTATGCTAAGAAGAAGAGGCATGGAAACCAACCAACTAGCACAAGAACTGGACAGTCTGTTGCTACCTTCATTGACGCCTTACCTCAAATCGAAGTTTTCGACCAACAATCAGTATACAACACTCGTCGAATTGGACATTTCTAGAAACAAATTAACTCGGTTACCCAGCCAAATTGGTCAATTGGAGCATCTACGTATATTGAATGCAACCTCGAATCAGCTCACGGAAATACCAAAAGAGTTGTTTGCTTTGAAGGACCTACAAGTCTTGACTCTGTCGCAAAACCAGATCACAGTTATACCCGAAGACATGCCCCGATTACTGCCACATCTTGTTACTTTTCGAATTGCTGCCAATGCCATCACCTCTTTGCCCAGCAGATTGGATTTTTGGATTCAAATGCGTCATTTGCAATTAGGCTCTGTTTATGGAGGCAACAGGCTAGTTCAATTACCCGACAGTATCACAGAAATGCCTGCCTTGGAGGAATTAGATGTGTCTTACAATCAGCTCCGCATGCTCCCACATGATCTCGAGTTGCAAACATTGCAAATATTGAATGTTTGCAGTAATCAACTGGATTTTATACCAAAATCAATTGCTCGCTGTTACCAACTCAAATCTTTGAATCTCTCAAAGAATCATCTTACAAGTCTACCTGCTGATTTGGTCAACCTCAGAAAGTTGGAACTATTGGATATCAGTGAAAATCTATTGTGCATCATGCCAGCCGAGATTCTGGAAAGGATGCAATCTGCAACACTGCTCATCACTGGCAATCCTCTCACAAGACCAGGCCATTGTGACCAAAGACAGTCGAGTCAAGACGCTTATGCTCGCATCCTCAAGCAAATGACGAGGCGCGGAGTTCCTCGTTCATCACCTGCTGTTTCCCCTTCTGTTTCCCATACAACAATTACACGAGAGCAATGTGGTCCAAGGGGTATGGGTTGCCTACCCACCAAGCCATTTTCATCAACATCCGCATCTTCATCATCGTCCTCTGTTTTGATCAATTCCTACTTTCCATTTGTACCAACCTCGTCATCACCATCTTCCTCGTCATCTTCTTTGTCCTCCTCCTCCTCCTCCTCCTCCTCAGCATCGCCACCCTCAATACCAATTGCTGTTTCTCCTCCTCAGCCTCCTTCACCAATACCTGCAAATCCCTCCGATGATCTCACTCATACCACTACACCGCCTTTTCATTTAGTACACCCCCATCAAGATGAAGATGCCTCCATTGACCAAGAACTATCCTACCATGCTCAGCAACTCAACATTGATGGCTCTCGGCCCATCATTCGACCACCCATCGCTGAACATCACTTGATTGGCACGTCTCGATCCACTATTGTGCAAGATTCTACAACGACGTCGTCACAATATGTGCTCGTTGATTTCCCTAGAGAATCACCGTTACCCACCGAAACAAAGCTTTTGCATTCGCTGCGAGAAATTGCAACAAGAACCATTCTGCGTCATGATATGGATGTACCGTTGGACTGGCTTCCACTGCATCTAGCTCAGGATATATCTGGTGGAAGAAACAAATGCCGCTCTTGTAGCTACTGCCAAGGCCCCTTTGTCAACGAATGGGTTACTTCTGTTCAGGTCAAGAGTTTTGGTGGCCATCCTGCTGTGGTGAGAAGAGTCAGATTTTGCTCGACGCAATGCTGGTTGCAATGTTTACCTAAAGAGCAATCCAAGTCTGTCATTTGTGTTCATCATCAGTAAAGCATTTGAATATATATATACCCCTTTTTTCCATTTCCACGCATAATTTATATCTGTTTATTCTAAATAAATCACTATCTATGACATGTAAAAAGTCAAATGCATGGACAATGAAGAGATTAACTATTTTTTTTTTTTTTTTTTTTTTTTTTTTTTTTTTTTTTTTACAAGGCATAGCGTTGCCAACCTTGATACTAGTAGGATGATCCGTTCGTATGATACCCAATAAAATACACTCCTTGAAAAGTGCTTCTGAAATGCATCAGAAAGTTTTTTGTGTTTATTTGTGATGATTGACACGCAAAAGTGAGATAAGCAACTTCAATTGGCACAACTCGCACACTCAAGAGATTCATAATGAAGGAGGCCTCTTATTAGTAATATCTCTCCTCAAATATTTTTTTTTAAAAGACTGTTCCTGGATTTACGTACAAGCATGCACAGAGAGAGTCTGCCTTGATCAGTGGGGAAAGCCGGATGTTACGAGACATAAATAGATTTAACAGGCTACTTGAAGGATTTATACGGGCATCTCATTGAATTTTGAGTTGATCCGCTGAAATCTATGAAAACATGAATGAAAAAAGATGTCTTGAGCCGTATGATCTATTAGTATACATTGGGAAACGGTGAAAGATTGAGAATTTTGTATACGTTGAAAGACTCACGTTTGCAGCGGTATTGCCCTGCACAGACTTTGATATTTTTGGAAGCGTTCTTAATGGTAAAGACATATGAGAACATTGTCTACAGGATGAGGCATTCTCTGGTAAGCTTGTGTTCTTTAAGCACCTGGCTCCGTAAGGCTCCCAGCGTTCTGAAAGCGAAAATCAAACGTATGTGATTCTTGGAATGCCGACAGAATGATTGATAGTATTTGGACGACTTCGATCTCATTAAAGACTAATGTATCAGCTCAAACTGTTTTCTACAACAATCAGAGAGCATATCTTATGTTGCAACCCATCTTAATGCTCTCCCTTATATATAGCCATATATTCATACTTTCGAATAATGGCCTCTACTACCTTGATTTGTGGATGATAGTCTATTGTCAGCTCTTGATGGCTACATTTTATCCTAGTCACAAGAAAGAGGGGGTCCTCCCCCGCCCTTGCATCTGAAGGAAAATTGGGTTTCCATGTCAAAATCTTTTTTTATTCACTTTTCATCAACACACAATCTATTTGAAAAATGCATCGTTTCAAGGCACAAGGTGTTAGTTCTCGTGTGTTTTCCAAACCACAATGGATGAACCCCAAAGAAAAGATTAACCATTGGAACATTGTTACCGGTGATAAGGTGGCCATCATTGCTGGTAAAGACAAGGACACTATTGGTGAAATCAAATCTGTAAACCGTTCCAACAATACCGTCATTGTTGAAGGAAAGAAGTTGGTGAGTGCTTGCATATGTGCTTAATTGGAAGTCGACTTTGCTGATACATAGAAATCCATAGGCCAAGAAGCATGTCCCAATGCAACCTGGTGCTCCTGAGGGTATCATGAGAAAGGAATTGCCTATCCATTATTCCAATGTCATGTTGCTCCACCCTGATACACAGTAAGTCCTTCTATTGCATCGTGTCTACAGCATCATCTCATACAGACCTCTGCAGAATGCCCACCCGTATCGACCGTCGCAAAACCACCAAAACGTTAGAAGATGGCCGTATTATTTCACGCTGGAGCAGATTTGTCAAGGGCACTGATATCGAGATCCCTAAGCCTGTCAGAAAATACAATGATCAAAGCACAGAAGAGAATTTCACAACTGCTGCAGATGATGCTATTGAGGTGACTTACAAGCCTGATTTCTCACAACCTCCCTTCCCTCAAGATCTTGTCAAGGAACTCAGAAACCCTTACAAGAAGAAGTTTGTCATGAATTTGACATCTACATCAGCAGCAACCGCAACAGAATCAACACCATCCATCAACAATACCGAAGCTTAATTCGCTTTTCACTCTCGAGAGAGCGAAAAGAGAAGAAACCGAACATGTGTACAGTTATTTTTATGAGTAATAAAAAGAGAAATAGATTTTTTCCTATATTCTACAGCCATTGAATATCAATTGATCAACAGATTGACATTCCAGATAGATATGAGAGTGTTGCATTTTCTTGAGACGACGAATAAAGGGTCGAAATGTGTGTGAGTGAAGGAGGGATTTGTATAGACGGATATCTGTGGTGGATCGCTGTTGCTGAAACAGAGCCAAGTGGTCCAGTTGTTGATCTGGATACTGCCTCAAGTCTGACAAGACGACTCGAGTGAGATTCAGATTGGGCAGGGCAAGGTCAAAGCTGTCTGATATGCATTTTCTGAGAAATACATGCGTTAGATTTGGACATGCGTTTGATAGGTATTGGAACACATCGCTGGTCTCGTAGATTTCCACTCGATCCATTCGCAGCGACTTCAAGCGTATGTGAGGCTGCAGTTGCTGCTGGTGTGTACGTGATGGGATTTGGCCGTTGTGCAGCTTTAAATGTGTTAAATAGGGGCACGATGTCAAGATGATGTCAATTGGGTATCCAGGATGGTTCTTTTGCTCATTGAACAGGGCGCCCGCTCTAGAAATAGCGTGCTTTTGTCGTGGGCCGCCAGCCCTGTCGATCAGTTCTAAATGAGTTAATTGGTGTAATTTAGACAAGAGAGAAAAATCAATCGACTTCTCGGAACTCCACAGAGGGATGCACAGATGGGAAATGCTGTTGATTGTCATTGAGTTGGTAGTGACACACTGTAAAGCACTGTGAGTGGATTCCACGCCATCTCCCCATAATCCCACTTGCAATTGATCCAAGTGCTTGTTCTTGTCGGACAAGCTGTGGATGGTCGTGTCACTGAGGTATAGCTTGGACATGCTGTGGTCGATCGCCAGTTTTTCGAGCAAAGGAAGCTTACCGATAAAGGCTGCCAAGGCTGGTTTTTCTGAATGTTCTAGTGCCAATTGTTGCGATTGTGGCCGAGGTATCTGATAGGGGGAAGATAAATGCAGTGTTAAATCCGTCAACACTGGGTATTTATAACCAAAGTAGTTGAGCCACTGATGAACGCCGTACTTGTCAATCTGAACATGCAAATGTAGTTTTTCCAGCCTTGTCGATTGTATGCTTTGCTGTCCACTATTATCGTCATGATTCAAGCTGCTGGGCTCCACCAAGCGCACCGAATCCACCAGCACCAGTCTCTTCAAGTGCGGTAATGATAGATGCAATGCTTCCATATCCTGCATTGAGAACGACATGATGTGCTTTGAATCAGCCAAGCCATCCGTATCCACGACCAGTTCCATTAGGCTTGGGGTCGATTGAAAAATGTCCAGGAACAAGCCTTTTTTATGCAATTGAAACATGTCTGATCCACGTAGATGCAAACTTGACATCAGCAGACCTCGTTTAGATTGAATAAAACTAAGCTGCCTTGGATGGTCCAGGGCTGGTAAGGTCAAAAGCCTATTTTTTGCTGCTATTTCTAGTTGTTGTGTGTTGAGGTATTGCCACAATCTCGAGTCAAACTGCACAGATTCCAGCAACGGCAGTTGTTCAAGCACTGTTGAAAGCTCTTTGGACGTAACACCAACCTCCATTGAATACAATGGCGTCGCACCGGTGACACAATCCACACTGTTTTGCTGTTGCTCCTGTGGGTCATTGTATTTTGCACCATAGTGGCCAAATTGGAGGGACCGTACCAGGCATTTATGCTGGCTACTCGTGTTGAGCCATGTCTTGAATTGAGGTCGATTTTTGAACTCAATGTGTCGATAAAGGGATCGACAAAATGGAGCGTACCAGCCTTTGCATACAAAAAGCCCTTGGTACTGGTCGTTGGATGGCAAATGGGATGCGATGATTTCAACAATCTCTGCTGGGAGGTCCATGATCTGGAATGAAAGCGAAAGAAAGAGAGAAGAAAGAAAAAAGAAACGTGAGGGAAAGATTGAAAAAAAAAAAGCTTTATTTATTATCCATTTTTCAATTGGTACTACTACACTATGGGATTTCCTCATCTTCAAGCTCTTCTCGGATCTTTGCCTTGAGACCTTCAATACAATGCAAAGCCTGATCGCTCTTCGCAATCAACTCGTTTTTATACTTGGTGCGCTTCGATGCCATGCTGTGTCTGGACAGCGGGTGTTTGAGATTCGTTTCAAAGTGGTTCAATAGCTCAGTAGAGCCCCTTAAATACGCTTCCATTGCCTCGACTTGTGTTTTGTGGTGACGGATGAAACCCTTAACATGACCAATAGTGAAATTATCGTATAGATCCTGTTGAGTTGCTGGTGTCAGTGGTGGTGGTGGTGGTGGTGGTTGCTGCTCATGCGTCTTGTGGATGTCGTTACTAATAATAGTTGGTGTGGTCGTAGTTGATTTGGAAACTGTTACTGTAGGCGGCTGCAAATGCGTATTGTGCAATAATAACCTTGGATCAGATTCACCCCTTAACTCCTTGACTCTACAGTGTTGATGAATGAATAAGCCTATGTAATTCCAGAATAATGGCATGTACTCTATTTACCTGTTTGCATATCTCAGTGTATTCAATGTATGATCGCTGTTGGACTGATTTGGCGATATTGTCGCAATCATGCATGTCTTTGAGTTGCCCACAAACGAGTCTCTAAGCACCATCGTCAGTTTACTACCACGAAATGATGCATGCCCTTTATCCTGGTCCAGAGCACGAATGCATTCCTTGAGTGCTAATAAGCTTCTATTAATTTCTGCTCCCTCCAACCTTGTTTTCGTGTCTGTGTTACGCCCTCGGTCAGATCCTCTTTCACTGCCTGCCAAATCGATAAAGTTCATTTTACCATGAATGGCTGAATTTCGATTTTTAAGTAGGATTTGCAAAACAGCATGCGAGCGAGATGAATTGTCATTTGTCTGCGTTTTAGAGGTGCTGCGTTCTCGGTTACCAAATTCAAACACTTGTTTAAGGGTGGATAAAGAATGAATTCGATGCTCCTTTAGTCCCGCAATCACAATATTGCCTTTGCCGTCTTCTCGAGGTATCAGTTTCTTGCGGTTGTTGAGTAGATCCAAAAGTTGTCCCTGATAGACTTCGTAATAACCAACCCATGTCTGCAATCCGGCGTAGTGATGGTCCTTGAGCAGCTCGAATATGTGATGAATCGCTTTAAAGTACAGTCCATGTTGAGGGTCCAGCATGGTGAACGTTTTACCAGACCCAGTCTGGCCGCTAATGAGGTATGTTAGGTGTGAACATTAGTGGTCTGGTTGCAGCAACTTACTAGGCAAAACAGGTTGCTTTTCCGCCTTGAAACATGTGCTCTACTAATGGAAGTGTTGTCTGCTGGTAGAGCTGTGTATACACATTAGCTCTCTGCAATACTGTTCATGAGGGCATATATATACTTACAGTCTGATGTGACGTATGACAATCAAACACATGGTCAAAGGTGAATGCATGTTGCACTGTATAATTAGTAAGATCCACTTTTTGTCTAACAAGTACTAGTTAGCTCGGCTATCATCCATCTGGATAACTGAATACACATACTTGGGTGCATGAATTTCAATTGTGTTTGAGCTGGTTAATTCAGTAACATCTGGTTGGTTTGTCGATACCTCGTATTTGTTTAATGGTCTTTTTCGAACGCACACTGTGATTTTGGAAGAGGATGTAGACGGTTTGATCTCGGTAAATGTCTGCATGCTAGTATAAGATAGAGTTGGTTTTGTGATGAGGGACGTGCGATTGGTTTTCGCAGCAGTAGGAGGAGGATGTGTGGGCCGTCTCTTAGATGATGATGTTAAATTTATAGGTGATTTGCTTGTATTTACAGATGGGTGTGAAGGTATATTGGACACTGTTGACTGCTGTTGTCTAGAAGCAGGTTGTGCTAGCTTTGCTCTCTTTCTCTTGGACTCTACGTATTCGTCCAAGGACATGTCATTGTTGTCTAGTTGTGTTCTAGCCGTCGTCATTAAAGTTAAGCGCTTTGGACTAGGTGAGCATCGCTTTCGAGTAAGTTTGCTATAACTGTATCTATTTGGGCTTGCCGGGATGTCGAAAGAGCTCTTTAGTACTGGCTTTCTTCGAGGTGAATACATGATATCAAAGGTTCCTTATTCAGCATCAAGTGTATCTACTCTAGTGCACAGAAAAAGGGGAAGCGAAAAAAGAGTGTAGAAAAGGAGTTTTTTACATTCCCTAAATAGGGATTGACTATTTCGAACGCACCACCGCGCGATGGGATTGACGCGATGTTGATTTGAAGGCCAATGAAAACTATCATATTCAAGATTGCAGTTACTTTTCATATTGAAGAAAGGCGTTATAATTACCTTACGCCGCACGACATCAATCCACATTGCGTGAATACTCACATTCAAAGACTCTATTGACTGTTGTCTTCTAGAAAGATCTCTGCAAACAAACATTTGAGGCCGATTGAAGTCATAATATGAAAATTGTCTTTGATTGTATGTAAATGTGCGAATGAGGTAGAAGCAAGGCATAAGAGAAATGACAAAAGCTTATGCGCAAAACAATACGAGACTACATAATTGAACACTTTAAAGGCCTCAATCCACAACGTACGCATGGATTCACCAAAAAGTTCTACTTCAGCCATACAAGTGTTCAAGCTAACATTGAGTAATGAACAAGGCTCAAAAAGGTCTTTGTTCACATTTACAAGCACGTACACAAGATTTTGAGTGAAGAAGAACAACAACAAGCCTGAAGTCATCTCAACGAGGATGCTCATATTCGACTTGACCCTCAAATAAGATTAGAGCTAGGTGTTAATGAAGATGGGCGCACTCGGAATCTGCCAACTGTCAACGAGACTGCAGCCATTATTCCCAATGAATATTTTGATACAAGTCTTGAAAGATATCTTCGCCTCATTTGAAAATAGCTTTTCAGTCAGTAGCAATAGTCTATTTTAAAGAAATCAATGGTACATGCATTCTGCCTACATGCCATCTTGAAATACTGCAAGTCATGATTAAGAAGCTGCGGTTACATATAGTTTGGCGGGGAGCCAGACTGAATGACGTTGTCAGATATGAAAATGTCCAACAAAAGCAAAATAAAGTACTCAGGCTAAGCGATAGCTCTTTCAGATTCACGATCCCCAGTTAATAAGCATCCCAGTCATCATTGTCATCATCAAAAAGCATCTTGGTTCATCCAGCAGAGCCAAAATACTTTAAACTCAGAATATTTTTTCCTGCTCAAAATTGGACAGAGTTTACCCTTTTTCGACTTCTTTAATCTATTTTGTTAGATTCGACTATAACTGTTGTAAAGAACAGCCCGTACTTCCTAATGCATTCTTGGTGTACTTTTCAAGGCGCTTCCAATGGTACTAATTGTAATAGGTGATTTGAATGAAACTATTGAGCAATTTTCCAGAACATGAAATGAGGTTATTCGCGAAAATAGCCAGATTTTGCATATGAAAACCTCATAAAAGTGGTTTCATTGGTTGCCTGGGATCGAGAGAAACGTTTTGAATTAATATATACCATAACGAAAGTCTTCGTTTTCAAGGTGTAAAACGCGATCGCTTAATTTTCGTAAAAAAAAAACATGAGGTACCCCTCATGCTTTTTGGTTGATTTTTGGCCACGTTTTTTTGGTCCCCAAAAAGTTGAGCAACGGTGTCAGGAAGCTACTACTACTCGAATAAAACAGTTTGGTGTCACTCCGGTGGCTCAGAAAGGTCTACATGTCAAGATATGAAGGCTTGAAAGCTGTCAAATTTAGCTGTGTTTCATACATTTGCTCGTTAATAGGCGCATTTTGCAAGTTATTGAACCAAATCAATGTGCATCTATGTTTGATAGCCATTAAAGCATACAAGAAACTTTTATATTGCATTGGACAATCAACGGTAATTGTATTCAACCTTGGTAAGGTTTTCAAGTGAGTGATGGAATCGTGTTATTAGGCATGATGCTTCGTGTCTTTGCTTGATTGACTTGGTATTGGCATGTTTTACTTACTATTGGCTTGATCTATATGTTTTTGGTTTAATGTATTAGATAAAAAAGTAGCTTGCTAGGCAGTCAAAAAAAAAGAGGTGCAGTTGAAAGGATAGTATAAATGTCAAAATTTCTCCACAAATTCTCTAACGGCTGGCAGATTCTCCAGTGTTTTAGCGAAGGCATTAGCTCTTGTTCCCCGTTCAATTTCTTTGTAAAGTACTCTTTGAGCTTCTTGATTCCACCTCTTGCATACAGATGAGTAGGTGGCAAAATCCCTGTTGGGCAAGTCAGTAAGGAGAGCGTACGTGATCAAAGATGCTTCTGAATATCACAGTAGAAAGACGGGATGCAGCAGACATTGTGGTTGATGTGTATTTTGATAGAAAGAAAGAGTTGAACGAACAAATTTTCGAACAATGCTTCAATACTTTGAATTGATGGTTTCTTTGTGTATATCTATAACAATAAATTGACATCCGTAGGCCTAGCAAACACGAACATCAATTGTAGGATCATTATCGTAACGAACACTCAAGGCTTTAGCCTGGCTATGATCAGTATGGCCCATAAAAACGAGGGTGTTAAATAGAAAGTACCATAAGATAGGGATAAAATCATTTTTAATCATACCAACCTCCCTTACGTTACTCTTGGTAGAGCTGATGGCATATCTATCCTTGACAGGCTCATCTTGCAAAAAGAACACGCAACCAAAAAGACAGGACAAGTGATTACAAATGACGGAACGAATGGATCCAAGCACAGAGTGGAAGGGCCTTTACTAAGCTTGCCTCATGCCGTTACAAATAGATCAAGGACATCTTTGGAAAATCAAAATAACCTATCCCCTTTCTCTGTGAGGTTGATGTTGTGCGACAGAGATCTCTTCTGTAAATCGGCGGTAGTATCTATTTTGTCCGTTTGATACAAAAGTTTCAGGCTGATTTCAATGCTACAATCCAACAGAAATGTCAAGAAAACCAGGCTCACAGCTCCAAGCGATGAACATGTTGAGTCTCGATGAAATTGGCAAGCGCTCCCCATAGAAGATGGCTTGATCTCTGATCGATGAACACAAAGCACACACAAGAACCCAAGGTGACGTATTTCCTGCGTTTCAAAAAAGCCAATCTCTTTGAAATAACCTGTTCCGCACACAGCAGCTATACGACGACACAAGATGTTCGAAACAAAACGAAAAAAAAAAAGTTCCCCTTGACACACTTTTTTTTCCTTTTCATCTTTTTCCTATTTTACTTTTATACTTATACCTTCTCGGCTATCCATCTTTTGCATTTGTATAAAAAGGTAAGCCAAGAACTGAACATCTGAGAGAGAAAGAACAAAAGCGGATATGCTGACTCTATCCTATTTCATCTCTCTTTCTTTTCAATCACTGTATCGCTAGAATTTAAAATGGTTCGTATGAAAAAACAGCGAGATAAAGCGTTCCCAGAGAAGCTTACGTTTTGTAAATCTCACATAGGCTGGAGCACTTGAAAACGCACAAAGAGATTTACCCAAGATTAGAGACCATGAACGCGAGTCAGATTTCGGTTCCATTTTCTCCGTATCTGGTCCTGGTATGACGCTTTGCTATTATGTAGTAAACCAAGATGTAGACATCTCATTTCACATTGCATCTTATAGTCGTCATCGCAGAGAACATGCGTGGTTCTTCCATGAACGAGTTGGTATAGTGCTGAACCTTGAGCGAGAAAAAGAAAATGAAGCAACTCATTATGTCATTGTCTATCTTTATCGTAGGTCCGTGTCGGTCATGAAGAACTCGTTGGTGAAGTTATCCGTATCGATGGTGACAAGACCACTATTCAAGTTTACGAAGAAACCGGTAAGTTTGCTCTAATTATCAGTTAGCGTTTCAGATGTACTCACGCTGAACTGTTTAGGTGGTTTGACTGTCGGTGATCCAGTCTTGAGATCTGGTGAACCTTTGTCTGTTGAACTTGGTCCTGGTATGTGACATGTCGCTCTATATATACGCGTTTGTTTCTGCCGTTTGCTCACTGATGTCTATATACCATGATCTATCTAGGTCTTATGTCCAACATCTATGACGGTATTCAGCGACCGCTCAAGGTAAAAAAAAAAAAGACACATAACGTGTAAACAAATAAATAACCATGCACACGCAATACTTACCGTTTACATGTTATATAGGCTATTCAAGAGGTCTCTCAAAGTATTTATATTCCCCGTGGTATTGCCACCCCTGCTTTGGATAAGGCCTTTGGTTGGGACTTTGAGCCTGTTAACTTTCAGGTACGATTCATGTAAAACAGGAAAAAAAAAGAGAGAGAAATGGGGATCTCATAACAGGATTTGACTTAGGTTGGCGATCATATTACTGGTGGCGACATCTATGGTAAAGTCTTTGAGAACTCTCTTGTCACTAATCACAGAATCATGTTGCCTCCCAAGTGTCGTGGTACCATCACTTACATTGCTCCCAAGGGTCAATACACGCTTGAAGATGTTGTTCTCGAAACTGAATTTGAAGGTGAAACTACCAAGCACACCATGAAACAACTCTGGCCTGTTCGTTCTCCTCGTCCTGTCGTCGAAAAATTGAATGCCAACCATCCTTTGTTGACTGGTCAACGTGTATTGGATTCTCTCTTCCCTTGTGTTCAAGGTGGTACTACCGCTATTCCTGGTGCTTTTGGTTGTGGTAAAACTGTCATTTCTCAATCTCTCTCCAAGTACTCCAACTCTGATATCATTATCTATGTCGGTTGTAAGTATGTTTCATCGAAAAACCCTGTTCATTGTTATTGATCTGTCATGTATACATTTAGGTGGTGAACGTGGTAATGAAATGGCTGAAGTATTGATGGATTTCCCTGAGCTCTCCATTGATGTTGAAGGCCGTAAGGAATCCATCATGAAGCGTACTACTTTGGTTGCCAACACTTCCAACATGCCTGTCGCTGCCCGTGAAGCTTCCATTTACACTGGTATCACTCTCTCTGAATACTTCCGTGATATGGGTATGAACGTTGCCATGATGGCTGATTCTACATCTCGTTGGGCCGAAGCTCTTCGTGAAATTTCTGGTCGTCTTGCTGAAATGCCTGCCGATTCCGGTTATCCTGCTTACCTTGGTGCTCGTCTTGCCTCTTTCTACGAACGTGCTGGTAGAGCTACTTGTCTTGGTAACCCCACCCGTGAAGGTTCCGTTACCGTTGTTGGTGCTGTATCCCCTCCAGGTGGTGATTTCTCTGATCCTGTCACTGCCTCCACTTTGAGTATTGCTCAAGTCTTCTGGGGCCTCGATAAGAAGCTTGCTCAACGTAAGCATTTCCCCTCTGTCAACTGGAACTTGTCCTACTCCAAATACATGAAGGTGCTCGAGCCTTACTATGAAAAGAACGATCCCGAGTATATCCATCTCCGTGATAAGTGTAAGGAAATTCTTCAAATGGAGGAGAATCTCTCTGAAATTGTGCAGTTGGTCGGTAAGTCTGGTCTGAACGAAACTGACAAGATCACCTTGGAAGTTGCCCAAATTATCAAGGATGACTTCCTTCAACAAAACGGTTACAGTAACTACGATCGTTACTGTCCCTTCTTCAAGACTACATGGATGTTGCGTAACATGATTGGTTTCTACGACTTTGCTACACATGCTGTTGAATCATCAAACAACCAAATTACCTGGAACAAGATCCGTGAATCAATGAGTGATATTATTTACAAGTTGTCTTCCATGAAGTTTGAAGACCCTGCTGACGATGAAGATGTTCTTGTTGAAAAGTATAGTGCTCTCTACAAGGAAATTGAAGCTAAATTCAATGATCTTGAAGCTTAAATGTAATTTTCCATCTCTTGTTTTCATCAAACCTATTCCTCTATCGTTCCATCTCTCTATCTCTCTTTTTTTTTGATCCCCATGAAATAAAATTAAAATAAATTACATTTTCTTTTTATTGTACAATCAATGTCAATGTTGCATTGGAGTACTCATATTACTAGAAAGACCGATGAGTATCTTTCACGAAATTAAAAACAGAGAGTTGGTATTCCAGCCCTAATAATTTTGTCTACTATCTAATAATAATTTTATAAATTAGAATTCCCATTTTTACAATAAATTTATGGAGTTTGCAACCAGGCTAAGGTATAACACTGTTGAATCCAACCCCTTTCTTCTCAAGAGCCTCCAACAGCATTGATCAAATGTGCAAATGGTAGGCATGGCACTGCCATTATTACCAGCCAAAACCCGTTTTAACTTCCGCTTGTCATCCTGTTCTGATTTGTCGAGTTTGGAGCTTTTTTGGACTCGATTCGACCTATCTTGACTGATTCGACTATAAAAATGTGATGGTCATCCAATGCTCCCTTAAGCTTTCTAAACGTACTTTTCAAGACGCATCTAATGGTGCTACTTATAAAAAGTGTTTTGAACAAGCCTATGGAGCAATTTCAGAAAACATGAAATGTCGTTTTTGCCCAAAGTGTCGAGATTCTATATAACAAGGTCGCACAAACAAAGTTTCAGGGGGGGTTCCTATGGATCGAGAGCAGTATCTTGGTTTAATACATGCCGTAGTAAAAGTCTTCATTTTTGCGGTCAAAAACGCGATTGTTTGATTTCCGTTGAAAGTCATGAGGTATCCCTCATGGCTTGAGGTCGATTTTTCAGTGGTATTTCTTTTGTCCCAAAAAAATTGAGCAAAGGTATTAGGAAGTTGCTGCCATATGAGAGTACTTGTTTGGCGCTATTCTGACAGTTCAAAATGGCTTCTAACACAAGACATCCCACCTTGAATGCATGCAAATTTCTGTGTGATTTGCATGGTGTTGAGTAGTAAGAGGTAACGCCCATATGTTATATTCCTGTATACAAGTTATTTCCATTGAAACAGACATGGAGCATTGTAGAAGAGTCAAATCCACAGCTATGGAGCGCTCCTACATGATAGCAGTAGGTTGACAAGTGAAATTGCAGTATGTATTACTAGGATTGAGCCGTTGATTTATTAGTTACTAAGAAAAAGATGTATGAAAATGTTTACACAGACAGCAATTACAAGTTTTGCCAGATCAGAGCTAAAGTATATCGTATGCTTTTGACATAGCTCTGAGCATCTCATACGCTAGCATGTAGGCAAACAAGCATTGAAGCGATCGCAAATGCCAAACTGCTTCCATATTTACGGGTAGCTCAAATTGTGTCCGTAGCACTGGTTTTATCAATCAGATCGTATCCAACTACGCACGATTAATCACTTGTCTTCTTTGGCTAGGACATGATTGGGCATAACACAGACCTGTCAGATCAGGAACTAGGTAATTTATTGCCTAGTACGCTGAAATTTCACATTTAATAAGCAATGTCGAATGATGGAGTTCTTTGATCCAAGCCTACCTTTATATAAACCATGCTGACTACATCTTCCAGACGAGCTATTTTGTTGCTGATTAATATGACAGCTGAATAATATAGTCTTGAGCGAAACCAACCTGCCTTGCTTGACCAATGAAGCTTCAGGAACACATCTCCTAATTTAGTAGCAATGGCTTCTTAAATGTGTCTCCTACTCTGCGGAAGGCGTTTTTTTGAGACAAAACTGCTGCAAAGCAATACAACCACCTGCTTACTCTGCGCAATGTCAATTGTGTTGCTTGCCAATTCTACAATAGTAATTCCTCAAACCAAATGGGGTTTAAGGGGTTTGATAATTGCTCGGAGATGTAAACAAATAGTGATGATGAAGGTTTGGGATACATGTAAATTTTCAATTTGAAGGATGTTCATTCCAACGTGCTAGATAGGGATTCCTGTTGTGATCTAATTGAAGCATTTGCCTCCCATCTTTTGATCTCTGTGTTTCTAATTCCGGTGATGAGAGGTCATGAATTCCTTCCAACAAACGTTTCAATATCCTCTCTTCCGACAGAGAGTAGTGTGTGGGATATACCAATGAAATGAGGCTTCTCAATACCCTACTCGTCACGTGCTTGGCCTCACAACCTTACACCATACATACGCTATATATATAAATTCCATGAAAGCCCTTTCAAGTTGATTTTTTCCCTTTTTCTCTCAATTTCACCTTTTTTTTTTCATTTGTCTCTTTTGCCCGAGATTGGTTTAGTAAGAAAAAATGGCCTCTGCCGCAAATATTCTCCAAAGACAATTCAAAGGTATTGCAAACAGTGAGAAAATGGACAGCGATATGGAAAGATTAACATTGAGATAGAGCTATCACGAAACCCTGTTCCAGGATTTGCAGTTGATTTGAAAGAGGACAACATCTTTGAATGGTAAGCATTTGGTACCTTCATACAAGCCAATCGAGTAAATAATCAAAGAAATGGAAAGGGATGTTGCACTTATTGGCTCACCAAAAACAATGTATGAAGGTGGTTACTTCAAGGTAAAATAGAAACGATGCAGCATTTGGAATATCAATCGAATGTAGCTAACATGTTGCATCTGGTATAGGCCACAATGACCTTTCCTGACGATTATCCTTTCAACCCTCCTACCTTTCGATTTAACAATCCGTTCTATCATCCCAATGGTAAGTAAATTGACACATCTCTCCCTCTCCTCAAGGCTCTTCCCCTTTGCTCCTGCTAATGAAAGTTTCATAGTGTATCCTGATGGAAGACTATGTATTTCTATTCTTCATCCACCTGGAGAAGACCATATGAGTGGAGAGAAAGCTGAGGTATGTGCACATTCACTCAAACTCCATGTTACCTGTATTGACGCTTTAAATGAACAGGAACGCTGGAACCCAACACAAGTAAGCAACGAAGGGCTCTACAAAACCCAATGATAGACATTAACGATTACATACATTGCGTTCTGGCTATAATTTTAGTCTGTAGAAAGTAAGTTTTGACAACTTTATGCAAGCACAAAATTTTTTAACCTGGTACAAACTATGTAGGTGTTCTTGTATCCATCATCTCGCTACTTGCTGACCCCAATTGCTCAAGTCCTGCCAATGTGGATGCCGGTGTAAGTTGTAATTATATGATACAGCAGCATGCGCTTGACTGATAGCGTTTGTCTCTAGGTCGCTTACAGAAAGAATCGGGAAGCATTTGATGCCATAGTAAAAAGTATGATTGCAATTTAAAAACAAACAAAATGACATCCCTTTATCCGTACTTATCAATCTCTCTCCCCCCCCCCCCTAATTTTTTGTTTCTCTCCTTAGAGCAAGTTGAAGACTCGAAAAAAGATATTCCCAACGGTTTTAAGATGCCCAAATCAGAACAAGATTTTATGTTAACAGCTCCACCAGAGATAGAAGAAGATGACAACTTGTAAGTGAGAGTGCCAAAGGGTTTGAATGGAGGTATTAATCCTGGTCTGTGCGTATCGCTTTCTAGCTGGTATGAGTCTGGTGATGAAAGCGATTTCGGTGTAGATGATGATGATTATGATGAGGATGAGGATGATGACTGAGGTGCTCTACGCTATATATATATATACTTTTTCAATAAAGATATTAGAATTACAGAAACTCTTAGTTATTGAATATACCTTTTATAGTTTAAGCGTACATTGATTTTCCTCCCTATTCGCCAAGTTTAGGCTGCTGTAGTAAGCCTGTGTGCCTTTGCCCTGCCCTGTCTACCTGCCTGTTGCCTGCTAGCATTCAAACTCCTGTGCATTTTTGTCTATAAAAATCCAGGATTCCATTTAGATGATCCACACTTCTGCTCTTCTTTCTTTTGATTCTACCATCTCAATTATGACAGATAAGAAACTAAACACTCCGTTCTACTTTGGCGGTCTTGCTTCCTGCTCAGCCGCCATCATTGTACATCCTCTTGATCTCACCAAAGTTCGATTACAAAATGCTAAAGGAAATCAAACGATCGGCATGTTGGGCACTGTAAAGAACATTATCCGTACAGAAGGACCATTGAAGCTGTATGCGGGCCTTTCAGCTTCGATCCTGAGACAAGCAACCTATTCAACAGCTCGACTAGGTGGATATGAAAAACTAAAGCAGCTGCTACTCCAAAGAGAGAAAAGTAAGCCCCCGTCCTGCACACCGTATACATCAATGATTAATATTCAAAATTAGATCCATCTACACTTCAATTGCTCATGTGTTCTACTGCTGCTGGTATTGCTGGAGGCATATGTGGTAATCCAGGCGATGTCATTAATGTTCGTATGCAAAACGATGGTCAGCTTCCAGCACATCTTAAAAGAAACTACAAGCATGCATTGGACGGATTACTAAGAATGGCCAAGGAAGAAGGCATCGCTTCGCTCTTTCGTGGAGTTGGACCCAACATCAACAGAGCCATTTTAATGACATCCTCTCAGTGTGTTTCATATGATCGCTTCAAGGCATTTTTTCAACAATACTTAAATGAAGGCATAGGGCTACATTTGCTATCTAGTACACTTGCAGTAATTATTTGTTTGTCTCTACATGAGATGTGAATGCATATTGATAAGTCTTGTATAATAGGGTCTAGTCGCTACAACAGCATGTTCCCCTGTTGATGTGATAAAAACTCGCATGATGTCTGCTACAGGCGCGGAAGGTAGATTATCCGCCTTAGGCGTTACTATGGCTATGTATCGATCTGAAGGTGTGCTCTCTTTCTTTAAAGGATGGACCCCTTCATTCATGAGAACAGGTCCACAAACCATTTTTACGTTTATATTTTTAGAGCAGTTTAAAAAATGGCATGCCATTTGGCATCAGAATAAGGAAAGTCGCATAATAGCAACTGTCAATCTCTGATAATTCCATTTTTCATGTATTTCAGGTTTACTCATCCATGGCTTATTGGCTTGATTCATTGAATAAATTTACAATGTGCAATTTTCATGTGTATGTAAAGCTTTTGCACTTTGATGAGTGTTCCGTGGAAACCTTCCACGTTTTCATTTTGATTACGATCCCAAACGTAATCAGAAACAATAGCCGTCGTAGGACAAATCAAAAAATGCGCTTATTCATTTGATAGGTCTATGCGATTTAAAGTTTTTTCCTTCATTGCTAAGGTTGTGCCACCATACACAGCCGTTGTCAAAGCAATAAATGCTTCCCAATAGAGAGGGATTAGCATTTACATTGTGCTTACGGACATAGGCCTATGCTGAAGTACAAAATCCCGGTTAATACTTCTGGCAAGCCGCCTATTAGTAGACAACCAATTAAGCCCTCTTTTTGCAAGATACAGTGCCTGAAACTGAAATTATGGAACCATTATTGCTTCATGCATGGCGAGCTTCAGTCAAACACCCACATTTCATCTCTTTAGCGCAAATGTATAGTTTGAATACCAAAAAAAATGCTTATCAGACAACACCTCACAGATAGCGACTGTAATTTATCAATGGATCAGTTCCGTTTTAAATCGCACATGCCCTCAAGAAATGCAATCAAGACAAAGGATACAATTGCTTTTAGAGAAAACATCAGCTCTTGAAACCTGTCTATGGTCAACAGTTATCACTAGCAAAGATAAAAAAAAAATAGAGAGATTATATACAGCAAAGGAAACATTACATAGAAAGAGGAGGGAAACTGATAAATCTTGGTTTAGCACGGGTTAAAAACATTCTTCATGCTCTTGTCATATTCTCTCATCGCCTCATCAGCTATTGCTTTGACATCGACAGCTGGCGTAACTCTATAGCTGTCAAGCTCGGGTCCTTTTGCTGATGAGGTCGATACTTCTAATAGGTGATAAGCGTTTGAATGAATACAGGTTATGTAATACGGAAAGCCAGTTGACTTAGCAACGGTGAATCTGACTCTTCTACAATGCTCCATGTCTGTTTCAATGGAAATAACTTGTATACAGGAATATAACATATGGGCGTTACCTCTTACTACTCAACACCATGCAAATCACACAGAAATTTGCATGCATTCAAGGTGGGATGTCTTGTGTTAGAAGCCATTTTGAACTGTCAGAATAGCGCCAAACAAGTACTCTCATATGGCAGCAACTTCCTAATACCTTTGCTCAATTTTTTTGGGACAAAAGAAATACCACTGAAAAATCGACCTCAAGCCATGAGGGATACCTCATGACTTTCAACGGAAATCAAACAATCGCGTTTTTGACCGCAAAAATGAAGACTTTTACTACGGCATGTATTAAACCAAGATACTGCTCTCGATCCATAGGAACCCCCCCTGAAACTTTGTTTGTGCGACCTTGTTATATAGAATCTCGACACTTTGGGCAAAAACGACATTTCATGTTTTCTGAAATTGCTCCATAGGCTTGTTCAAAACACTTTTTATAAGTAGCACCATTAGATGCGTCTTGAAAAGTACGTTTAGAAAGCTTAAGGGAGCATTGGATGACCATCACATTTTTATAGTCGAATCAGTCAAGATAGGTCGAATCGAGTCCAAAAAGCCCCAAACTCGACAAATCAGAACAGGATGACAAGCGGAGGTTAAAACGGGTTTTGGCTGGTAATAATGGCAGTGCCATGCCTACCATTTGCAAATTTGATCAATGCTGTTAGAAGCACATAATTAAGAGGGGCATGGTGAATCGAAAAGTGCTATGACTCATATTGCATAATTCCTTTTAATTTCTGCTACAAAACTCTATATTTTATTAATAAAATAGCAACTAGCCCATTCAAGTGCGAGTACGCAAGCTACTACTCTATTCAAATCCGTGTCCTAAGGACAAAGCTACATGCAATGTCTTGACCATGTATGGCATTTAAGTTTGTGTAATGCATGAATGTAAATCAATGGCAACCTTAATTTAGGTAAACATGATATCTGGTCAAGAAGAGAACGATCAAAGCGGGAATCCATTGTGCCTAACAATAAGAGACAATTCTTAATGCATTTTAAGTAGCACTGTATAATATGCAATATAGATCTATATTAAAAATTACTTTTTGGATACAAATAAATAGAAATCAATTTCTTTTTTCTTTCGTTTCGTCACTGTTTACTCTTTCGTCCATGTTTACTATTGCATTCGAGTAGGCAATTGTCTTGGATAAGGGATGTGTGTGTGTGTGGAAGGAAAGACGAGGGGAATGGGTGTGCGAATCAGATGTGTGTGAGAGAGGGGATGAATTTTGATATGAGCAAGAGAGCAAGAAAGAGAGAAAAGGTACATCATAAAAAAAATAACACTTTGAATATAAGGAGAGTATTTGTGGTAAGGTCATATAGATTATTGGCATAAACCGCATGATAATTTGCTCCAAAATCCAGGCTTTTTCGGGCGATATTGTTGCTCTTGTTGCTGATACTGTTGTTGCTGCTGCTGATTCTGCTGTTGTGAAGGTTCTTGCTGAATAGGGCGTTGAGATTGGTCTTTGGTACGAGTAGCATTTTGATCGACAATCTTTTTATTGGTGGTATGCTGGCGAGTACTACGTTTAGACAATGTCTGCCATCCCTTTCCACTGTTGAGCAACATCCAATCGTACACATCATCGTCTTGTTCGCCCACTTTTTCGATGGCTTTACTGAACAATCCACGCAAAAAGTCATAATCAGGGGTTTCTTCGAAACCTAATTTACGTACATACTGGAGGTATATACCAAATTCCTCTGTGAATGGCTCAAATTAGATGGTTTGCGTCGTATTTTCAAATACTTTTTGAAGTTTTACCTGGGTATCCATCACAGAGATCCTTGATGGCAGTGGTCTGTTTCTTTTCGCCAATCTTTTCATACTTTTGTTTGTTGGTGGCCGCTTTGAGGCCTTGCCAAGGCAAAGAACCTCTCAAAAAGTACATGAAAACATGGCCCAGGGATTCGAGATCATCACGACGAGATTGCTCTAATGAAAGGAATTAAATTATCCGACCTGATCGAGTAAACGAATAGGAATATTACATACCTCTTCCTAAATGAGTATTGATACTCATATAACGAGCGGTACCAGATAAACTCTTTCTTTCACGGTAAGGGATATGTTGCTTGGTTTTGGGATCTCTGTATAATTTGGCCATGCCAAAATCCACAATAAATATCTGATTCTCTGTCTCTGTGCCAGGCTTTCCAATCAAGAAATTGTCTGGTTTGATGTCTCTGTAGATAAGATTCTTTTCGTGGATTGTTTGAACTCTCGTCAACTAGACGATACAAATAATTAAGCAATCAACTCTTATCTTTCTATCTTCATCTCTTTACCATCTGTTTAGCGAGCATGGCTGTCGTTTTGACACTGAAACGTCTACCACAAGTGTCAAACATATCCTCGAGACTAGGGCCCAGTAAGTCAATGACCAAGATGTTGTGAAGTCCTTCCTGACCAAAGTAGTAGGCTGTGGGTATACCAGCTAGTATAACGTTAGTTGCACAATCTCTCTTTTTCTGTCATATTTCAAGCACTTACTGATTCCAGCTAGTGTCTTGTATGCTCTGTATTCATCTCGAAGCTACATGCTGCCTGTTAATAGCCATTTTCTCTGTTAATTGCTGCTTTATCTCACCTGAGGGGCATCTGATTTTCTAGGTTCAAACTTGATAGCGACGGGTTGGTTGTTGAGCAAATTGATGCCTTGTCATGAAGTGTTGGTACAAGCCGTATAACATGTCTCGTCTTTCTTTTTTTTTTTCTCTCTTTCTCTCTCTCTCTCACCTTCATAAATGATGCCAAAACTTCCTTCGCCAATTTTCTTGCCAACCTTGTAATGTACACCAACTACATTATGTGAATTGCCTGGACTAGCAGCTGCAGCAGATGAAGTAGGCATTTTTTTTTTACGGTTTATTGATTGATTAGAGAATTATTAGTATGTATCAAATGAATTCAATACGAAAAAAAATGCGGTGTTTGCTGGAAATGATGGTGTATGATATTAATATTGTATAGTTGATGTAGAATATTAGCGTAAAACGGAATATATATGTATATATAAGAAAAAGAAAGAGAATGGAAAGAGAGAAAAAAGAAAGGAAAAGAGGAAAAGAGGAGGAGAGAAAGGGAAAAATAAAATTGCACAACAAGGTAAACTTTCCTAAAGTAGAAGAGCCTCGGGGTTTATAGTAGTAGCTCACCATCATAACCATTAGGATTGCGTTGAGTCCATCTCCACATGTCTTGACACATATCATCCATTGAATAGGCAGGCACCCACCCAAGCTCTTTGTTGGCTAGTGAAGCATCTGCTGTACATGTACCAACGTCGCCAGGCCGTCTCTCTTCAATCTATACATTTTTTTTAGATATAGAACAGAGATTGTAAACATGTTTCAAATTACCTTGTAAGGGATCTTTTTATGTGTAGCTCTTTCCATAGCGTGGATAATTTCCAAGACAGAATATCCAGCACCTGTCCCTAAATTATATGCTTTACATCCAGGCTTTTCCTCCAATTTTTTCAATGCTGCAACATGCCCGGTAGCCAGGTCACAGACATGGATGTAGTCTCTAACGCCTGTACCGTCCACCGTATCGTAATCATTGCCGTACACATGAACAAAGGGCAAATGTCCTTGTAGCACTTTGACTACGTATGGCAATAAATTATTTGGTACACCATGAGGATGTTCTCCAATCATACCAGATACATGAGCACCCACTGGATTGAAATATCTAGAATGCCCATTTTCTCATTTAGAGGTAATGTACCTTAAAAAAAATGATTCTCACTTTACCTTAAAAGTACGACGTTCCATTCAGGATCAGATGCATAAAGATCTCGTAGTATTTCTTCTGCAAACAATTTGGTTTTCCCGTATGGATTTGTAACTGGTCCTAGTCTGGCTGTCTCGTTTACTGGCATCATTTCTGGCTCTCCATATACTGTGGCACTGGATGAAAACACCAGGTTCTTTATGTTGTGTCGCTTCATTGCTCGTAGTAGATTTAAGGTGCCAGTCAGGTTGTTATGATAGTATTCTAAAGGGATCCGAGTCGATTCACCTACAGCCTAATTTTGCATCCCATTAGATAACTGTCGACCACATGCAGATGAGGCCCACCCTCTCACCTTGATTGCAGCAAAATGAAGCACTGCCCAAAACTGATACTGCTGGAATACATCCTCTAGATCTGATTCATGTGTAACGTCTCCCTTCATAAAAACGATGGGTCTACCAGCCAGCTGTTCCACACGATATAATGCCTCTATTTATATTGGAAATTTGTGTGTGTAAATAAACAAATAACAGAAACTGATGTGCATGCTAAGCTTTATACCTTTGTTTGAATTGACCATATTATCCATCACCACAATATCGTATCCATTATTCAGCAATTCCAAACATGTATGGCTGCCAATGTATCCTGCACCGCCAGTTACCAGGATTCGCTTGTGAGGTGGCTGTACTTTCTTTTTCAACGAGGAACAGTCTGACGAGAGTCTTCTGCATGGTGTGAGAGGCCCATTCAAGTGATTCCAGGCATCGATCGTATGTCTTCTGCGGTGCAGCGTCTGTCTTTTGGAGGGTTTGAATCGGCTAGTGCGTTGTGAATTGGGTTCAAGCACTTTCAGTTGATCAACAACAACGTCTGTTGTACTTGCTTTACAAATTCTGGGCATGTGAGTTGAGTATGATGAAAAGGAGTGTAGAGGCGTTGCTGCAGAATGAAGTTTTCAGAGTATCTCGAGAGAGAGAGAAAATGAATATAAGGAAAAAGAGAGAAGATGAGAGAAGCTATGGATTGGATATTCAGAGCCAAAATGATTGAAAGGAAAAAGATTTTTTGAATAGCAGACAGCATCAATTAAACGTAATGAAATTCAAGGAACGATGTCACACTTGGCCTTTGTAAACACTTGGTCTATTTAGTTGGTTTTGTTTCACGAATACAGGATTTCGAGCGTTGCATAGATGGTATAAACAGACTTGAGCCGGTAAGCCATTATCCGATTCAAATCAAATATTGGACTGGGAAAACCAGTGCAGATCTTTGAAACATTTGCACTTCCGATCTGTCCATGTATCCTACCAGATTGTCAAGCCTTGCATGGTTTGCAAGCATTATGCTTCTTCTATACAATGATTTTACAGAGGTGCAAGAGATTTCAATGCCTTTCGCTTGACAGGAGAGCATATGCGTCTAAAATGAATTTGTTTCTCATCACATTGGAACTTGAATTGGCTTTCAATGGATGGACTCACATGTTGGGCGAGTATCTTTAGCAGCTAATTAATTTTAAAACAAATTTCTCGACCGATATGCTATTTTATATGCCTCAATAGCCACCCCACGGAGCGGCCCTGATTAGCATCCAAAGCATTAAGGTCATTTCTGCAAATCTGCCGAGATCAATCTGCGATGTTAACATTAGAATTTTGAGTAATGTAAACAATGTGGCATCATTTCTAGAATTTTTGATCGAAGCATATTAGCTACGATCTAAAATAACCGCTCAAATCTAAATATATTGGGCACATTCAGCATAAACCAAGAATGAGCCAGTGATTCTGTATGCTTCATCCACGAGGTATGCTCCGGTATTGCTGGTTTTCAAAGGTAATGAAACGCTTGAATCAAACAGAAACCTACTGCCCCTATCGCAATTATAACAGTGTCCAGTTGTCTTTTTGTGGGATCTCTTGATATTCCCTTCTTGACCTGCTCTCAAATCTTTTCTGGAAGTTACACGGATGCCTGGATCATGAATTTCCCAATGCCCAAAAAGCGTATTTTTGTCGGAGTGAGAATTCCACTGTGGGTAGGTTCGATATTTTGTGGGTTTTGCATTCTCTCTAGCCTAGTTTATTCTAAAAAAAAAAGAGCCATAACAGCTTTACAGACCATCTATTACTTATCTATCTAATTTTTAGCGTTAATAAGACGCTGGAGATGACTCAAAAGAGAAAATACAGTTAAATCCGTTCCTGAGCGGCGAATGAATTCATCGAGAATTGCGATCCTGGATGAGCAATTCACTGAAAACGATCGCAACTATGACGAGACATTTGTTATGATGGTTATTAAACTTTCTATTTAATTTCTGATTCCCCAAACATATCTGTGCTTTAGAGCAAGGGTTGGCCAAAGTCCACATCGGATGAAGCATCATCATCATCATCCTTACAATCACTTCAATCCACAGACCAACATCTGATTGTTTCTCTAAAAAATGAACAATCATTTTGGTAACCAAAATCTATTTTTTGCTCAGTTTATTTACGGCAGATCAATTTCAATGCTGTTACACACAATGTTTATTCCTCAATCAACGACCTCAGACAGCTTTACATTGTGCAACGATACACTAATCTTTTAGGCTGAAGTTTCGTCATGTAACCCAGGGATTTCTACAGAGTGGCACAGGTGTATCGCGAGTTAATTTACTTTGTGAATCACTTCAATTTATGTGAATTATTGTTATTGGTGAGCTTAATCGCTGGCAAACGATAAGAATCTTACAGCAAGCAATTGGACTACTTGAATCTAATCAGATAAAACAGGTTTATGACAAATAAACGCTACATATGTTGAGCTTTTGGTGATCAAAGTCAAGGTAAAATCTATAAATTGGCTGGATTTACCAAGGCAACGTCTTCCCCATATCCAAAGAAGAGATTTGCACATGTTATCTCAGCCATAAACTTCTCAATTGATGATTGTCAAATGCATTACATACCCACACGCTGGCACAGTCTATTATCAGTTCAAGAATCACAGCAATTATTAAATCTAGATGGCTATTTTTATACCATGAACTAGAACTTTTTGCTCAGCATCCTTCAATTGCCACGATAAAGAAAAGCCTCCATTTGTACTCATTTCACTCATAATACATGTTGTCCTTGCAAATTTTGAAATTGAATATCGTTTTGCATCAAGAATTAATAATTATTACATTTATTTTAATTTTGTTTGTCTATCGAATGATGGAGTAGATCATTGCAGAATCATATTAGAATCTTTGTTGTTGCTGAGGAGGAGGGCCTCTCAACATGGGAGAAGGAGCAACGGCATTCATGGGTGGAGGTGGTGGAGGTGCAGTCTTTTGAGGTGGAGGTGGAGCTTGGAATGGCTGTTGTTGTTGTTGTTGTTGATGATGAGGTGGTCCTTGGAACTGTTGATGGGCACTATAATAACCAGCGGTGGTGTTGGAAGAAGGAGGTGGAGGTGGACCGCCTAAACCTCTCATGGGAGGAGGAGGAGTAGCATTCATAGGTGGTGGTGGAGACACATATTGTTGCTGTTGTTGTTGTGGAGGTCCAGCAGCATAGGCTGCAGCAGGAGGAGCATTAGCAAAAGGGGTTGTTACTCTCTTTGCAGGTCCACCGGCAACTGGAGATGCCTTCTTCTTGTTCATCTTGGGGCTAGGAAGCATGGGAGGATCGTTCCAGGCACCAGCTGCCTTTGGTGGAGGTGGAGGTGGCGTACTCGAGTTGGAATGAGGCACTGGAACAACGGGTGATGTAAATTGAAGTTGGCCGTATTGTTGAGAAGGAGCATAAGCTTGAGCTTGTTGACCATATGCGTTGGTTGCAGCTGCAGGAAGAGCATAGTTGTTGTAGGCCATATTCGTAGCAGCAGCAGCAGCAGCAGCAGCAGCAGCAGCAGCAGCAGGTTGTTGGTTGTAATTTGGTTGACCATAAGGACTGTACTGCGTAGGAACAGGTGCAGGTACGACAGGTGCAACAGCAGCCACAGGTGCATAGTAGTTTGTGGGTTGTTGTGCTGCTGCAGGTGATGCAGATTTCACGGGTTGATAAGCATTGAATGGTTGCTGTTGCTTCTCGTACGGGTTTTGACGGACTGCATGCTGTTGCTGCTGGTATTGAGTTTCTTGCTCACTGGACAGCAGTTTCTTCTCGAAAGGGAATGATGGCTTGACGTATTGATTTGCTTGGCTAGCATTGGCATGATACACTCTATCGCGGACAACTGAACCTCTGCTGATGCTGGATTGATCAGCAGAAAACGTGGCAGGAGTGAGGCTGATGTATTTGAGCGCAACGTCAAGCTTGCCTTGGGTGGCCATGAATTCAGCATATTCACAGTACTTGGTGTAGAGATCGGCAAGGGCATATGAGCCAGTTTCTTGTTCAGTAAGGGCACTATCTTGGTAGTCAATAGCCTTGCGGAAAATGGTGACCTTTTCAATCAATGCTTGAAGACGAGCGCCATAGGTCACAGAGTTCTTGTCGTTGCTTTCCTGGCTCTCAAATTCATGGATCCAAATCTTGGAGACCTTTTCCAAATTACCAGCAGCGAGATAAAACAGATTAGCGTTCTTACGCAGCTCGACATCTTCCTGCTCGAAAAGACGATCACCCAACATTTGGCAGAGAGGGCCAAAGTCCTGGGATTGCGCAAATGTACACAGCACAACCAGAATAGACGACCATTCATGCACATCAGCGTCTCTTACAATGGAGTTCAAATCTTCTTCCATGATTCCCTCCAAGAGACGAAGGTAGGCGAACTTTTTGGATTGATGCTCAAAGTAAGTTTTTTGCGTGCGAGCCAGCAAATCACTTCCACCGCAGATGGCTAACAGTAAGGCATCAGAATATCGTTCAGAAGCAAGACACACATTGACAGCAGACTCGAAATCGCCAAGCACGATGGAGCGAGTGACCAGGCGATCCGTGTCGTTGCTGGCGTCTGGATAGAGAGTAAAAGGCCTGCTAACGACAGCTTCAATGAGAGCAGCAGCGGCGACTTGATCCGTTGGGTTCTCATCAACAGCAGCAGGGCTGGTCTGCTCAGATGCGACTTGACCAAAGAATGAGTCGTCAGGGCCATCAGCCTCGGATTGTCCAAAGAGTGTAGATGCAGTGTCATTTGGTGTGGAAATATCGTCAACAGCTGCAGCAGTGTTTGTCTTGGACTCTGCCTCCATATCGACCTTCTTATCCTCCTCCTTCTCGGTTGCCTTCTCAGTAGGTTCCTCCTTGGTAACATCGTCTTTAGCTTTAACAGCCTTCTTCTTTTCGAGCAGCTCATTTGCAGCAGCAGCTACTTGTTCCTTTTCGAATCCAAGATACTTTATCAATTGCTCGCGAGCATTTTCAGAGAATAAAGTCTTTAAAACTTCCCAATCCACTTGATCATTACCGGCTTGAATGCGTTCTTCAATTAAAGCTTCGATCGTACTTCCTGATGCTGTAGCAGATTCTAATTGTTCGGAACGCTTGACAATCTCGGGATCAGTTTCAATAGTGGAAATCTTGACAGTACGGGAGATGGGGTTGGCAGCTACAGCAGATTGGCCAGGAACAATGCTGGCAGTAACAGCAGCAGCGTGCCCCAGTTTGTTGTTAAATGTAACAAGCTTACCACTGAATCCAAATGAAGCACCAACTGGACGACGGAGCCATTTGGGAGGATTCTTGAGTTCGAAGGGCTTGACAGAAGGAGCAGCAGATAAGAGTGCGGCTTCGAATGGATCGTCAGAAACAGGTGCAGCAGCAGAGACTTGGTCGGTTTGAGTACCTTGAATAGACAACACGTCAATCTATGAAATAGTGTCAATATCTGCAATGTGGATCATGTCAAGCCCACTTACCGAGCCATCAAAAGAAGCAGTGGCCAACAAGTCAGGATTACGAGGACACCAGTCAGCAGCAAATGTCCATTTACTATGACTGGATAACTCGCCGTTCAGTTCGCCTGTATTAGGGTTCCAGCACAATGTCTTGCAATCCTTTCCGCTCGAGATTAATAAATCAGAATCTTGTCTACACCATGAAACGTCAAGCACGCCCTTGGAGTGACCTGCCAATGTCTTTTCAGGCGAGTGAGCATGACGAAGATCCCACAAGGAGATGATGGGATGTTGATCGTCGTCTGAAGCAGTGACAATTTGAGTAGCCTAAGCAACAGCGCTAATTCAGTAACACACATAGATCGCTCTCATAAGCACACAACTTACCACATCAGGATGCCATGCAATAGCAGACACAGGTCCTCTACCACCAGTCAAGGTATTTTGTCCTGCATAAGCAAGTGTCATTACTTCCTTTTTGTTACGAAGATCCCACACAACTGTGTAACCGTTGGTGGATGAAGTGGATAAAATGTGTTGTACTTGACAATTCCATGCAACACTGCTAATATCGTCCATCTTTGCAGAGCGAGCACCTGGTGTATAAGGTGTGCTGGGGTTATTCAAGTCCCAAATATACACCTTTTTGAGTACACAATTGAGTCATTTGTCCTTTTTCGTGTGTACACATGATGCTTGCTCACCTCACTATTGCTACCGGCCGAAGCCAATAAATTGTTTTGAAACAGGTTGAAATCAAGAGCCTTCAAAGTACCAGTATGAGTGGAGTTTTTGAAAATAGTGATATCTTCAGAGCTGTCAATGAGGTATTAGATTAAAAAAAAAAAAACACATACTGCCCCAGAGTATTACTCATACCTTTTGTTATCGAGGATAGCTGATGCATCATAAAGCTCAAGCTCTCCGTTTTCCATACCACCAGCAATGATGCCATGTGGTTTCTCGGTGGTAGCATGTCCCCAAGCTAATGTATTAAATCTATCACTCTGCTTGTTATGTGGTTGCCCTGTTTCTGAGATATCTAGACCTACCTTGAGCCAGTGCTCACTTTGTATGAGGTTTGATCAAGATGATTTGACTCGGGAAGAAGGTCCAATTTAAAGATCTCCAGTTCAGACGCGTTGGAGAAGGAGTCGTCCAAAGCACCGGCCAAAGTACCAGTGGCAATCATAGGCGCTTGATGTCCAGGACTCCAAGCAAATGTCGCAGTACGACGAACCGTGTTCAATTTTCTTGTCATATATATAAAAGAGTTGTACAAGAAAAGAGTGAATAAGCGAGAAAGAAATTTGGAATTTTCAATTTAAGCTTTCGCTATGTGTGTGTCAAACAGTGAGAGGGTTATTACAACGGACTTGAAAAAATAGGTTGGATTTGTAGATGTCTGTAGAGTTAATGGCAATCATCACTCGGCGACACCAAGCAGGAGCAGTGTGTGCTGAGCTTTAGTATTCCAAGACGCAATGAGCAATCAAGTATATTGAGATGAGTAGAACGCATGAAGATTCAGGGGTAACACCGTATCATCTGAAAAAACATCGCCCGTTAGAGATTGCTAGAGAATTGCTGTATGATCAGCCCTCGTAAAGAGCTCTGATGTTTGCAAAGCACCAAAGTTCTCTCCTAGGTAAGCTTGTATAGTGATTGTTAGTGCTACTCCTCCAAATTATGCCACTGCGCATTTGCTTTACTAGCCACATCCAATATCATCTTGATGTGATTTGCAAATGTTTTTTTTTTTTTTTTCTTCAATAGAGAGCCTCGGCACAAGGTTTCTTGCTTTTAGAATCCAAGTACGACTACATGAAAGCGTAGTAAAACTCGATTCATTATCATCTCATAGGAAATTATTGTATATGATTACAGTTTTTGATCTGCAATGTATACATTTCATTCATTTTCGGAGTGCCTTTCAATACGTCACCTAAGAAGCGTGTAGTGTAAGCAGTCTTTGTCTGTTTCTTTTGCCATCTTGGAAGTTTTTGCATTTTCCTTATTTTTCTCAGCACATATATTATATAAGCTTTTTGTCTTGCAAAGCGAAAAAAAAAGTGGTTATTTTCCTTTTGTTTCTCAAGAAAAACTAATTCATTTGTGCTCATTTGCAACATGGCTGGTAAGGGACGCAGACGACGGCAACTATAGCTTGGTGTTGATGAATGGGTTTGGATAGGAAACAACTCCAAAAAGACCACCGAAAGAAGAGATTCCTCTGTATATAAACAACAACAGCAACAACAGCGAAAGAACTCTGCAGGTAGGTCGAGGCTCTCTGAAAAAGAGAATGCAGATGGATTGAAATCATGGTCTAGGTGGAGCTGGAGCAAAGAAAGATACAGCAGTGCACCATCAGAGCAACACCAACACCAACAAAATCCTTAATCCAAAAGCGCAACAAGCAGCAGGCGCAGCTATTCTATCCGCTGTTACTTCACCACAACCCTCTGGGCTAGTCCAACCACAACAGCAATCAGTCGGCGCCAATGGATTCAACAGAGGAGAGCTTGTAGAGTTTTTAAATATGCGTAATGTGTATACATTGGATGAAAGCAAACGACATGGCATATTGAACACTTTGGATTGTAGGCTTTTCTGATGCATTGACGGCTTATCAAAATACCAATTTAGACCCCAAGATGAGACCTGAGAAATACGAAAGTGTTAAACCTACAACGACATCCGCTTGGGGCAAGAACAGCAATGGCGTTCCATCAGCTTGGGGTCAGCAGCAACCTCAACCACAATCGCAAGCGAAAGGTACGTCTTATTGGAAAGATTCGGATAGGGAGAAACGGTATGCTTATTTTATTTGGCATTGCGTTAGATTCAAATGGTGTTATGGCAAATGGGTTTGATTTCTTGAATGAATGGAATAAAAAGTTCTAAATCCATTCAAAATCTTTTGACACTCTTGATTTCTCAACAATATATTTGCCCTCTTTGTATTTTTGCGGTTCTTCTAGTGCTCTAAGGTACTTCCACCCAATCTTGACATGACATTGGGTACAGACGATGTCTGCCACTGTATGGATTCCAGTCAGCAGCATGCGCTCTTCTTTCGTGCCAATGGTGACATTAGAGACATGATTTACGAGATAGGCAGGGCCATTCTACGCTTGGTATGAGAGGGCATGCGGATCACATTTGCGTGCTGTTACTTACTCGGCCCTGAAAGTTTCTTGATATAATCGAGTCTTGATCTATTAAATGACAATGGCATGAATTACATGAGAATATGTGGTTGGATGTCAAATAATGTCTGTGTTTTCGCTTATTGCTATCCATCGTTCAAAATAAAAAGAAGGAAAGAAAGAAAGAAAGAAAGAAAGAAGAGAGGAAGAGAGAAGCGATAAAATCACAAGGACATCATACACTCATTGCCGTAGGTCACGTAATTTCAAGCTGAAATGAATACACACATTGAATTCATTAAAACAGCATAGATAACAATAGCAAATCAATGAAATGCAATGTACATGACTCTATCACCTGCTGCCTTTTTGTTTTGCATTATTGTTTTATTGACACTCAGTGTGCGTGAAATTTGAAATATTCATTGTTACCATGCAATTCATCTCTTGATCTGAAATTACACTCATAGTGGCTCCTATTTATCCGCTGTTGACAAGTGATTGAACAGGTCAAATGTTTGGCCCATCCGTATTTCTTGTGCATTGTGTTGCGCCATGTAAGCGGCAATCAATGTCCATGGGATTATATCCTTGTAGTAAGCACCAACAGCTGAAATGCCATGTCAATCGATCCTAAACAGCAAGCTTAGATTATTCACATGCAGTTTCCTTCGAGTCGCTGGTCGCTAGTACGTTGCTAGGCAACATGTTCAGTGACAGAGTCAAACGCTACTAGCTAGACAATCAAGTCCGAAGACATGGAGTCTCATTTGTTGCACAACTATGGAGAATTTTTTTTTATTCTTTCTTTTCCTCTCATAACAAAATCTTTCAGTCATGCTCTCTGCGCTCAGTACGTTGCGATACAGAAACCCACAATCAGCCTTCTGCTTGGTTCGCTCTTTATCGACAAGGGCTACACATTTGAAAGCAACGGCACGTATCCCAGTACTGACAACACCATGTTCTATTACACGCAGCAGTAGATCACTGCTCATGATGTCCAAACGTCCACAAGTGCATGACATAACCTCAGTACTCTCAGCAACCCAACAACAACGTCAAATCTCATTCTGGAATATACCGCTTTCACTCATGACAGCTTCACCTATCAAGCGACGTTTAACGTTGGCTGCATTGGGCGGTGCTGGTTTGGCGTTTACTATCATTTTGGGGCCATTTTTGTTGGTAGGCATTGGTGGCATTGCAGCAGTGATAGGATTCCGTTTATGGCGAGTGAAGAGGGGTCTACAGAATCAATTGCAGAATGCAGGACAACCATTACAAGACTGGCCCGACTTTTTGAATGCTTTCATGCAACAGCAAGGCATGGGAGGAGACGTATTCGGTAAAGACCAACGTCAAGTGGAAACAGAGGCTGTACGTCGTTTGGAATTATGGGCGCAATCGAGCAGAGGAAGAAACCAACTGATAGAAAACGGCATTCACCCAGAGAGAATCACTCAAAACGTATCCATGCGCGGATCATCATATGCTTCTACAAGCTCAAATGTCACTGGCACAACCACCGAAATTAAAATTGAGTTGGATCTGCGAAATTCACCTGGCACTCTGTTGATTGCATCGGCTCAGCTTGACAAGGAAGGTAACAATCTTACTATAAACGACATAAAATTGGTTACTGCTACAGGGCATGTATTATCAGTGCCATCATCCATCAATCAACAAGGTTCAAACGGCGGAAGAGTGATAGAAGGAGAGTTTTATGACGTTTGAATTTTCTAATGAGAAAAGAGTCTGGACCCAATGGTTTCGTAACTGTCAATTTTATTTTTAGTTTTTTCATTTTGGCTTCATTGTGCCACAAAGCTTAAATATACATAAAAGACAATGAAAGTTGGTTGATATGTAAAAGGAATATATATATATATATATATATTTGCGTTAATTTGTATTTTGATAGGAGTGAAAAGTGCATGTATAATGTATACAGATAATAGAAACAAATACAAAAGAAAAGGGGAAACGAATTAGTTTAGGAGAACGCGTGAAAAAAAAAAACATGGGAGTCAGTGTACAGCAGTATTTTTTTTTTTTTTTTTTTTTTGCCAGGAGAAAATAAGAGGGGAAAAAAAAAAACCTTTCTTCTAATTTACTTGCCAAATTAGCTTCAAGAGCGCATAACAGACGAACAAGTGGTTTAATTAAGACGAATGACCATGATACTCAAATTATCAGTGCTAAAGTTGGCAAGGGCATGATCTAACAATTTTTGACTAGCAACTTGGGGATCTTTAATATCCTTGATGAGGTCAACTGCATCTTGATCTTCGCAAACATCCCACAACTAATTTGGAAACGAGTTAATGACGCTGGATCAGCTCTGTAAGCTATTCATCTTACCCCATCGCAAGCCAGAATTAGGAAATCATCGTTGGGTCCTAGTTCAGTCTCGGTTGTAAAAGGATTTCCAACCACAAATTCCTTCATGACACTATCTCCCAATGATCGTGTCACAGCTAGGACGCCATTCACGCGATTATTCATCATAAATCCGCCAAGATCCATGATACGTTTTGCTTCTTGAGAATCTGAGCCTTTATGGTCGTATGAAAGCCGAACTGCTTTATTTTGACGACTAGAGTAAATAGTGAAAATGTGTCAATTGGTGTCAAAAAATGGAACATACGCAACATCAATGCATACCACAAAACTGCGCGCGCATCACCCACATTACCAGTGTATAGGATTCGCTAAAAAGATACATGAGTTATATACCTCTTCCCATGTGATAACTGACCCCCCCATCTCATGTAGCTTTACCTTGTCTTCGATCACTTTGACAAATGCAACAATGGCAGTGCAACCAGAAAATTTACCTTCACGTTGATTGACCTCACTATCGACAGCCAGAAAGGCTTTATTTAAAATTTCCGGCACTGTCTCTTCTTGAGTACTTGATTCAATGACTTTGGCTAGCACCTAATGTATCGTGGCGTACACAAGGTGAGTCTTTTTTTTTTCCTCCCATCAAGATGATTGCTCAGAAACTTACTCTATCAAAGTTGGCGCCGCACCATTCAGCAGTAGCTTTACCAGCATGGCCATCGAAAATAGCAAAAAAGCCTTGGCGAGGAACACCCATATAATCAAATATAAAAGTGTGAGCATCCTCCATGGTTCTGCGACAGCGCTTGTTGCGATCTTCACAGATACCCAACTCAAAGCCAGGTGCATTATGAGGAGTTTTGATATTGGTATCCGTCATTGTCGTGGTTCCTGTCTGTTGTTGCACTTGCTCCATTTTCAAAATGTATTAGATATTAAGAGATGTATATGTATTAGAATTTGTGCTTTTTGTGTATATGTATGGATTTAGAAAAGAAAAGAGGAAAAGTTATTTTTAGAAAGGGAAAGGGAAAAAGTCTTTTTTATTTACACATTCGGTTGTTCAAATGATCCACACATTTATATGGCAAAAAACACCAATTCATCAGAGAGCAGTTCATCTGCCCAATCAACCAAACGCTTGTCTGATGGTGTTTCGAGTCATCTAAACAGAAGTGGGTTGATTGATCCCAAGCATCTCTCAAAAAATAGGTGTCGTCATGAATTCAATGCAAAATGCATATGTACACAGCATGAGAGGATCGTCGAAAAGAAGGGTATGGTTTGCCATACCAACAAATCCCAAAATCCCTGCAGAATTTGGGGAACAAACACTAGTGGGGCTCAATTAGCTGGTTTCCTTACTCACTCGCCCTTTGCATTGTTAGGGGTTACAGTACCAGCTCCATATTGGCGATGTATCTCGAATGTAGCCAACCTGTTGTCTATACGACTCCATTGATGTTTGCTGTGGGTACTATATAATGCTTATTTGTCGGCTAAAGTCCCTCCTAATTTACTGCCGTCATTGCTTGCTTGCAAAAAGCTTATAAATACCCAAAATTACATTTCATTGTCAATAAATTATCTGGTAAACACTAACGGCTTCATGTAAATGTGCTACTAATTGCTAAAGGCCAGTTCAAAATGAGGAATTACTCATTTCCCCAGCACTACAATGAGCCAGAGAATTTTGGCTATTCATGCAAATGAAAGATAGTATCACGATCAGAGGCATAAAGAATGCGAAATTGTCTATTTATTCGAATTGGATCAATAGGCATTTCGCTCAAGTCGCTTTAAAATTCACGCCTTAGCTAAAGGATCATCCATGGCGATCTATTCATTACGGCAGTCAAGAAGGTAAATGTAGCCGATATCGCAGAGAGCTATTCGTGAGCCAGCAGCTGAGATGCAAAACTATACATGTAGGTTCTAGTCTTTCACTTTTGACGTTTTACTAATAGTAAGAACCGTCCATACTAGCTTTGCAACTGTTAATCTAACTTTTCCACGGTGCGCCACATCTGTATCAATGGGAACAATTCATATACAGGAAGGCATCACAGTTGCATAGCCTCTAATTGCTCTAATATATGCAAAACACAGCGAAATTTGGATGCATTCAAGCCATGTTTTCTCGCGCTAGAAGCTGTTTTAGACTGCCAGAATAGTACCAAGCAATTGCTCTCATCTGGCAGTTACTTTCTGACACCTTTGCTCAACTTTTTGGGGACCAAAAAAACATGGCCAAAACTTGACCGAAAAGCATGAGGTGCCCCTCATGGTTTTCATCGAAAATCAAACGGTCGCAATTTTGACCTTGATATCGAAGACTTTTACTATGGTATATATTGAATCAAAATGTTTCTATCGATCCAATGCAACCCCTAAAACCATCTCTGTGGGACCTTGATAGGTAAAATTTCGGCATTTTGGTCAGAAATCACTTTTCATATTTTCGTAGATTACTCAATAAGTTTATTCAAAACATCTATCTTACATGGCACCACTGGAAGCGCCTTAAAAAGCACTCCAGGAAAGCTTAAAGTTGCATAGGATGATTATCATATTTTACTTAGTCGAATCTGCAAAAATAGCTCGATTGAGTCGAAAGCCATTAAGATTTGGCCAATCTGGAACAAACTATGGATCTGGGGTTGAATTAGTTTTGGCTGGTGGAGCTAGTAGGCAATCTCAATGCCCTTTTCATAAGACAATACAGAAATAAAGGCCCTTGAAGCGTATGAAAAGTAGGTGGCAAGTCATAGCACTATTGCTCATCATGCTATTTTCTTGCATTCTATATTTAATAACGTTAGTCTGGACATTGATGATTCATGGGCTGCATAACATGTCTGCAGTAAATAGGGAAATCTCTGAGGCTTTGGGTCGTCGCTCAAAGAAAGCATTGACAGCATTGAGCAGAGGAAATAGAGCAGAAATAACAGTGGTTTTTGTTGATTGATTTTAAAATCATTAATCATATAGTAGCCAGGCCTGACAAATGCCTAGAGACTCAGTTTCCATATTAGGGCTATAAAAGTGTCTAAGGACTGAACAAGTATTATAATATGATACTAGATCAAAATGTTCGTATCGATCCAGGGCACCCCCTGAATACGTATTTGTGAGACAGTGATATGAAAAAACTAAACATTTTGGCCAAAACCGTTATTTTATATTTTTCATCATAGCTCAATAAGCTTGTTTAAAACATATATTATATTTAGTATCATTCGATGCACATTGAAAAGTACACCAAGGAAGCTTAGGGAAATAACAGAAGTTAAGCACTATTCAATTAGTCGAATATCAAAAAAAAAAAAAACAGATTGAGCAAGTCGATATTCAATCAAATTTAACAAATCGGACGAGAAATCATTGAGCGAAGATTTAATCCATTTTGGCTGGCAAAATCAGTGAATATAAAGGCTGTCTATGCTTTGAAGCTAACAGCATGAAGGGAATTGCTATTTGAAAAAGTGCACTGACTTGACCTGACTACTGAATTTCGACTCTGCCGTGCATTCTGAACGCCTGATAGGGTTAAGTATTGCAAATTGCTCATCCAAATGTGCACATGTTATACATTAGGCTACGCATTATACTTTATTTCGTCAAGTGAGGTTTTAGTTTTTGTAAGATATCAAACACGTTGCCCAACTGTTAAACAAAGAATTTAAAAATACTGAATGAATAACAAGAGCTCATTTTCTTGACAGAAAGCATATGTCCAATGAGTGAGAGCTATGCACTGCCAAAAGGGAGTTACAACAAAGCTCTATGGATCAGCTAGCAAAACCAGATTTAATGAGATAAATGGACTATGCCGCACAAGTACATCACTCTTATTTGTTCGTTTTTCATCCTTCTTTCTTTGGCCTGCCGTATACCAATTCTAAAATATCTATCGATAAATTTCCACTTGAATTTTTGCTGAATGTACTCAGCTCTACTGATTCTGCACAATATTTGGCACAATGCTGCTTGGTCTGCAAACAATGGGATCGCCCTGCCGAGAAAACCAAGCCTAAAGAACCTGTCATCCTCTCATTATTATCTGGAGCTAAAGCATTGCAGCAACATTTGACGAACAGGCCACTTATCGAGCCTTTGAACTTTGGTTTTGCCAGACACGGAAATGCCATGTCTATTTCGAGCTGCTTCATCATTGCCGCATTCTAGAAATATCTCTTTACCACCGACGTTTTCCCAGAAATAACTATTCCACATCTTTTCTAGCCAATCACGAACCATGCAAGCTCCAGCGACTGTACAAACATTCATTACGCCACGGGTGTGAGATCGTGTTCTAAAATGAGGTTAATGCTTGACATTATAAATCTTTCTACTTCTGATGGTGTGTTGTCAATAAATGCTAGTTTTTTTTTATGTGCACATGTAGTATCCTCACGTCAAATCAAAAAGCTATACAGAGTTTATGGCTGTACACTATAGCAATGTATGCCGCCTAAGCAGGTAGATTTATTTGATTTTCTGAAGCTTCTTGTTGGCAAACTTTAGTTTGGTTTGGGTTCTATCTACATCACCATCCAGCTCATCCAGTATTTGATTTTGTGTCTCCAACTCATGTCCAATGGATATGCCCAACTGCTTTTGTCTTGCAAGGATGGCACCAAATTGCTGTACTTGTTGATCTTGATCTCCCATGATCTGATTTTGATAGGCCAACAACCCTTCATTATCCAGGCCTCGAGTCGCCTCAGTTTCTTTTGCCATTTGCTTTTGTCTTTGTGCAGCAGCAGCACCAAAAGCTCTGCCTCCAAATCCCTTGGGTTTTTCTTTCATGACCTCTTTTTGTTGCTGAGGTGGATGCTGGGCAGGGAATCCATAGGCATTATCATCGTCTGTAGCACCATAAAATCCGCTTGTATTGTCGCCCAAGAGTGATTTGCGATCACCTACATTCTTCTGCTGATGTTGCTGTTTATTGCTCTGGGTATTGTTTGATTTGTAAAGCAGATCTTGATCCTGCTGTCTTCCAGTGCTGGCCAATTTCATCAAGGTATCTTTTTCATCTTTGAGTGTTGTTAACATGTCTTGTCTTCTGCGCAATTCCCCATCTGACATGCCGCCATCCATGGAGCCATTTGCTAATCCTACTAATCCAGCATCCAGATTTGAAAGACGACTTGATAGATTCATCAGCAGTTTCTTTGCTTGTACTGTACAATTATGCGAAGCGGAAATTTCATTTCTTGCCATGTGTGTTGACTTTTTGTTGATCAGAGAACGAATCTCTCGGGCTGTATCAGCCATGGTGGTATATTCATCAAGCCAACTTTCCGAAGTGTATGCAGTGCTTGCATCTAGTGCTCTTCCAGTGGGGATAGCCAAAAACTCCTTCCAAATATCCGTCAATCGCCAACGATCATCACGACTACTAAGTATACCTCGAAGATAATCTTCCAATCCTCGGCGACGTTCTTCGATCTTTTCTGGATCTGAGAAAGTAGATGGAAAATAGCGTTTAGGCGGTAACTTGGTTGGTGTAGGCTGTTTGGGGAAGATGCTATGGAACTGTGTGTCAAGTTTAAAAAATTCAGAGTATCGTTTCCAAACAACCCAGTTGCGAACTGCTGCATGCACTTCTACTTTATATACCACATGTGGTTTAGGTACGCTTCGTATTTCGGTTTCTCGAACAAAAATTGCTTGAATAACTTCTGTCATGCTTTGTAAATTAAGTAAAAAAAAAAAAAAAGAAGATAAAAAAAGTGGGATAAGATACAGCTCAAGGACTTTTAATAATAAACCCCCATTACAAGCCAGTTGCGTCAGACCTTCGCATTGCACAAGAAGAGCATAAACAGCAAAATCCGTTTTATATGCTACTAAGCTCTTTCAAAGATGTATATTACATTGCAAATCTCCCTTATTTGTTGCCCCTGTATTCCTTCTGTTGTACTTATGTATTTGAATTAATCTCCTAGATGCAAAATAGGGCTGTTCTGTAAGGATCAAATTGCTGATCTAAAGAATACACAACGCCCGCCTGAAGTACAAGCATCAGTCAGGCCTGCCATTAAGCTTAAGCGCATTTGAATGTTTGAGACGTAGATATTCATAACTTGTTGTGCTTGTCTTACCTCGTTGAGATGTGTCAAAATCTATATAGGCAGTAAACAATTGATAATTTGGTAAAAAAAAATTCATTCAAGTTCCTTAAAAAGACAAATTTTTATTCAAGGAGGCTTTGAGGATACTTGATCCCTAATTAAATGATGGAGGGAATCCGTTTTCAAGTAGTATTTCATTGCAAATTATGTATGATTTGACATGCTGCAGTTATTGATCTGCAGGTAACCCAGTTAATCCGCTACAATGCAACTTTAATTAGCAAAAATGCAGCAGGCCTTTAGTTTATAGAATAGGGCACGCTACTGAAGTTTCAAGTGTTGGCTTCAAATGACTAGGCCAGAAGTTACATGATAGCTCAAGGAAGTGATCGCTAGTCATTGTATCCAACAAAATAGGTTCCAATGAGAGGGCGGCCGTTAAAACGTCGATCAAGCCATTTTGACATCTTTTATAAAACTGAAAATAAAAACATGAGCGAGCCCATTTAAGCAGATATAAAAATCGTATACATAGACCCAATAGGTTGATTGTTATTTTCTAGCTCATTCAAAGTTGTCTGCTATAAATGTGGATGAGATACAAGGCTTTAAATCGAAGCCTGTCAAAACCGGAGTTTGAAATTAATGAATAGCTACGATGATACCATCACTTGCTTATCATCTTCAGGCATCATCTTATAATTACGCCACGCAATAGCAAAGTAAAAGCTGCATCATCTTTATATGTGTGCAAGCAGGTGTTGCATACCTCATTTATGTATTCATGCCTGAAAACGTTTTCGGGTACACCAGCACCCCGTGTCGGCTCAGCATCACATTTATAGTTACAACGTTTGATTGGGAAATGCTTCAACATGCAGTGGTCATTTACAAGATGATTGGGTCATAGGGAGACGAACAACCATTGGATTATATTGAAGTGTTCAAAGGTCACAAGAGTATGAAATGACGAAATAGTTGCGAGGAAGATAAAAAGGAAGTTTTGTGAGAAACCTTTTTCTCCCAAATGGTTCAGTCTACGTTTTACGAAATATAACCGAATGCAGCGATCGATCGATTTTGTTAATACATTTCATCATAGAAAGAGTATATTACATATGCCTGAGAGAATTTGATATTCTGTATCATTGGTCTCTTTTTTTTTTTTTGCTAATGTTTGTCTATTTACTATTGTCGCTGTAAAGCCCTTTCCTTTTGGCCTTTTGTTAAATTCTAAATGGAGTACATATTTGGGACATGAAAAAAAGTATGACTCACCTTGGCATGCGAAAATGGAAAAAAAGGAAAGAGACAATCAATACGTAGTTTCAAATGATTGGGTACACAACCAAATGAGCAATGTAACAATGTGTATGTATAAATAAGGGGGGGCTAGTTGTTTGATTTTATCTTGAATAGGGAGGTAACATCTGGTTGAGCAAGAGGTTCAAATTCTCTTTCTTTTAGTCTCCATGTTTTGGCCCCCCTTTCTATACAAGCTATTTCCTTTCCATTTTTCTTTTTGTTTTAAAACGAAAATTTTTTTCCATCATATTTTTGATTATCCGAATGAATGTACTAAATTACTTTGTGTATTTGAGGATACATTTAGTAATTTGGTTATTTATACTGACTAAAATGCTTTCGAAAACAAACACACACTGTTGTCTTCATGCGTAGATGGAACAGGAACAGGAACAAAAGAAGGGAAAGGATAATTAAAAGGCCTTGTTTTATTTATAAATGAGAGCACAAGAGAGAAAGAGAAAATAGATAGGGAGAAACGAATTGTTAAATAGGGGTTAAAAGAACAAACGAGATGCTACCCGAATTCGGATGTTTTTGGTTCAATTTCCGAGCTCATAAGCCACAAATTGAAAAACTATAAATACTTGCTCTTAATTTTCATAAAAACCAAGAAAAAAAAAATTACTTACCTTTTCTTCTCTCCAAATCACAATGTCTGGCTTCAATATTGCTACCCCTTCAATGACAACTCCTGCTACTATGCAGACACCCTCTATGCAGACACCATCTATCCCTACACCTCATCACAATTCAACTCCATTCGCATTACCAACAACACCTGCGCCATTGGATGCTGCCACACCCAGCAGAGATGCCAACCCTTATTCAGTAGCTGGTATCACACCCACATTACAGTAAGTGCATGTTTTAATTTTTTTTTTTTTTTTTTTTTTTTTTACCTTTTCTTGATCTATACCCAAACGTTATCGTCAAATGTACATACATTGCACATGTCATTTCAATTTTTGTCTTTCTCTCCTTACAATTCGATATTATCAATAAACAATCAACCCAAACTACCTAATAATCTCAACATTGGATCAAAAAACTTGCAACTGTTACCATCCTCTCTCTACCTCTGTTTTTATTGCTACTATTTTAAATTTACTGTGTTTGTATGCTGCTACCTTCAATACTCAGTTGTGGATCAGGTATCTTCATCTTAATGTTGTCTCTCACATGCGTGGATCTTGGATTTGTAAGAGGGAAGATGCACAGCAGAAATTGAAATGACTTGTGTTGGATAACCTTTGGGTGTATAGCTGGGATCATCCATCAAGCACTGTTGTATTAACCTCTTATATTCCCTACAGAAACATTGTTGCCACTGTCAACTTGGATTGTCGTTTGGATCTCAAGACCATTGCACTTCATGCTCGTAATGCTGAATACAATCCAAAGGTATCTATTTTACACTAAGATTTGGTTCGATCCAATTCTTAATTTGAAATGTTGTGTAGCGTTTCGCAGCTGTTATTATGCGTATTCGTGATCCCAAAACTACTGCTTTGATCTTTGCTTCTGGTAAGATGGTCGTTACTGGTGCCAAATCTGAAGATGATTCAAAATTGGCTGCTCGTAAATACGCTCGTATCATCCAGAAGTTGGGATTCCAAGCAAAGTTTACTGATTTCAAAATTCAAAATATTGTTGGTTCGTGTGATGTTAAATTTCCCATTCGTTTGGAAGGTTTAGCATACTCTCATGGCCACTTTAGTTCTGTAAGTAATTTTTATGTTACTATTTCGATCCACATACTTATGCTATGGACAGTACGAACCTGAATTGTTCCCTGGTCTCATCTATCGTATGGTCAAGCCCAAGATTGTTTTATTGATCTTTGTATCTGGTAAAATTGTCTTGACTGGCGCCAAAGTACGTGAAGAGATCTACCAGGCTTTCCAAGCTATATATCCTGTACTTACCGAGTTCAGAAAGCCATAATGTCAAAGAAAAAATTACAAAAATTATATTACATGTAAAAATAGTTAATCAACAAATTACAAACCATCAACACACACACACACACACACACACACACACACATCTGTACCATATATATTCCCCCCCTCACAACCCAATTTTCTTTTTTATAAATAAAGTAGAAGAGTTAAACCTGTAAATGATGAATATTTCTTTATTTGTATCGTTTTGTAGCACAACTAGCGCTTTAGCCCAATGAAAATTTTTCAGAAAATCACTCTTTTTGTATAAAAAGATCATAAACAAGATCTTTTGGTTTGTTTTTCTTCTACATATTTTTTGATCTTACTACAGGACAAAAATAAACCCTTTTTTTTTTCTTTTGCTCTTTTTTTTTTTGTAAAAAAAACCTGATATTACTATGAGTGATACTATTGATATTCACTCTTCTCCTGAGCTTGCAAAGGATGAAGTTGTAACAAAAAAGAGCTGGAAGACCTACTTTGCTTTCGTCAAAGATCGCAATTTTTGGAAAGTTCTTCTTTTGGGCCAATGTAAGTGAACCGCCGCCCAACATTTAATATATGAATCTCATGTTGTTTTTCAGTACTTTCTCTTTGTATTACTGGTACCAATGTCGTAACCACCATCCTAAGCACTCAGTATAACTTTGCTGCACCTACTACCCAAACATTCTTGGTCTATGCTTGTTTAGCTATTGTTTACAATTCCTATGCTTTGTATAAAAGAGGTTTGAAGGGCTGGTTATTGCAATTTTGGAGACGAGGCATTTATTGTAAGTGGGAGGGTAGGGCCATTTAGCTAATATAGCAACTAATCATCTATACAGATTTTGTCTTGGGCTTCATCGATGTTGAAGGCAACTATTTTGTTGTGAAATCTTACCAATACACCTCTCTCTTGTCTGCCATGTTGCTGGATTGTTGGAGCACACCTGTCTGTATGATCTTGTCCTTCTTCTTCTTGAAGGTGAGATATCGTTGGGTCCAATATCTCGGTGTCTTTATTGCTCTTTGTGGTCTAGGCATGTTGGTTGCCAGTGATGTGATCACTGATAAGAACTATGGTGCTGCAGATGCTGTTAAAGGCGATCTCTTTTGTATTCTGGGTGCCACCTTGTACGGTTTATCCAATGTAGGTGAAGAACTCATGGCTCGCAAGCATCCCTTGTACGAAGTCATTGGCATGTTCACCTTCTTTGCCACGTTTATCAACCTTGTCCAAATCTTTATCTTTGAACGTGAGGAATGGGCCAACTTTGCTGATACCAAGGTTTCTGGTATGGTCGTCACCTATACCATTTGTATGTTTGTTCTCTACTCCCTTGCTCCCGTCATGTTCCGTCTTGGTAGTGCTGTCCTTTACAATCTCTCTATCTTGACCAGTGATTTCTATGGTTTGATCTTTGGTTTGGGCCTCTTTGGCTACTCTGTTACCGTTATGTACCCCTTTGCCTATGTTGTCATTATCATTGGTATTGGCATCTATCACATCTTCCCAGCTCCTGTCCCTGGCATTGGTACTTTCACAGATGAGATTGCCGAGAAAGAGTTGAAGGAATTGCATGGTATCCAACATGAAGATGATGTTGAACGTCAAGGCACTCATGTCACTGATGAAGTTATTCCAAACTTGACCACCGAAGCTAAAAACTAGGCTCTTTTATATTTTATCATTTTACACTTAGGGAACTGTCATTTGTATTTTTACTTTTTTAATTTACTATTTAATGTACTAATTATAATGGTGTTGCCCTTCTTTACGTCTTTTGCACACTGTAAATAAAAAGACGTTTCCTAACCCTTTACAGCAGAATTTTGTTCTAGTCATGATAGATGGTTACAGAAGCTTCTGATTCATTTGATGTCTGGTATTGATATCCAGCTTCCAACGACATGTGCATTTCTTTTGTGAAAGTTAAAGGAAAGCGTTGATCATCCTTATACTCTACAGGTAACCACACAACTGAAAAGGCCTCTCCCTTTGTGTAAACATCAATTTCGATCCTTGTGGATCATGATATAATGTTTTATATCCCAAACCAACAGTTGTGCAGAAATCAACGTACAGATACCATATACTTGAATTGATACAATGCTTGGGATTACTGTGAAAAGGACACGGTCGCAGCAATTGAAAACGAACCCTATTTCATAAGAACGAGTTGCAGAGCGTATCCTAATTTCTTATTGCGTTGTTGTACATCATTGTATATATCGGCTCCAGAGAGTTTTTCCAGTTACGGACACGGCATGGAAATAGTATTGGGTATGAGTAGAGTGATTCAACGAGCAGGTCTTTATTATCCCACATTGAGCATTGATCAGCGTATCCACTTAGAGCTTGCTTCCACTTCCAATAATCACTCCATTGGCTAGTGCGGTTTACTATAGCTTTCTTTTTTTTTTTTTTTTTTTTTTGACAGCTCAATTTGAAAGTAGAAATTAATGCACTTTCGACTATCAGAATCATACAAAATTAGCACCATTCGATAGTTAAGGTCTATAAGTTTTTTGGCACGAATTTTTTCAACTCTACTCATTGAATTGATGCCTCTGCAGCTTCTCAAAATTAAACCTTTTGTTATAAACACGTTTAAAAAGTGAGGCTGCCAAGCTGCGTTTAAATACACAATTGTTGATTAATGGATATCATTTACCACAGCTCTCACAAGTTGGTGGTATACAAATTTACTTGGTGGGTTATGTGCTTTGGTTGCCAACTGAAAGAAAGCAGGTCATTTATTCACACGCCCTTCGTCACTTGCATAAGTAATCTGATCCTTGCGCAAATCTCACCTACACCGCACACAGTTGTAAGCCATCTAAATCAATGCCAACCTTGAATGCAATAACTCACTTGCTTCTTTGGCATTTTCTGCCTCCAAATCATATGTTTTGAAATCTCGTTCCTTGAGGATCGCAATTTTAAAGTTGGTCGGCACCTTTTTGCTTTGCTTGCAGGATCGAACAGCGCTTGCGTGAAAAGATGTCTACGAATCAATGTTTTAATTCATGCAACATGTTGTCCGAGTTGGCTACACTTACAGTTTTCACAGAATCCCACATGCCTTTATGCTCTGGTGGCATGAGATGAATATAATCACCATCAATGGCCAGAATATAAACTCGTTTACTCACAAACATGGGCATCTTTCGACTAACATTGTATTTCTTGTACTGGGAGAATAAACCTTCATTGGCATTGGCTGCCGATGGACCTGCTGTTGGGCTTTCCGTCGTTGAGAAATACATTGGGTGATTGACCTCATCCTTTTTGCGCTTGATGGGCGACCTCCAGAGATGTGTAGCTAAGAGTAATTTCAGTAAGTGTTCTGAGCAGATGGTCTAAAACACAAGGGATCAACTTACAACTAGCAGGAACTGATAAAGCGGTGTTTTTCTTTGTAAATGTTAGATCCGTGATACCCTTCAAGCTCTCGACAGTAGTGTCATTCTGCACAATGATATTCGAATCTCCAATCGTCAGCATATACTGATTGGGATCCAGTTTTCTCTTTCTCGACACGAGTTCCAGAACATCGCCGATAAACATGTCCGCATAAACCGGAATAGAGGTGGTGGCAGATACTTCATCACTGGTCATCAATTTGATCTTGAAATCCTTCAGTGGTTTCATTGGCATGGTAGCTTTTGTCAATTTTGCCTTGGACGAAGGCACAGGCACCGCTACAGTGGAAGCATCGGGTTCCTGATGTTGTTGCTGTTGCATTAAATGCGTTGTATAGGTTTGTGCCACACTTTCATCCGATGTCATGTTAGCGTAGGGTGGTGACATTTCGAAATGAACAGCGTCATTGTTATCAGTAGATTGTGCTTGCGGATGGTGATGATCCTCCGAATGCCGTTGTTGTGCGTTTGCTGTAAGGACAGAGGGCGATGTCATTGCGGCCTTTTTCTTTCTCAATGTCTCTAGATCCGGCTTGCTTCTTCCCATCCTTGCACGATCAATGTCATTTTGTTTCGCTTGTGATGGTGTTGCACGACAGAGGGCAAACTGGTCAAACGACACACGTCCTATATTGCGAGTACGATCGATCGCAGGTAAATCGTCTTCAATCTCTCCATCGTCCTCGGCAATCAGCAAAACCCATTCCGCTAAATCGTACGCTGCTTCATCCAATTCAGGCTCACGCTTTTGTTCAACATAATCATACAAAATGTACCCAATAACATCGTCTGTAATAGCGTCTGGTCGTACCACCAAATATACCGGTGTGTAAGGTTGATTGGAAGTAGGTAAATAGACGCATAGTTTGATGGATTTGGACTCGCCTTTGCCAGAGACAAACGAGTATTCAGTAAATGGGTTTTCAGCTGCTGTCGCCTTCTCTGCAATCAATGCTGAAAGAGCAGAGGAGGACTTTGCTTTTGATGTGAGTGCAAGATTCTTTTTGGTATATTCGAGAGGAGGTGCAGGAGGTATGTTAACGGTTGGTTTGATAGTGGTTGCGCTGGAAGGCAGTGGTTCCTCATTTGTCGAATTTGTCTCGTTTACATCAGTCACTGTATGTGGTGTCAGTGCTGTGAATGCAGGATGCGCATTATCGTCTATCGAGGATCGTGGAGAGGGATCAATGGCTGAATCAACAGAAGGGTGGAGCGATGTATTTGGAAATGATCGATGCACTACTGCTGTTGAGGGCCCAGCAGATGAAGATGCAGTGTTTTTCGACACTGATCCTGCTGTACCCATGGTCAATGGGCCAGCAGCAGCAGCTACTGGTGATATCAAATCATGGTGAACGGGTTTCCTACTGATACCAATGAATTAATCTCGAATAATCCTTTGCATTACTAGAAAAAGTTACCCAGAGTTGGAAGACATTGATTGTTTATCCACTTCAATATCATCGTCCTCACTATCTGTTGTAGATTCTTGTACTCTACTGCCCATGGTATGACCTGCAACCATAGCAGCAGCAGCAGTAGTAGTGAGAGCACCATTACCAGCACCACCAACGCCTGATGCCATGTATTGATTGTATCTTATGTTGGGAATATTAGTCACTGGTTTCCGCTGTCTATAGTTTCGTTTTGTTGTACGAGGGCTGCTTGTGATGTTCGTCGCTGTAGCATGGCCTTCATTGTTGAGAAATGTATCGTAGACTGGAGAATAACAGTACTGCATTTCAGGATAAACCGGTGCAGCTAAACGAACATAATCGTCAGACATGACCGTTGGTGGAAACGAGATGATGCGTTCGCCACGTTCATCCATTCTGAGGAACTTGATGCGACTGATGTGGATTAAGTACAGTGGGTCATTAATGAGTGACATGGTGTGGTGGTATATTTATGCGTACAAGAAATTGGTGGAAAAAGAAAGAGAGGAGGAAGAGACATCATGTGTCTAATATGGATTCAAGAGGAGTGATGGAAGGGCACACAAAAGTCACGCTATATGTGATATTGGACATGATTTGTGTGTAATAAAGCACATGTTGGCATGGAAACAAATTTTGACATAACCTCAAGTCAAGATAGCAAGACGTTGATTCATCATTGAACAAAAAACTCATCAGAGTATGTATGCGGCTGTTGTTAAACGTTGGCAAAGGCGCCATCGCCAAAAGCTTGATGTCGACCTGTTAATGCAAGCTTCGCTTATCTCGTTTGCTGTACTGGAATGGTCATCCGGCAAATGTTGTCAGTAATCCAGTATAATAGTGCCTTATCAGCCTTTTATGCTTTAGTTTATCTATTATCTATCCATTCTCCAATGTCAAACATAAACCATTTACCGAGAAAGACACTTCTCGCCTTGTTTGATTTCGTCGCTGATCAAGGCCAACTAGCTTAATACAGACTTGTGTGTAAATCCTGGTGTAATCCTGCAGAAAAACGTATGCTAGGCCAACAAAATACCCTTAAACTTAACAAGACGCTATTTCGTCTCTATGACCTTGTTTGATCATCCGCACAAAAATGCCTTGGTCAATCATTTGCATTTTAATGCCCTTGTTCCTGATTTCTCCATCATGTTCAATGAGCTTAGGTGCCAGGCCATGACGCCAAATATTGTAGATATAACAGACTTTGTGGAATTGCATACATTTTACATCACGATGGTTGAGATTGTAGCAAATCAATAGGAAAAATCCACCAAACTGAAGAGCATGACAAACCCGAAAAGCGTGTTCCTAGAGTATCTGTAGTTGATGCATCGATTTACCAATACGCTACAAACCGTGGTTCTCAGTTGAGCAAATCTGATAGACCCTGACATCCCAGCCTACATTTTTCATTTCGTGCGCTCCAAAAAGCTCGCTTCTCTTAATTTACAAGGAAACGCAACAAGCATTAAACACCCTATGATGGTCGTCAACCGTCTCGCTCATTTTCAAGTACTGGCCACCCGCTCTTGTATGCCTAAAGAATCTATTACTCTGGGTTAATGTTACTAAGCTTGAAGCTCATGTTCACTTAGTAAAGTCCTGAGGTACAGCCCTTTGAAAATCCAGTATCCTGATTATTTTCCGTCATTACTCATTGGCATCGTTCTCAATAACCCCAAATCAAATATTTCCTATTCAAAAAAACAGCCCTCTACAACTTTTATTACACATAAATTTCACATTCATGTAGTAATATAAAAAGTTTTACTAATAGCATCTATTCAAAATCAACCATTTTCAAATCTCACATTTCTCAACAAATATGCTATTTACGCAAATTTCAATTGCACCATCGTTTAAAGGGCAAAAAACTGGTATAAGAACATGCTAGTCTCATGGCTCTAGTATCAATTTTTCAAAAATCAATTTTCGATCGTCCTGTAATGAAATAGCCACCCAAACGCAACTTAATTGAAAACCAAAGTTCACCAAATAGCACTCATTCAAATTCATGCTATTTGGATCTATTAATGAAAGCGCTCAAATGTACATCAAAAACCCATTTAAAAATACTAAAGTAAAGATACACGCTTATATCGCACATCGTGTGAATGAATCACTCCTGATCACAGTGTATTCAATCACACCCATGATGGTCGTAATAAGTGATGGTATCTTTATCCAAAAAGAATCAAATCAATAACAAGCATATTCAAATATGACAACTATGCCCTGCTGCCATAGTTGCACAATATCCCAGATAAAGGATTCCATACTTCAATAACAAACATCACACTTTAAACCATCAAGGTTACATTAAATCATGCTATGACAATAGCTCACCCAAGCCCATCAAGGTTACTCAAATCGACCCTTATGGCCAGTGCTCCTGCATTGATTACCACTTTAAATCAAACATCAACAACGTTTGCCAGATATCGCAATAGCAGAACCTATTGTTCCCTATCATCACTAATCCTACAAGCTAGTTGCAAATGTATAAATACTCTTCTTTTTTTTTTACTCAATTCCAGGATCTTCAGTTCATTTTATACACAAATAAAATACAGTTGATTTCTATTGTATTTTACTATTGCTTTATTTTTTTTGTGAAATCTATTCAAACCTGATTTCACTGCAGTTCCCACTTAAAAGTTGCTTCAATATCATTATTCTACAACGTATTTTAGGCAGTGCTTTAATTAATTATTGCTGTGCCAGAAGGGCTACAACTGTCTATAAAGATTAAGGTATTCTTGATGGGTAGATATGTCTGTGTTGTGCAACAACATGGACAAGCTATGATAATTGAAGTGCATCTCAGATATCTAAATACTGAGGTTCACCAGATGTGATAAGCGTTGTACAAGATAAATTGCTACTTTGGCATTCATAACTTAGTATAAATAGAATAACTCTTGTCTTTATCAATAAATCTTTAGTTTTTGTGTCTGATCTTATTCAAATAAGTCTTTTCTTGTTTTTATAATATCGAACATTTTTCATAAGCTACAAAGAATAAAAGGATTATTATTTGTACTTAACAATTATTCGCTTAATGACACAACCTATTACGTCCTCTTTTCAGGTCGAATTTTGTTCAAAGATAGCTATTTTCAAGCACGAATAACTTGATGTATCATTTCTAAACCGGATCTCCAAATACGTAGGAACAATCAGTTCAAGGACAGATCACATCAGATCATAAACGTTGACATGAAACAGGATTCAGTTAGGATCCGAATCATGGCATGTTGAGAATAATAGATTCAATCTATTATCCTATCACCCAAATCAACCCATCTGATACCTTATCCTCACATCAAATCCCTCAATTCGAATCGTATATAAACCCTTGTATTTCTAATGTAATAAACGATATTCTTTACCTGATTAATTTCATACTCTTTTATATAAATAATTTATTTCTAATAAATTATAACTCATGCTACAAGGCGTTGTGGACGCTTGGAATAGCAACAAATGGCTCACCTTTGATACGCCTTACTTACTGATGCTTTATCGCAGTTTTTTTTGGGTCATTCCAAATTCATGAAAATCACCGTTTTTCCATGAGTATTAGCAAGGAAAAATTCTTGAAAATTAAACGATCGCGTTTTTCACCCCAAATATGAAAACTTTTCCTATGATACATATTAGACCAAATTGATCGTAAAGATGGAATGCAGCACTAGATACTCTTTCTATGAGACTTTCATATACTGAATGTTGACATATTTACAGAAAACCTGGTTTCGTATTTTTGCAAATTGCTCATTATTTTCGGTTTGAGAGCTAAATGTAATCAGCATCATTCGATGTGCCTTCATTGACTCTTTATAAGTGCATTAGAAAGTAAAGTATTACAACGACAGTTTTCATAATCAAATTTAGCAAAAACATTTAAAGAATGTGAGATCAAGTCAAATTTGAACACGAAAATACCCACTGTACAATTTCAAATTAAAGTGCAGCAGTTACGGCTGACACCACGGCAGAAGGCTGAGAGCAAATCTACTGGCCGTGACGTCGAGTAGGGCGTTCTCTCATTTTACATGCACTCGTTTTTTTTATCCCTTTTGCAAAACGCGTTTAGTATCAAACCATATTGGTTTTGGAACCCTTTTGGTTGAAAATAACACTCTAGCTTCTGATAACACGGTCATGTACTGTTAAAAGTGCTTGACACTGCTTCTTTCAAGTAGGATATAGTAGGTACCATTCGATAACGAGCACTGAAAGACGTAGAATTAGTACTAATCGAATTTGTTTATTAGGTTTTGATAATTTTTTTGCCTGTTTGACGTGGGTGCTGATATCCTTGCTTCTCTGCTATCTCTGTTGTCTAATTCATTGGTCATTATGTCTGGTAATTGCTTCTTTGGTCCCTGTCTCTGGCGGTTGCTTCCTTAGTCTCTGTCAGGTCTCTGGTGTCGCTCGTTCTTTGGTTTTTCTACCGTGCTGACATTGCTGCTGGTGTTGCTAATGGTGCTTGCTGCTGGTATTTGCTGATGGTCTTTCTGATGGTCTTGCTGGTGGTATTGCTGTTGGTCTTGCTGATGGTCTTGCTAATGGTCTTGCTAATGGTCTTGCTGATGGTCTTTCTGATGGTCTTGCTGGTGGTATTGCTGTTGGTCTTGCTGATGGTCTTGCTAATGGTCTTGCTGCTGCTGTTAATCTGGTCTTTTCTGGTCTGCTATCTGTGATGTATGCTCGTTCTCTCGTCTATCTCTGGTGATTGCATATCCTCTGGCGTACCTGTGGTGGTGATAAGTGGTAAGTAATTTCTTTGGTCTTTGTCTGCTCTCTGCTGATGGCGCTCGTTCTTTAGGTTTTCTATGGCGCTGGTGTTGCTGCTGCTGCTGCTGCTTATATGGTCTTTCCCGGTCTACTATATTTGGTGCATGCTCGTTCTCTGGTCTGTCTCCGGTGTTTGCCTATACTCTTTTGGCCAACAATCTGTGGCTGTGGTAAGTGGTAAGTATCTTCTTTCTTCTGGTCGCAATGATATATAACTTCTTTGAACGCTTATATTTTTGCTTCCTTTCTCGTGATAATGCATTCATGATGTTTGCCTTGTTGCGCTTTTTTCTTCTTTTTTCTTTTGTTGGTAGTGCTTCCTCTGTAGCTTTACATGAAACAATATTAGTCATTATGTTGTATCGCAAACTTATAATACCACTGTTGCTTTTGCAGTTGTGCGTATTTGTGCCGTGTTGCTTTACATCCGACTATTACTACCATGCGCGTTGCTCATGTGTGCATTTTTCTTGCAACAGCAACGAGCTTTTTTTTTTAACATCTTTGATGTTGTGTTTGTTATGCTTTTCTTTGACTTGCTTCGTGTGAGCATTTCTTTTCTTTTTTTTTTACCTACATACTACTATACTCTTATACTATTATGTTCTTTTCTTCTTTCTTTTATTAGTATTATGTTTCTTTGAAGCATACCTTTTTTACGTTGTGTGGATGTGCCTATCGCTGAAGCTCAACAAGACTTTATCCGACACCAGGAGGTAGATAGGCTGCCTCCACTTGGTCATCGCTACTTACTTTAGTGATGATTGAGGGTCTCAATGCCTGAATTTAAAGCTAGGTGGTGTAAGTAAGGCATGCTCTTCTAGCACCTGAGGGAAGTTTGATGATAGTTACAGCTATATTGCTATATATAGCGGAGCTTAAAATTTTGCCTCACATCAAAACAGGGGGAAACCCTCGCAAAATTTTTTTAGGTCAGCGGAGTTTTCAAGCAATTTGATTGGCTGAGAGGTTGAAACAGAAACGGTCTACAACTATATGATTTTGGTTTGGTTTGTCATATAATATGGCGTTGTCCTTTGTAATAATAAAAGCTTAATAAAATGGAAATACAAGTGTATAAGTACACCTGTAATGTTCTTCAGGATGGACATTGTTTATGTCACAATGAAAACAATTTAGTAAAAAAATAACATTTGAGTTTGTGAACAATACCTAGATATGACGATTGCACAGCATTCTAAAAGAGGATAAACAACTTACAATAACTAATATCACACCTTCATTTTTCAATGTTGCATTACAATTGCTTTGATTGCTACAATAATAGCTTATCCAAGCTTGTTCAGAGTTATTTAGATTGAATCTAGCCGATGCTTTTGAATTTTTATCACTTTAATCAAACGTATTATAATTTGCACGAGAAAACGGCAATTTAAAATTACTTGATAACTAGTTATTAGAGTAAAAGAATATATTTCAATAGGTTGCTCGAGTAATTTAGTGGGAAGAACGTCAGATTGTTAGATACAAATACGTAGAGATAGTATATGTGGAATACATCCACTATGATCTGCATTCCGACAGTTCATCCAGTTAACAGATTTAGATATAAACTGTATGTACGCTGGATTAGATGTACGATATCGATTTATACTACTGTAGGGGGAAAAACTGTCCCGTTCGTTCAAATAATCTTGACTTTTACCCAGTATATTGCCACAACTCAGAAAACAAAGCTACCCCATACTGCGTTCGATAGAACAGCTTATAGGAATTACAGCAACATAAAAACCTTATGGCTGGACTATATTTTAATCCCAGTATAACCAGCTAAAGTGAGACGTGGCAAAATTGTTAGGTGGGTAATTCTAGATGATATAAAATGGTTGATATCTTTACTTCCAATAAACGTATCGAAGAAATCTAAAAAACTACCCGCGATATGCTCAGGATATTTAATATCCCAGGAGCATTCCGAAAGTATAAAAGAAGCTAATTTCTTCATATTTTTTCTTTATTTCTTTGCTTTCTTATTTTTTTTTCAAAACTTTCATTTTGCCTGCTCGTTTAACACAAGATTTGCGCAACACTCTCCAATCCTTGCTCCAACGTGGTCGTTCTTTCTCAAAGATAAAAAATTTGTATCCAGGAGTGGGTAACTCTACTCTTACAAGGCTCAGAAAACTATATTGCCCTGACCCAGCTAGACCTCTTGGCGGAATACCAAAAAAACTTGGTGCTAAAACTATGTCCCTAGTGTCAAGAGGACTTCGATCAGGTGCTTTAGATAATCCCCGAGCAGCACAAGAAAGTTTAAGATCGATGGGTCAAGATACGTCAATTGGTGGCATCCGCAAGTCATTGAAAAGAAACGGTCTTAAATCTCGAATAAAAGCAAAGATAAATTTTGTTAGCAAGACAAGCAAGCGGCTTCGATTGGCGTGAGCTAAAAAGCATAGGCATTTTACTATTGCTGATTGGCGTCGTTGGGTGTTTTCGGATGAAACAAGAATAAACGTTTGAGGCTCTGATGGTAATTCTTTTTACTGAACGAATGTTGGCCGAATCATGCAGTCGTATCAAGCCAAGTCTCAGTTGCAGGGAAATGACGGTGGAGTCATGTTCTGGAGTTGCATAACAGCGGAGGGGCCTGGTTATGGTACTACCATTATTGAAGACGCAATAAACTCGGGCTTGTTTGTCGATATTTCGAAGACATCATTGAACGACACTCTTGAGCACTTTGGGAAGACACCATCTGATGTGCGAATTCAACAAGATATAGCAACACCGCATACCTCCGGCATTACTAAGCGATGGTTCACCGACAATGGGTTTAACCTAGACAAAATTATGGATTGGCCACCCAAAGCCCCGATCTTAATCCCATTGAACATGTCTGGCATCTCCTAAAGCTTCGTCTTAATAAGTATCCCACTAGGCCCTCTACAAAAGAAGAATTAGAGCGGCGTATTAACATTCAGTGGTACAAAATAACAGAAAAAGAGTGCCAGAAATATATTGATAGTATACCTGCCCGAATCAAGGCTGTCATCAAGAGCAAAGGTGGTTCAACTCACTATTAATGATTTTATAATAAAATGTACATTTTTCTATATTTATTTTTAACCAATAAAATCATTGGATTTTAGTTTTTGAAAAAGTTATAATTATATATAGATAGCACTGGTCTCTCTCATTCAAACGATATATATTTCGACTTTGTATACAAAGAAATGACCAAAAACCTGTGCAAAAAGACAAAATTTTAAACGAACGGGACAGTTTTTCCCCCTACAGTACATATGGTACTTGAAAACCTTATATTATAATAGATATAACGTAGAGCTATCGAACGGTTTTTGTTTTGTGCAAATTCAATTATTATCTGTCAAGATATGGCCAAAAAAGCGTATCATGCAAAACTATCGATTTTTCTTCAAAATCTGTCTGTGATAGCAAGCAAAAAATCTGGTGACGATTTTTTGGTCAGGACAGTGCAGTAAAAAGGGGTTAAAAAAAGCAGGTAGAATACTGTTAAAATCCTTCTTTATTCGAAATTAGGATAATGTGCAATAAACTGTATATTCTACGTCTCCTCTATTTATATTATTTGGTTTATATCTCTTATCTGGCAGCAGTTTAGTAGTTGCCAGTGGTTCCATTACTTTATATATTTTTGTTGGGTCATTTAGTTGTTGATCTGATGGATCAAGAACGGTATTTCAATATATGGTTTTTGAATCATGCGTAAAGAATAGCTCTTTATTGTTGAGCCTGTATCCTTTTAAGGTATATTTATGTTACAACACATTACAATACCCTTGACATTTACTTTAGTATCTGTCATCTCTTATTTTAGAGCATTTAACCCTTGCTATCATCATGCTAATACTATTATTATGCATGCCTATCTGCTGATGATAGCATGATTTGATTGAGATGACATTTATTTTGGGCTTTGTTTATGATGGGAATCTAGTCTAGTTCACTTCACATCCTACTTCTGAATATAAACGGATTTAAGTTATATTTATTTGGATAACCTTTTCATTACAAACACAAAACTATTATAAATGACAGATCAATAGGAAATCAACTAGTTGTAGACCTTCGCTGCTTCGATCGCTCAGCCAATCAAATTGCTTGAAAACTCCGCTGACCTAAAAAAATTTTGCGAGGGTTTCCCCCTGTTTTGATGTGAGGCAAAATTTTAAGCTCCGCTATATATAGCAATATAGCTGTAACTATCATCAAACTTCCCTCAGGTGCTAGAAGAGCATGCCTTACTTACACCACCTAGCTTTAAATTCAGGCATTGAGACCCTCAATCATCACTAAAGTAAGTAGCGATGACCAAGTGGAGGCAGCCTATCTACCTCCTGGTGTCGGATAAAGTCTTGTTGAGCTTCAGCGATAGGCACATCCACACAACGTAAAAAAGGTATGCTTCAAAGAAACATAATACTAATAAAAGAAAGAAGAAAAGAACATAATAGTATAAGAGTATAGTAGTATGTAGGTAAAAAAAAAAGAAAAGAAATGCTCACACGAAGCAAGTCAAAGAAAAGCATAACAAACACAACATCAAAGATGTTAAAAAAAAAAGCTCGTTGCTGTTGCAAGAAAAATGCACACATGAGCAACGCGCATGGTAGTAATAGTCGGATGTAAAGCAACACGGCACAAATACGCACAACTGCAAAAGCAACAGTGGTATTATAAGTTTGCGATACAACATAATGACTAATATTGTTTCATGTAAAGCTACAGAGGAAGCACTACCAACAAAAGAAAAAAGAAGAAAAAAGCGCAACAAGGCAAACATCATGAATGCATTATCACGAGAAAGGAAGCAAAAATATAAGCGTTCAAAGAAGTTATATATCATTGCGACCAGAAGAAAGAAGATACTTACCACTTACCACAGCCACAGATTGTTGGCCAAAAGAGTATAGGCAAACACCGGAGACAGACCAGAGAACGAGCATGCACCAAATATAGTAGACCGGGAAAGACCATATAAGCAGCAGCAGCAGCAGCAACACCAGCGCCATAGAAAACCTAAAGAACGAGCGCCATCAGCAGAGAGCAGACAAAGACCAAAGAAATTACTTACCACTTATCACCACCACAGGTACGCCAGAGGATATGCAATCACCAGAGATAGACGAGAGAACGAGCATACATCACAGATAGCAGACCAGAAAAGACCAGATTAACAGCAGCAGCAAGACCATTAGCAAGACCATCAGCAAGACCAACAGCAATACCACCAGCAAGACCATCAGAAAGACCATCAGCAAGACCATTAGCAAGACCATTAGCAAGACCATCAGCAAGACCAACAGCAATACCACCAGCAAGACCATCAGAAAGACCATCAGCAAATACCAGCAGCAAGCACCATTAGCAACACCAGCAGCAATGTCAGCACGGTAGAAAAACCAAAGAACGAGCGACACCAGAGACCTGACAGAGACTAAGGAAGCAACCGCCAGAGACAGGGACCAAAGAAGCAATTACCAGACATAATGACCAATGAATTAGACAACAGAGATAGCAGAGAAGCAAGGATATCAGCACCCACGTCAAACAGGCAAAAAAATTATCAAAACCTAATAAACAAATTCGATTAGTACTAATTCTACGTCTTTCAGTGCTCGTTATCGAATGGTACCTACTATATCCTACTTGAAAGAAGCAGTGTCAAGCACTTTTAACAGTACATGACCGTGTTATCAGAAGCTAGAGTGTTATTTTCAACCAAAAGGGTTCCAAAACCAATATGGTTTGATACTAAACGCGTTTTGCAAAAGGGATAAAAAAAACGAGTGCATGTAAAATGAGAGAACGCCCTACTCGACGTCACGGCCAGTAGATTTGCTCTCAGCCTTCTGCCGTGGTGTCAGCCGTAACTGCTGCACTTTAATTTGAAATTGTACAGTGGGTATTTTCGTGTTCAAATTTGACTTGATCTCACATTCTTTAAATGTTTTTGCTAAATTTGATTATGAAAACTGTCGTTGTAATACTTTACTTTCTAATGCACTTATAAAGAGTCAATGAAGGCACATCGAATGATGCTGATTACATTTAGCTCTCAAACCGAAAATAATGAGCAATTTGCAAAAATACGAAACCAGGTTTTCTGTAAATATGTCAACATTCAGTATATGAAAGTCTCATAGAAAGAGTATCTAGTGCTGCATTCCATCTTTACGATCAATTTGGTCTAATATGTATCATAGGAAAAGTTTTCATATTTGGGGTGAAAAACGCGATCGTTTAATTTTCAAGAATTTTTCCTTGCTAATACTCATGGAAAAACGGTGATTTTCATGAATTTGGAATGACCCAAAAAAAACTGCGATAAAGCATCAGTAAGTAAGGCGTATCAAAGGTGAGCCATTTGTTGCTATTCCAAGCGTCCACAACGCCTTGTAGCATGAGTTATTCGTACTTAAAACGGCCAAGTTTGGACAGAATCTGGCCGAAAAATAAGGCGCAGAATGTTGCGCTGCCAAAGAAGTAAATTACAGTTGTATCTAATGTCCCTGATGGTCTGCATTGTATGAAACTAAGTCTCTAATAAGTAATAAGCGCTTTGATTCCAATTCCAGGGCTCTGATCTTGCTTTTTGAGATGTGCAATTATAGTAATTTTGACACTTGAGCGTCAATTATATTATGCAAATTTTAATCTAACGACTCCCTCGGATTGAATAAGGTGTTTGTCAGGTTAGCAGGATACTTTTGATAGCCATGCATCCACAATAGAGATACCATATCTAGCCATAAAACTAGACTCAAAAAAGTCTATTCACAATATTGGACACTCATAATTAGTGAGGAGAAATGGCCGATATCGGACACATTGAGTCGGTACCAGTGTTGCATACAAGCATGCATCTTAGGCTACATTCACTTTCTTCTCAAGCCATTTTCTTCTCAAGCCACTTTTACAGTGTAGCAACATAGATGATGTTTATCGAATCACATCACATCTATGTTTACAAGTCCAGTCAATTGTGTGTGCACGGATGCCTCAGGAACTACAATAATAGATTTAATATCCCCTACGTCAAGATGTTGAGATCCACCTACATTATATGTAACGTATCGACTTAAGTGGCCTCTTAACAAGCTGTATCAACAATCAATAGGCCCCAATGGCCTGCTATCTATATACCATCTCAGCGTAGTAGTAGTCATTGACCAGAGATCTATCATATTATTTAAGCTAGTTAGATGCCTTGTGATATAAAAGTTATTTGCTTTCGTTTTAAATACAATTGACAGCTGATTGTTTCACTTGACATATTTATTACCAATGCACCAGCCTTGCCAGTACAGGGAAATTTTGGCTGAAAAGAATGATTTTGCAGCACGACATTGTTAACCATATTTCAGGAAAGACGCATCATCCCATTAAGATAAAATAAAAACCATCTGGTAGCTCTACTTAGGATTCACTTTAGGGTGTGGAGGTTATCCAACGATTTAGAATAGAATCATATTGGCCATGCATCTAGTTACAGAATCAAAATGCGCATCAAATGGTATCACTATTGATGGTCATCCCATAACAGCTTCTATGCGGACGAGCCTACAGTTTGAAGGGCTGCTTTTAAAGGAAAGCATTTAGCAAATTTCTACCAAGTTATCTGTAACAGTACTCGTTGCGTAAACCTAATAGTTATGTATTCTTTGAGCCTATTTTTTGAATCTGCAGCATCAGATTTCCTGGAAGAACTACAATACGTAATAGGTCATCATCCCCGCCAGATTGTTGCAAGACAATCTTTCAAGGCTAACTTTTGCTGTAGTGGCGCATATGTAATTCTCTTTTTGCATTGTTATTAGTCGCCCTAAATTTATTTCATAGACTTGAGCACTACATAGCTGTCTCCGTAGTGTTATTAAAAAAATACGCGTTTTTGCCACTGTAAAGTCCAATTTGGGGGGGGGGGGGTCAAAAAATCGACTTTGGCAAGGAAGCATCGTAGTTGCCAAAATGAGGTCTCATTTTGTAGAGCAAGCAAAGGGAATCAAAATTTCATTAATAAAGAAGCCAGGTTGAGTTGACAGTTGGTCAAGAAATAGCGTCCTTTATACAATATTGGTCTCGTTGCACTTTCTTCGCGTAACTAATTGGCACGCACACACTGTAGCAACCTAAAATCCGTTAATATCTTTAGCAACCTATTGACATGAGCATATAATGATCCTGGTCTAAAGATTCTAGCATCGACACTGGGCTTCTTGGGGTTACTGTCCCCCATTGTTCGTAACATGTGCAGCACAGCGTTAAGCCTTTGCCACACGGCAACGAAATGAGACATCATTACCAAGCGGTTTTGGATACAACATTTCGCAATGCCTCATTAATCAAGCTATTACTCGTAATTACTTGTAGTGAAAGGCTCCTGTAAGAAGCTCATTACTCCAATTTAACTCATTTCAGAAAAAGTCATTCAATCATCTTCTTGACATAGGCTCTTGTTTTAACTCGTATAACCTCCTATGATTTAGATTACTTTCAAATGTAAATCAAAACGTAGTATCAAGCGTGAATGCAGCGCATTTAAGCATTTATTATATATCTCCTATTGATCATCTCGATATTCTGCACCTGCTAATACCTCAGGCATGTGCAGCCGCCATATACTCATCAAATCTATCGAGTGATTTGTGGTTACAGTGATCCATTGTTGTGGATTTAAATCTTTGATGGAAAAAGCGATGTTCACATTTTTTTTTTAGCTTGAGAGCAACGTATTTACATTCACTGATTAAAAGCCACTCATGGAAGCTTCTCTCATATGTCCATGATGGTATTTACTAAACCACTTGAACAGTGTATGAATGCATATGTAGAAAAAGCTCAAACGTGCAAATCCACTGTGGCGTTCATGGGTGATAATAATATACGGGGAACTAAATTTCATGCCTACTGTGATAGCAACGGAATCGATTTACTTTATGACGCCACATTATCCCGAGTATTCAGGTTCCTTGGAGCGATATGTATGCTGTATTGAAATGCCTCGTCTGAACAGATCACTTGCATCTAGTTTCATCAAGATAAACTACGCATATCTGTTGTTTATTTGTGATTGTTATTATTACAAGTATATCCAGCTGACAGGTCATCAACAACAATACTGGTTGGAAAAAAAATGCTTGGGGTTGATAGAATTACATGCATTTGCGCATGCCACATCATCTACTTATCTACTTAGTATAATAATTGACAACTTTTTTTTTTTTTTTTTTTTTTTTAAATGTTAGACATATGCCACCATTCAAATTTAGAAGACAAAGAACATGCATATCAACGTGATGATGTTTGATTTTTTTCCTTGACTCGGGAGACCTGGAGATTGTCCAATATTAAAATTGATTTGTATTGCGTGAGACCAAAAGCTGCTGAAAATCAATAGAGATCAAAATCATATGCTAATCTGAATGATATGGGGATCATGCTATCTGATCCTTTCTTATGAACGAATAGGATATTTTCTTGACATGAAATGTAGATTAGTGGGTGACAGAATATATAGGAACAAATGGGGTCAGGCACCGGTTGCTACTCTTTTTGTTTGTTTGTTTGTGTGTATTTGGTGGATGCCTTAAATTATCAGTTTATTCTTTTTCATATGTATAATCTGATTAAGCTTTTTTAAAATCGACTTGATGTCAACAAGTAACTCCTTTACATGCAAGTAAATTTAAAGAACAAATGAGAGAGAGAGAATGATGCATTTGCACATGTAATCATACATACATGTAAATATTGCAATGCTGTTTTATTATTTTTCAAATGCTTGTGAGTTATGATGGTATTTTATTATATTCCCCATCCCAAACAAAGACGTGAAAACGTGACCAAATGGAATATCCGTGAAACGTACTATTACTTGATTTGCTTACCACTATAAAAAATAGTAGATGATATGCTGGTTCTTTTTCCTTCTTTTTTTTTGCTTGTTTCCCCTTTTCTCTGTTTTATCTCTTAGCAACAACAATAATAACAACAGCAGCATGATCGTTTCATCAATTCTTGATCCAGCAGTGATTTCAACATTTCTAGTATCAGCGGCAGTCTTTGGATCTTGGTTCACATTTTGGTACAAGACACATCTCGCACGCACAGAGAGAGAAAGAGCCTATGTGTGTACGCTGCTCAGTAGTTCTATCACCAGCACATGCTCAATACCACTTGTTTATACACTACTGACCAATGGAGGTGATCTGACCGAGATTCTTGCTTATCGTACATGGACAGTCATTGCAACTACATTTTTCATGACATTTTTGATTACAGATCTTGTCATTGGCAGTATATTCTATCGTAGCAAGATTGAGCTGCTCACTGGATGGATCCATCATATCACTTATCTGGGCACACTCACTTGGGCAATTCACAATCAGTATACAGCCGTGTTTATTATGATGTGTTCATTGGAATTGCCTACTTTTATATTGGCATTAGGCTCAGTTAGATCTCAATTACGTCGGGATTATGTATTTGCATCTACATTTCTGATCACCAGAATTCTCTTTCATGCATATGCAATCAAATGTGCCTGGGTTATGAAACCTTACGGCCCTGTTGTCACTGCATTATCGGCGTTTTTCCCTGTTCACTGCTTTTGGTTTTATGGTAAGTGGTGTCTAATGACATTCAGGGAGAGAGCGAGAGAGAGAGAGAGAGAGAAAGTAGTATCTTAAATGGGCTATCTCTATATTAGGGTTCATCAAGCAACAAATTCGCTTAGCAGCAAAGAGAAAGCAAGAGGCACTGGTCAATAAACAGGCACAAAGAAAGAGATCCAAACATGCATCACAGCATATTCAACCAAGCGTCATTTCAACCATCATCAAAACCACCGTTAAAAAGACATCTGTGTCGAGAAGCAGCAAAGCGACTACGAATAATACCACGCCCAGCTATCTATCTTCACCCACTCCCTCATTTCATCAATCTCCTCCTGTATCAGTCCATTAAATTGTTTATATTTTCAACTCGACTCCTCGTTGTTCTTTATTATCATTCCCCCCTCAACAACCCCCCCTTTTTTTACTTTATGTATAGTATCCAATAAAGAATCTTTCTTTTACAATTGTTTCTTTGCTGTAGTTGCAGGTGCTGGTGTAGATCCCACTCTCAACTTTTCCTTGGCTGTAGCATATGCATTGACGACAGCAGGAGGAATCTTGGGGTGAGCTGTGGGTGGGGTCAATGCCTTGTCAACCTTGGTGCCCAATTCAGTCAAGAACTCGCGGGTGTGTTCAGACATGTAATATCTCATACGCAGAAACTGGGTGTAAACGAGGATAGACAAAATGCTGGATCGGAAGCTATTATGTCATTTGGTATACACATCAGTATCATTTTCTGCTGCCATATCCACATATATACACTTACACAAAAAGTCCGAGCACAAGTCGCGTCATAACACCACATACCTCAATCTTGGCAACAAGAATCATGGCTGTGTCATAGTATTTGCTGACAATGTTCTGGATATGAGACTGGATCTTGGTTTGATGAGGAGCAAGTTGAGGGATGAGATCAGCGTCAACGAAATCAAGCACATGGAAGACGGAATAGATGAAAAATGGTATCAAGGTAACTATAAAAAGAGTGATGTTTGTTGTGTTACAAAATCGCACATCATGCCCATATATACAAATGCTTTACCTGCTACTCTTCTGGAGAATAAAAAGAAGACGGCAATAATCAAATATTGGAAATTCTCGTCCAACAGCATCAGTTTGAAATAGGATTCCTTGTTGGTCAAGGGCTGATTGGACATCACATACTCATCAATATTGATAAATTCGTCTTTTTCCACTCTCTCATAGACTCACCTTGTATGAATTCCAAAGCACAATACCATAAGAGGCTATCACACCAAGGTAAGCCAATCTGTAAAAGAACCCCAAGGGATGGAATACGAGATTGGAGATGGCGAAGGCGAGAGCACTGAGAACAACCAAAGCGTGCCCTACAAACCAGCCAAAATGAAGGCTCTATACAATGCCTTTAGCCTTTCAAATCATAATGACAAGATCCAAGTGGCACATGCTGACTCACCTTGAAATTCAATGCTTGCTTTTCTTCATTGGAAGTGGAGGCATTCGTAGTGGATGTCTTTTCTTGAGGTGCTTGCTCTTTTTCTGCTTGCATCTTGCTATTGAGTATGGGAGAAAAAAAGAGAGAGAGAGAAAAAAAGGCAATGTGAAATGTTGCCGTCCATCCGAAATTTGGCTCTTTTATACAGCCATCAAGCCCATTGAAAGCCCGTTTTATCAGCAACACTGTGATGTTGACCTCATGTAGCCAATGTATTCGGCTCGGGTTGTGTGGCATTCAATCCCTTGAATGATACAATGACCCAAACAATCAACGTACTGCCTTATTAAGCTCCCTATTCATCATTCAGAAGCCACTTTGATTGTTTGCCTTGGCAGCAGGATTTGATGACCGAGACTTTTTTTTTTTGTTCAATGCAATTTTCTGATCTGGCACCAAATCCCATTTGAAAGTGTATCACTTGAATCACCCAACAAGCCTCTCCATTCCTACGCCAAGCATCCGCTGCACATGTTGGCTCAATGGCAGCCCTCCATTGTGTCTCATTGCCGGATTCCATGACTGCAACTGCAACCTCTTCCATACTATTACATGCTTTTTTCTTGTATTACCATCTGATATCAATTTAGCTCAGTCAATTCGAATGCAAACAACTTGATATTTCGTCATACTATCCAATAAGACTTGACACCAGTTGCTGCTGAGATGGCTGATTCAAAACCCATAACGCACTTGAAATCCCCGCCGATGAATTGATGATGATGGTTTAGTTGTGTGCACTTGGCAAAATAAAATAAAAAACCCTTTTCTTCGTTTCTCTTTTTTTTTTTTTTTTTTTCTTCCTTTTTCTCTTATTTACAACAAGATAAAATGGATTCTGGACTCTTGGCACAAATTCAAAAGGGAAAAGCTCTCAAGAAAGCGCACACAAACGATAGGTCGGCACCTATAGTATCTGGTAAGATTAAAAAGCTGTGTGAAATAAGCTACGAGGATGCTGAAATGTGAAACTGGCTATATAGCTAGCAAACCCAGTGGTGGTGCTCCTATGGGAGGTATGGCAAGACCTCCAATGCCTGGTATGGGCGCTGCTCCACCTGCCATGCCACATACTGCTTCAGCTCCACCCGTACCCAACAATGCACCTACAGGCCCTCAATTGGGTGGGCTGTTCGCAAATGGTATGCCAACACTTCGAAAAACACGAGGCGCTGCTGTATCTACTGGAAGAGGAGAATCAACATCATGTAAGTAAAGAGTAGGTGGGCGTGTTTCGTGTGTGTGTGTGTGTGTGTGTGTGTGTGTGTGTGTGCAATAGTGATAATGGATGGAGTCTGACTTTAATGCTTACCGTCTTCAGCGCCTCCACCACCACCTCCACCGAGTGCATCTGTACCTCCACCACCTGTTAGAAACAGTGCTACACCTCCTGCTCCTCCAGCATTCAACAAACCATTTCCTGCTGTATCGAGTCATCACACGTTACCTAGAAACTTCAAAGCACCACCACCTATTCCGGGAAAATCACCCTCTATTCCATCATTCAACTCGAATAGTGCTGGTGCACCTCCACCGCCTGCACCTCCACCAGGAGGATCAGTTGCAACAGGTGTATCTCCAAAGATCCAAGCCGCATTAGTTCCCCCTGTGCCTGGTCGTTCGAGATCCAACAGTTCTCCTCAAAGACCTGTGCCTCCTCCACCACCCAGATCTGTGCCATCACCACCTGGAAGTCCTGCTGGTGCTTCAAGAGGCCCTTCACCTTTACCTAAATTTGGTCTTCCAGTGAGACCAAGTGCTCCCATTCCCTCCACTCCATCCAGTCCTGGTCTAGCTGTCCCTCCTAGTTTACCACCTGGAAGACCCAGAGCTTCATCCAATGCTTCACCATTAGCTCAACCACCTGTCATTCCAAAGACATTTGGCAGCAACAATAACAATGCCAGCAGTGCAACATCCAGTCCTCCACCAGCGCCCCCTCCACCCCCTCCCATGGTGGGAGGATCTGGATCGCCACCACCACCGCCTCCTCCTCCACCTCCTCCTATGGGCAATGCATCCATCCCAGCTGCTCCACCACCACCACCGCCTTCATTTGGATCTCCCGTGCAACGTAATTCCCCATTAGCCACTCCCCCAAGATCGCCTCTACCACCACCACCTCCATCCACGTTCAAAAACAACAACCCACGATCATTTGGACAAGCTCCACCTGCTGCACCTCCACCATTAGCTGGTATCAGCAAGCCACAGCCACCTACATACAACACCAACAGAACAGGACCTCCCTCTGTACCTACGCCCCCTCCACCTCCATTCTCCATGAGCAACAACAATAACAATAGACCTTTGCCACCCTCATTCAATAGATCACCGCCATCTCAACAGCATCAGCAAGTGCCATTGACAGAAGGAGGAGGTCGATTCACATTCAGAGCTCTATCTGATTTACCTCCACCCAGAGCTGGATTTTCAAAGAAGCATCATGTGTATCCCAGTGGAGAATCGAGAGGAAACAGTAAGTACATTGCATACAGGGAAAAGGGCTTTTTTTTTTTTGTGTGTATTGATGTGTGATTTTTTTTTTTAGGTTATCCACTGGATTATTCTAAATTCCGTTAGAGAGAGGAAATCAAAGTGCAATACATTTCTTTTTTTTTTAATCGAGATAAAACATAATTTAAACAGAAAACATACTGTTGAAGAGAGAGAGAGAGAGAGAGAATATGTGTGTATGTGTATGTAACTGCTGTTGTAGCTGCTGGACTACATGGCTTAATGGATGGGACCTCAATCAATCTGAATCATGCCAAGATTCTCTTCATGCCTTGTTGGCATAATTTTAGATAATTGCAAGTGAGAGAGGACATTATGGGCAACAGAGACTCGAACACACGAGGATGAACGGATACCTTTGATAGAATTTCGCAGCTGTAGCTGACGCTCGGATGTTTCCATCTACATATAAGCGTCTGCTGCAACAGAAACTTGGCTTGTTCCAAGTGTTCTATGACAGAGGAAGCTGATGATTATTTGATTTGGGTGACACACTCAATCTAAGGGTGAAAAGCTTATTTCCTTGTAATACACTCAATGTATTTCAGCGTGTAGCTTGATCTGAACCAGCATGTCTGATCAGTAGGTTGCCCCGCTTGGGAATCATTTATTTCACTCCACACTAGCAAAAGGTTTCATATCACCAGCATCTTATTGTTTTAGATGATTCGGACTTGAGCTCTATTAATTAACTCGAAGCGCGAATGAACAAGAGCTCTACAATACATGGTACAACATGCTTTTGGTTGGATAATCTGATATTAGGATTATATATCTCCTGATTTTATTTGACATATATATATATATATATATATATAATGTAAGGCTGGTTTCTATTTCTTTGCACTTTAATCCTCTTTTTATACACCACCACAACACAAGATGCCACCCTTTGTATTTGATGCACCCCAGCCAAAACCGCTGAAAAATCAAGTGCATCCAGATTACAGACATCCGCTGTATATAGGCAGTTGGAAGAGATCAATACCAGGCCAAGACAAGGATTTTGCTCGCGATGACATGGACGAACCTCACCTCAAGAGAAAACATGCTCTTTTACTGAAATACGCGGATCAGATCAAGGGCTTGTACGGCACAGATTTCAATACATTTCATATGGCTACACTGATCAACGTGGTTCAGCTGGGTTTGGCCTATTACTTTGGTCAGCACCAAGTGCACTGGATCTACTTTTCTCTGGTTGCTTATATCATCGGAGGTACTGCTACAGGCATGGTGGGTGTTGTCATCCATGAAGCCTGTCATAATCTGGTAACTGGGTCATCGACTTTGGATCGCATGATTGGACTCTACACCAACATTGCGCTTCCAGTTCCGATCTCGCAATCGTTCCGAAGGTACCATATTGAGCATCATACTTGGCAAGGTGTGGAGGGAAGGGATCCTGATTTACCGTTGGCGTGGGAGAAGAATTTGATCAGAGGAAACAGTTTTAAAAAGATACTGTGGATACTGATCTACCCTGTCATGTATGTTGTGCGGGGCCTGGTCATGCAGCAAGAAAGAGGCCATACACCAGGAAAGTGGGAGCTCATCAATGTTGCATTTTCTATCGTTACGGATGCATTAGTAGTAAGATGCTGTGGATGGAAAGGCTTGGGTTATCTCTTTTTATCACTGTGGTTTGGCTATTCATTGCACCCTGGGGCAGCACACTTTATCCAAGAACATTATACATTCGATGATGGGCAAGAAACATATTCATACTATGGCATTCTGAACGTCCCCTTTATGAACATTGGCTACCACAATGAACACCATGATTTCCAAAAGATCCCTTGGTCCAATCTACCTCTGCTGCGTCAATTAGCCGCTGAATCGTATGATACACTGGCCTATCATACGTCCTGGCTTAAAGTGCATTGGAGATTCATCACACAGCCATGCATGGGGCCACAATCGAGAGTAGTAAGAGATTACAACACCTTTAAACAAGGCCGATCTTTAATTAGAAGAATACGTGCTTACAATGAAACTGAAGAGAAATAAATAAAAGAATTTGATACAATTGATTTAAGAGTGTGGTTTGTTGGAGGGAATATATGTATATAGTGGGGTTATGCTGATTTGCCGTCATTACTAGTAGAGGCAGTAGCAGCAGCAGGAGCAGGAGTGGGGAACCATTGATTCCACTTGACCTTGGCAGCTTCCTTGAATCTGACCATCACGCTCTCTGCATCATCTAAAGCAGGACGTACATCCAAATGGAAGACAGGTACGCCAGGTACGTCTTCGGGTGCCTCGTAGTAATCAATGACATATCTTCTCGATTGACCGCAACGACTGATATACCAATCATGTCTATCAAATGGCTTGGGTGCACCAAACAATGCGTGCCATCTGGCCTTGGGTGTAGGTTCTTGAGGTCTGCCTTGGAATTTCGACAAGTAAGGGTCCTCGGCACAATCACTAGGTAAAGTAGGTATCCACATTAAGACCTGCTTTTCTGTCTCTCTCTCTCTCTCTCTCTCCTTATCTCCACACTGAACTTACCACTTGTACTTGGATTCCCATTTCAAAACCTCTTGCCAAGCCTCTTCATTCAAGAAATTATGAATATCTACCATGGTCTCAATCTCTTCCTCTGGTGTTTCCCAACCCTTTCTTCTCAGCGCATTGTAGAACTGCTGAGGACTAGGATACTCCCACCTGGCATCATCTCCCTTGGCCTTGGGGATAGATGAAATGACTCGTTCTGTAGGTAGTTCAATGGTTTGATCACTTTGAGGTGTTTGTGCAAGATTGGGCATCATGTTGAGCTTGTTGAGCTCATCTCCATCGGCCTTGTGCATAGGACATCCAGGTGGAATGCTGGTCATGGGCTTGGGTTCAGCAGCCTTTTTAGGCATTGGACAGCTAGGTCCATCTTCTGCTTGTTGTGGTGGTGCTTGTTGCTTCTTGGGCATAGGACAGCTAGGGCCGTCAGTAGCAACAGGTGCTTCCTCTTCCTTGTTATGCATAGGACAGCCGGGTGGCGGGGTGGTTGATCGGGTAGACATTGTAATAAAGTAGAGAAGAAAAAGAAAACTGAAATGTGAAGGGTTCCTTGCCAATTGTTTATGAATCCAATGCCAGCCATTGGATTTGTATAGAAGAATGGAAAATTTTATTAAATCCCAGGGTTGGGCAAAGACATGCTAGATTCTGGGTTGCACAGGGTTATGTCCATTGCTATAGTGATAGAACCGTTTGATTAGGTAGAGCTGGGTAGCAAGCTGAAGAACCATGGGCATAGAGGTGTTTTGTAGGCGGATGCTAGCAAATATATCTCTACTAGCAACTGTATTGCGATTGATTCCATTAATGCTGTTGTTTCACCTCTTGTCTCTGTGATAATCATACAATCCAATGAAATCATGAATGATGAGCTGGCGGTCCTTCTTGCCATACTGTATCTTTGATGCCATGGTCACTCAAACGCATCATCCGCAGTGCTGGCAGACTCAAGATCTAGAGCGTAGGTGATGGATTGCTGGCAGTGGGGGGCATGGCAACATTGGCAATGTCAAAGTGTACGCAGCATGAACCTTGCCAGTGTATCATTACTAGCCCAGCACCTCACATATTGATGCATCGGCATCGACATCTCGATTGCCCTTGAAGGCTATACGAACCACCCGGAAGTATTTGATCAGAAAACTTTTAGCCTGTATTTATCATTTTGGGAAAAACTTAAGGCAAACCTCTCTTATTGATCAACAGCCTTTTTCCCTTGCTCTTTCTCTTTCTCTCTATTTTACCCATCCCGTCTCTGTTCTTGATTGTAACAATGATAAACCCGAGATTACTTACACGAGTAGCAGCACAGCCGCTTGCTCAACGATTCTCTTATTCCACAGCAACAGCAGCAACAGCAACAGCAGCAGCAGCAGTTGGCGCTTCATGTCAAGGCACACTAATGAAGCCCATCAATGATAAACCCATTGGCTATCTCACATTACCAGGCTTGGTGAAATACGATGCAGCGTTAGAATTACAATCGTACCTCGTTTCAAGACGTCATAAAATCACACAAAACACATTGGAAACCTCAGAGCCTGCCGACATGATTTGCTTGTTGGAACATCCTCCTACATTTACAGCCGGTAGACGCATTCGAGGCAAGACTGAGCAAGAGGAAGAAGAGAGACTCAAGAAATTAGGAGCTGATTATTATGAAACCATGAGAGGAGGCCAGATTACATTCCATGGTCCTGGGCAACTCATTGCTTATCCTATTCTGGATGTCAGAGATTATCAAGTAAGTTGTTTGATCCTCCCACACACACACACACACACATTCTCTCTCTCCAGCAACTAACAGATGCGTGCACAAAAAGCTCAATGTCAGATGCTATGTATCTCGATTAGAAAAAACTATTATAGACTGCTGTGCAAAATACGACATTCAGGCCAACACCACAGAGAATACAGGTGTTTGGGTGGGCCAGGATAAAAAGATTGCAGCGTTGGGTGTTCATTTACAACGCTATGTCAGCAGCCATGGCTTGGCATTGAACTGCAATGTGGATTTAAATTGGTTTGATCAAATTGTGCCTTGTGGTCTATCTGATAAAGGCGTTACCTCCATCACAAAGGAAACTGGACAACAAACAAGCCCTCAAGATGTGATACCTCATTTAGTCAAGAGTTTCGAAAGTTTGTTTTATAAACCTTTAGTACATGTGGATTTGACTAAAGTAGTGCCAACGGAATTACTGAATAAATTATTAAACTAATTCAGTCAAAAAATGATCCAGTTTGTCTTGATCCCAATCCGATTCCCATTGATTTGTGTGTTGCTGTGGTTGTTGTGGTTGTTGTTGTTGTTGTTGTTGTTGTTGTTGTTGTTGTTGCAAGTGTGGTGCTTGTGGTGAGGCAGAGGAGGGTGGAAACAGAATAGCATTGCCATCCAGCATGGTATCAAAATCAAACAAGTCTAGGCAAAAGAGTCAATAATGCCATCTTGGTTTATAATGCCAATCATGGATGCTTACCATTGATGTCCAAGTCGTTGACGGGTTGCTCTGCAATCGTTGAAGAGGGTTGATATTGGTAATGTGCTTCTGAAGGGTAGATGATGGTGTCTTGCATGGGCGAAAACATCATGGTAGGTGGACAAGGTGAATGGATCGTCATGTCCGCCATCCCTTGAATGGCAGGCGACGCAGACACAGCAGGTGCCTGTTGCTTCTTTGGCTGAATACCAAGCAACACATCGCGAGCCTCTCTCAGTCGATCTGTCAATACAGCCTTCTTGCCTGAACTAGAGAAACCACGCTCCCTCAACATCTCCTTGAGTTCCGCCACTGTAACGTCTTCAAAATTCAGTTTGATCAACTGGTCATCTAGTTTCTTTTGCTTTTCAACAGGATCGGATATCACAGGAGCCACTACTTTCTCCTTCTTGGGCACTCTTTCAATGGCGATAGGACGAGTGTCTACTTTGGCAGCTTTTTGGGTATGATGGATAGGTGTAGGATCTGTTACCTGGATTTGAGTGAAGATCAATGGCGTGGGTTTGGTTGTCTTGTTGCTATGGAAAGCAGGTGGTAGTGATGAGGATCGTCTTCTCTTTTGATGTTGTTTCAACTGCTTGCCTAGAATAGTGTTGTAAGACGTACGATGCAATTCAGGGAAAAAGGTGATTGTTTGTTGTTGAGATGCTTGAGATGGAGGTGGAGGAGATGCTTTCTTCTGAGTTTGTTGTGGTAATGGCTGCTGTTGCTGCTGCTGTCGTTGTTGCTGAGGATGTGGTGCTGCTGCTGCTGCTGCTACTAACGGCGCTTGACTAAGAGGAGGTGATATCATGTTTTCATCATTATTAGTGGATGAGCATGTGGATAGGGAAGGAGAGCCATCTGCGTTTGCATTCACAAACAAATTGTTAAAATTGAAATTGTTATTGCTTGCTGGAAATTCAAGTGTCTATGGATATTTATATTTTTATCCGTTAGGAGGAGAGAGAGAGAGAGCTGCATATCAAAACAGATTACATAACACTTACGGCAGATGAACCGACTTTGAGAGTGGGATGAAGCTGAGGCTCTTCTTCGTGTATAGTCGTTTCGTTGTTCCCCATCATGTATCTGTTGGTATTCGAGTAGAGTGGATTGATGGGCAAATCAACAGACGAGCTACGTCTTCTCTGAAACGGCTGGTGCTGATAAGAGGGCGGTATCTTTTGCTGATCAAATTCCATGGGTATAAACGTATTGTTGGTAGATGCGTTTTCATTCCAATCAATGTTGGTAAAAAAGGGTGGATAATCCAGTTTAAAGTAGTCGTTTACGTCTTCCATATTTTATGTCGTATGTTTGAAAAAGGAAACAGAAAAGAAAGAGAAGAATAACAGTGAATGTAAAACTTTAAATATATATTTATATAAAAAAAAAGGCGGGGGGTGGGGGGGGGGAGAGACAAGAACGAGAGCTGTTATGGTTGAGATATGAAGCGAAAGAGAGAAAGACGGAAAAAAATGAGACAAACAGAACGCAAACTAGGTGGGAATTTTATAGTTTTTTTTTTTTTTTTTTTTCTTGATTGCATGGCCCTTCTTGTATAATTTTGCATATGACCTTTTTTGGAACACTTTAGACATTTCAAGGAATTGCCGAGAGATGCGATCAACGCCAGTGCTTATAGTTGCTGGCTTTTTTTTTTTTTTTTTTTTTTTTTTTGCTTTGTCAAGGCGGTTTGCTATAAAGAATATGCCAACATAAATCTAACCGTTTCTCTTTGATCAGAATGATTGAATTCGAACGTTTTATTTGCGTAGAGTGATACAAGAGATCAAACCTTCTTTTTTTTTTTCTCGTGAGATGTAGGCCAAAGATAGAGTGTATATAAAAAAAAAACAAGCCATTTCCACAAACAAGCGGCAAATAGAGCCCAACACATGGAGATGCATCTCTTTCTCGCTCTTTTTTTTTTCTCTTCAAGATGCCCACGAGTGCAGCTCAACATCATCATTATCATCGTCATCATCATCATCATCATCATGATAAGCTAATAACATGTTTGTACAACCAAATGGTCATACCGCCTCCTTATATCTTTCATTTGAGTTTTTCCTGAGTTTATGAGACCAAAAAGTTTGCCCATTTTTATCATGTGAAGAGAAACAATGCAGTCAGTTGATTTTTTTTTATTTTATTTTTTTTACGATTTGTCTCTTTTTGCTTGTCATCAAAGTCAACATTGAACCTGTAAACTATGATCCATTTTAGGCGCCATGAGCTATTGCTGTTGTCATTTGTTTGGAAAGTGCTATCCGAGATGCTCTTTAAAACACACACACACACACACATTACTCTTCATCGCATCATGCACTTGAAATGGTCCGCCACAGCATAGAAGACGGTGTCATGTCTAATTTTAGTCTATTCATATTCTAACCGAACATTGTATCGGAATTCAAGATTATCATTTGTCCTCGGTACATGCAATGAATGTCGCTTCTTTGCTCAAGCTAATACATATGACAGTGGAAAGAGGAGGCTGAAAATTGACTAATAAATGACAAAGCAACGTGCGTTTTATTTGATGAGTTGGGAGGCCTTTTGTGCCTCAATGCCTGCTTGGCCTGTACAATAGGAATTCTTGACATAGGAACGACAGCATTTGTATCCCCACTGACCCTCAGACCAATAAGATCCCCACACCGTTGTATGATTATTGATAAACACTACATCAAACATGTCAGTACAAGCACATCCAGACTCATACCTCACAAGACTTACCATCTTCTTCGTATTTCGATCTGGCTTTGGCTCTTTCTTGACCTTTGATCACTCTACCCGTTCTTGAATACTCCACGTAGTTCTCGCTCTGTGCCAACAACAGCTCTTTGGGAGGTGCTTCCAGGTACTCTTCACCACCATATTTCTCCAAAATGCTCTTTTGAGTTGTATCTCTGACTTGATCCTTCTTTGATTCATACTCTTTGTGGAGAATAGCCACTTGCGTAGGATTTGCTTGCAAATGTACTTCATTGCCTCTATCAGACGCTTGCCAGGCAAACATTTGTACCTTGGCCATCTGTGGTGCATCGCCGGTGTATCTGACAAAGTTATCACCTGAAAAGTCTATACCATCGTCATTCTGCTGTCCCTCCAAGGGATTTTCACGCATGGAACGGGTTTTGGGATCATAAAACGCAGAGTCCGTATCCAAATTCAACAAGTATTTGGCTGTGTCTTCACGAATTCTCAAGTTGCGGATAGTAGTTCTTGTCTTTTGATTGACATGTTGACCTGGCATGTCTGCTGCATCGGCATACTTGTCATCATCTTGCTCGTCCTCGTCATCAGATAATCCTGCAATTTTCTTCGCTTCAGAGGTTGTGGTGGGTCCTTGCTTATCCAATTCACTGGCTTTGGCTTTCTTTCTAGCTTCTTCCACTTGGTTGTATTCTTCAATAACCTTGTCGTGTTCCTTGGGATCATAACCGTTCCATCGATCACGCTTTTCGTCCCAATCCAGATCCACTTCTTGAATAATTTCGTCTGCTTTGATGTTCTCTCCTGTCCATTTTGCTCCCTTTTTACGTGGTCGCTCTACACAGTCTTTGGTTTTATGGGTCATAGCTCCACAATTTTCACAAGCTCCTTTACGATATTTTGTTGCAGCAGGTCCCTAATGTCAATGGATGAATACATCGTTTTCATCTCACATTGTCACGCAGCGGCTCACTTACAGCTCTCTTTCCTCTGGCATACCAAAAGTTATCATCTTCAGTAAACTTGGGCCCTTTACGCTTCTGCGGTGCTCTTTGATGCTTTAATGATACTTTGCCGTTATCGACGTACCATGGTGCTTTCAACATGAACTGCGGGGTATGAGGATTGATTTCTCTGCCTTCATCATCAACCTCTGCAGGTGCTGTACCGGCTTTACGAGCGGCATCAAGGTCTTTAGCTTGGCGGTATTCTTCTTTGGTAAGTCGACTTTGTTGCATTAGTTGTAAAAGAGAATGGTTTGGTGTAAAAGAGAATGAAAATTTGAATGATGGAAAAAAAATAAATAAAAAACAGAGCGAAAGTGACTGGATGTTATTACCAGCATAACAGCATTCAGCTGATGAAGATTGCAGCTTCATTAGCTAGCAAAACGAAAATAGTTTATTTCAATAGGTGATGCATTAAGAAAGGATGGCATAGCAAGCAGCAACTATTGATCCAACTGTCCACGGCACTGTATGTCTGATAGTAGACGCACCAGACGCAACAGTGCCCACGTATGCTTGATCATTCAGCAAGACCTTTGGGAATGGTGTTTCCATCGTCTCTACGGACGGAGATGGTAATGCCAAGTTTGTCCAGGTCGTTGCTACCTCTGCATCGCGGCTGCTTCCATTTTTTTTAACTGAATGCTGAAGCAGCCACCACGTTACCAAGCTGATCCTCTCACTTTTTCAATGACAGTATCACCCTCTTGCAAGCTCATCACATTGACATTTCGATCTTCAGAAGCATCCACTACACTGGATTGCTGATCCAGATAAACTTGAGGCTTCATCATCTCGCGATGATATGTCTTTTTGAAATGCTTCTTCTTTCTCCCATGACGCTCTAATGCCATTTCAGCTTCCTCTTCAGTGTCATACTCGGTTGTTGTTGTTGTAGCGAAACAGTCTGCTGGATAGGCCCATTGATTGATATCAGGTGGTACCGAAAGTGGTGGTGACAGCAACTGTCTCATAGACAGGCCCACCTTCCAAACTATCTATAGATTCTGGTGGATTGATGTCTTCTCATGTGCTGCTTTCATCATTCCATCCTTGTTTTTCCACTCGCTCAATGTGTGCTCTAGTAGCTCACGTTAGTCTTTCATGGTTGTATGCAGAAGAGCAATCTCATCATTCTTACCAATAACAACAGAGGCTGTGATACAGCTATTCAGCAGGACTATTTTGTTTATATTCATGTTGATTCAATGTAGTAAAGACGTAAAAGAAAAAAAAATGCTCTTGTTTACCATGAACATCAAGACGAGCACATTTAGACATTCTTTAATGGCACAACAGCCCATATCGCTACACATGCACAGGCTCGTCATGATTAGCTGATACTCGCCACTGCTATGTAGATAGGAAGCAATCATCCGTGCTTGCTTTGATATTGCTGTACCATCCATGCAGCTATATTTCTCAAACTCAGCTTTTTTTTTTTAGTATTAGATTTGATTCTTTTTCTTTGCTGTACCATTGCTCTACAAGCGTATTGCTACATATAGAACGATTCACGTTCTATAGGTGGCAGCATACAAGTTTTATTGTTGGTGGGGTAGAGTGGTAGGCGATTTGCGCAATTTGCATTATTAGAAACATTATTTTAAACGGATGCTTTTGATACCTTACCATGATGACTGTGTACATAGAGGAATAGGCTACAAGTACAAAAAAAAAGAGAGCAACGCCAAATGATTTATACATTTGAAATAAACGACAGTAGTTTCATACATTGCAGATCATATAAATTCTCGTTTTATGATTTCTTTCACACTGTAAAACGAGAGGATTTCATTGGCCAGTCGTAAAGTTTTCAAATTCCGGCATCGGCTTCTCTGGTCAATTTGAGATCCCGCTCTTGCCCTTTAAACAATGGAGCAATTGAGAAAAGAGTAATTTTTAGAAAATAGATAATTTTGAATAGATGCTGCTAGTCAAAGTTTTTAAATTACTATATGAATGTGGAATGTATGTGTAGTGAAATTTGTAGAGGGTACTTTGACTGAGTAGGGCATGTCTAAAGTGGGGCTATTGAGGGTAATATGGATGAGTAATGAGGGAAAATGTTCCAAATGACCGATTTTCAAAGGACCATACCGCTAGATTTTACTAAGTCAATGAGAGCTTCAAGCTTAATAGCTCCTGTTTCTTTTTTAATTCTCTATACGATGGTATGATTATTATAGATAAATAAATAAAAAGTTGAATATCCCCTGCTTGTAGCTCATAAAATATAAGATTTTCACCAATTTAAGAAGGGAACGTACATTTGGTACTTTAAACCCTTATATTATAATGAATATAACGTAGAGCTATCGAATGGTCTTTGCTTTGTGTGAATCCAGTGAGTGTTTGTCGAGATATGGTCAAAAAGGGTATCATGCAGGATTATTGATTTTTGTTCAAAATCTGCCTGTGATAGCAAGCAAAAAAATCTGATGCCGATTTTTTGGTCAGGACAAGATTGTCAATATTTCATGATAGAGTTATGCCAGAGCTTCGAGCAAAGGCTCATTCGATAGGAAATTTTTTGGTCTACAATGTTTAGTAATGCTTAACAAAATGTTTTGATGACAGATACTGATTAATCTTTAGAAAACTGTGAAAAAGTCGCACGATTTATCTCATTACATATCAGGTAAATAATGTACACCAGAGACTTGAAATAAATACCATTGTATTTTCCTTGCAATTCTCTACAAGTTTCATATAAGTTTGAAGGGGTATTTACTATCAAGAATCAAGTAATTTTAAGGTCGATAGATTTCGGAATCCCATGGAGTATCGTTCAGAATAAGCGAAATTGAATCTCCGTTTAACCTTCGTGTGTGAGTACCTTCATGGTTCTCACTCCTTGCAAAGCGTCATGGTACGGATCATCAAAGGAGACATAAATCGCACAATCCGGCAGCAAGATGCTCCCAGCATGGCTCAACATATTTGTATATACGTTTAAAATAAAGCACGCTTGCATGTAAAGTAATGATGACCAGAAACTGATGTCACTCTCCGCAATGTTCATTATCAAAATACAGCGTTCATAATGATATTATCAGTGATAGATGGACGATGTTGGGTAATATCTTTTGTGTATAAAATAAACGCTGTGCCTCTACTTCAATGTTGGCCGCTTTTTTGTTTTTATATACTCCTTTTTCTTCAACAGAAAGGGCAACTTCATTCGTTTCCCTTTGGGAGGAGTTTTACGTATAAAGCTATTATTGCCTAGGTCTATCACAAAAGCTTTGCTTTCATTGATAACTGTAAATCATCGACACTTCTTCATCTATCAGGCATTGTGGTGAATACCCGGGTCAACAAATACACTCTCTCAAGCACGTTATGTGAAACTCTAGCTCGCTCATTGCAATAATCGGAAATGTCCCAAGATCCGCCAGTCATTGTATTAGTAATCAGGCCTCGACTCCAACTTACATGGATACGCCTCAATCACTTTATCAGTTTGCGTAGAAACCCGATGCCATTTCAGTCTACCAAAAATGAGAGGCGGTTGCCCTGGTAAATAACACGCTTGAAAGGTTCAAAAAAAGGTCTTTAGAATCCTTCATTCTGTGAGAATGGCTTTCAGGCATAAAGAAAGTCAATTGATGGAATCTCCAGGACAGTGGCCCAGATGCCCATCTTCCAACATCGTTCAATAAATATAGGGCTTGAAAATCTCCCTCTCCAAGTTATCCGAAACATCATTTCAATGCTCCTCCATAATGCTATGCGGCAAATGATGATCGTAAATCGAGGGCTCATTCCCCTTACTCGACATCCGTATTTATTATGCTGATTGGAGTAATGGCCATACTGAACAAGATGAATATGCAAGTTACTGGGTGCCCATACTTAAAACACTCTAGTAAACGTGTTGATGATCATATCTTTGCAATTGGCATGGATCCTATTATTGGTAATGTCTGCAGGAGAAAGAGAAGTAGCTCATTTTAATAATGAACTTAAATTGCAGGCTTGAGTAGATATCTTTATGTGATCAAGCAATTTGAGGATGTGGTGGTCGCAACCAAGGTCGATGATGAAAACATGCTTTTACCAGCAGACAAAAATCAGGGATTTTATGAAAAGCGATAGCTTGGATCAACTAGTTATTTTTATGGTTTTCTGTGCACTGTTCAGTTATTCAACTTATTCTGCCCCTACAGGCTAAAATTACGGAGCTCCATCATAAAGTCTGTCTGGTCTTTAAACGATTCAAGCGTCTATGTACTTGCCCTCAAACCAGCAGCAACGTCGCGCACCGACTTGCACCATCTCTCTCAGAATATGAATTCCCTGGAGCGACATTTTACACTCCCAAGCGACCTGCAACTAAAAATAAACAACAGAAGCAGTAAAAGTCTTGCTGAAATGTAAAAGTAGGTGTATACAAACAATAGACATGCCGGTAGTATCGCCGGAGTGTCAAGCAAAATTTATGAGTCAAACGGATTCTCCATCTTTTGTTTCGTTTTAATCCAAAATAAAACCTATATATAAAGGGCGTATCCAGGAAATTGGTTTTACTTGACATGATGACAGGCTCACTATAACGGACAGATGCTATCCGCAATTTAGTCCCATTGTTTATTCCATTTCATCATGTTTGCGCAGCATGATCGAGATCTGTACCACTCTTAATAGAGGGATGTTCCGTAAAAAAAAAAAAGGCTAAAATTTGATCAATCTATGCAGAGCGAGTAGAAAATAAGCCCCGGCAAATTGTTTAAAATTATGATACGATGTTCTTGTAACCAACCAACCCAACTCAACCAAAAAGCAAGCCCTTTTGACAAGAACTCCGAATAGTCCACCTATATAATCTCAATGATGGTATGTCTCTTCTTCTTCTTTTTTCTTTTTCCCGCTTATTTTTTTAATATTAAAAGCATAGACATTATACATTATGAGAGTTGTTACAAACACTGAACAAGAGAACGCTGGTCGTTATGCCATGAAGGGTTTTGCCATTGGTACTGCTCAATGGGCTGGTGTCGGTTTATTTGCCTCTGGTTTGCTTTATGCTTTCATGCCCTGGTATCGCAAGACTCAAACTGTGAATAAGGTAAGGCACCTTATGGAGAGAAAGGAGAGACAGGACGGTGGTTAACGCATTGTACATCCTCTAGTTTTACATTGTCATGTGTTTTGGTCTAGGTGGAGGTGCTTACAAATCAGACAGATACATGGTCAACTATGAACGTAGAGGTAGAGCACAAACTTTAGACGAAGAAACCAAGAGGAGATATGAATTGATTTACGGTGATGCCTTTGAGGCTCAAAAAGCTTTGGAGAAATCAGCTTAAATTTCCCCTCCCTCTACTCCATCACATTACAGCATTTATTATTGTCTCTTTTCCTGCTTCACATATATCATTAAAAATCTATATTTTATTACATGTATAATCGGATCTTGAGTGTGAATGCGCAACATTGTTGGGATTGTGAAAAAGGGTTATTTGTGCATTCATCATTGATGCGGTAAGGAGTTCGTCATTGAGAGAGAGAGAGAGAGCAAAGGGACATGATTTGACTTGTTCATAATCTCGGTAGATACAGGGCCAGGAGTTTCAAGGGTCCATTGGCTAGTCTTTAAGATATTTAGCACAGTGAATGGATATTGTTAGGTAGCTTTTTACCAAGCACCATTACTACTACACTGAAATACAGTAATACTATCGTCAAACAATGATGAGACACCGATTACTTCATAAGAATGGCATCATTATCAGATAAGAATGCATTGATTTCCATTTAAGCATCTGAAGCTATGTCTAAAAAGAAAGCAGATCTTTCAGATCCCGAGTTTCTCACATTCATTTGTATGGTGCGCTTTGGTGGAGGGGCATGATTGCGTTTCTTTTTCTCTCGTTATCCTTTGTTTCTCTTTCTTTGGTTAGCATATACTATGGCAGGCACCATTAATTTCATGACATTCAATGTTCGACATGACCATCATGGCCATTCAGACACAACGCCTTTTGCTTCTCCCCCTGCCAGAGAACATCCCTTGGAGAAGGAGGAATTTGGTGGAGAACAACCATGGTCCATTAGAAAGTGGAAAGTTGTTGACACTATTTTGCTTTACTCTCCTGATATTTTAGCATTGCAGGTAAGCTTCAACAGATGCAAAGCCATGGTTTCCATGTATTTATGTACATTGCGAATCAGGAAACTGTGCTTCATCAATTGCAAGACATCCAAGCACTCTTGGACGATGAATACCAATGGGTTGGTGTAGGTCGTATCGATGGTGACAAGGATGGAGAAATCTCTGCTGTTTTCTACAAAAGGTAACATTTAAGGCCTCACTTTGGATATAAGACAAATCAAAGCTAAAATACGCTTTGCAGAGATATTTTGACAGTCGAGGATTGGAAGACGATTTGGTTATCAGAGGTATGAATTTTTATTATACGCATTTGTCATCAGCACATGCTAAGTAATTTCCGCTTACAGCAACCAGAAATTGCAGGAAGTATCAGTTGGGATGCTAGACATCCTCGCACTGCAACCCAAGTAACGTATGTAGTTTTAATCAATATAAAAGGAAAATCAGATCAAAAATGGTTAATCTTATTTCTTTGTCCCATGCATAGATTCAAAAAGAATGACACTGTATTTACGGTATTCAACACACACATGGATCACGTTGGTGTGCAAGCAAGAGAAGAGGGATCCAAGTTGATTTTACAGAGAGCCCGTGAAGCCAGTGCCAAGGGTGCCGTCATTCTCTTGGGAGATCTCAATTCCACAGAAGATGATCCTGCCTACCTCTGCTTGACCAACGGCAAGTACAAGGAATCCAAGGGCAGCAATGATACACTTGCCAATTTGCACGAGTTGAATCAAGTTTGTGCATCCGCTTACTCTCAAAAGTCAGGCGAACCTGTAAGAACACAAGAAGGACATATAACATTACCTACACATCGAGTCATCCGTCCAGGACAGATCCTTGCCAACCTGAACAAACAAAAGGAACAACAAGAACAGGATGAACAGAGGCCCAAGTACTTTTTAGATGCCCATTATGAATTGACAAGCCGACTTGCAGCCAAAGGAAAGCCTGGTACATTGAGTGGACCTTATGGCTTTAGAAATACCCTGACTAGCTTTGGTGAAGGTTCTCAAGATTTTGCCAGAGCACCTATTCGCATTGACTTCATCATGCCTCTTGAAAGCAACACTGTTCATGTGCAAGTACTTCAATCTGCTATCCTCAGTAATCAATTCGACGACGGTCTCTATATCAGTGATCATCGCCCTGTCTTTGCCAAACTCTCTTGGTAATATAACATCATGTAAAATATTGACAGTTTGATAGACTACAATGATATATATATATAAAAAAAAAAGCTTTGTTCACTTTTTGCATTGAATGTCAAGTGTGTTTATAGATTCATGAGAGGTGTATGCTGTGTTCCTTTAGGGTATACGACTAACGTTGCCAAGAATAAACCAAGTGTGATGCCTAACAAGACAATGAGTATATATGTGCATTTCAATACAATTATTAGCTTACCGATGGATGATTCAATCATGGCTAATGCAAAACCAGCGCCTTGCGTCCCAACTTCATCTGTGCCACTGAACAAACCAATAGCTGCTTTGAGACCCAAACTACTTGGCACGAGATAAAAGACGCCCAGTAATACGGCATCGAACGACATTTTTCCAGTGAATTTAGATAGACAGTTACCAATGAGGCCCAGACCGAACGAAGGCACCACTTGCAGAATTTGAGAAGGTGCATGACCCCAGCAAGCCAACGCGTAGTTGATAGTATAGCCACATGCAGATACGGCTGCCATAATGGGCCATCTTGGAGGACGCGCACGCAAGTAAACGCAATACGCGGTAGCAAACAGAGGCACCATCAAAAAGTTAAACCATTGAGATTCGCTTGAGATACACGTAGCAGCACTGGAAGCCAGCTTGCATACATCACTTTGCGTCGTGTTGCTGTTCTTGTCCATGGTCATGTACAGTTCAGAACCCATGGAGACACCGTAGCCTAGCAAGAACGAGTAAATGATGGCATACACCATACGCACCACGCCACTGACCAGCTGGCGAGAGACCAACTCAATGATAGCTACAGCCATGGGGTAACCTGGCAAAACAATGATGAAGGAAGAAAAGGCAATAGGTGTAAAGCAAAAGCCAAATTTCTGGATGCCTCTTGCTACAAATCCAATGAGAATACATACTGTGATCTCCCAAATAGGTTGAAAGCTGGAGATAGCAGCGGAAAAGATCTCGTTTGAAGCAAAGACCACTAAACAAATGATATTTTAGTATGTAGTTTGACACACAAACACAAAGTAAACCTACTGCCAAGCGCTGCTGCTACACCCGCTTCTTGCCAACGACCGCCATAAAACAGCACACAGCCCGAGAACGCAGCCAAAGCATAGACAAAAGGATGCAGCCAAAGCGGATAAATAGGCGGTTGATCATACACTTTATCGATAAACTCCAGTGCTTCATCCACAGATACTTCACCGTGCGCCACCAGCTTCTCCAGACGGTAAATGTCAGCCAAACGATGCATTTCAAATGTCTGCGATTGTCTAATAAAATGAGTTTCTGTTGTATGCGTTGTGGAATCGATAAAGGTGACGAGCATCACATTGGGTATAAAGACATATTCAGCATCTACAGCGAGTGTGCGAGAGACTTGTCGCATAGCGTATTCCAGTCGATGCGCGGGACATCCATACAGCATCAGTGATTTGCACAACTTCCTCAAAAACTCTTGCTTTTGCAGAATGTTGGCGATTTCAAAGGTGATTCGGATGCGATCTTCCAACGTGATGGGCTCGAATTGTGAAGCCGTGGTCAACATGCTGTCGTTGGACGAGCGACGCGAAAACGAGGGCGCTACTGACTTCTTGCGTTTCTCTAGACTGGGCACCACGTATTTGCTGGAAGCGACACCAGCCAGCCAACTGCTGGGTCGGTTGACCAGTGGTGGTCGTTGAGGTCGCGGTGTGGGTAATGTATGGCCTGAATTCTCTGATAAGGGATCGGTGTTGGAGTGAACAGGGTAATTGAGCAGAGAAGAGGAGCCGTTATTTTTGCGCTTCATGTACAGTGTCTATATTGGAAATGGTGAGTGCCTATAGATACATGCATATGGCTCCATGTCCTAGACTTACATGTTTGTTCTTTCTGCGCTTCTTTCTGGTCATATTATCTGCTCTTTTGGCTTCCAATTTCATCAGACTAGCCAACACACTGCCTCCGCCCACAGCAGCCTGATGTGGCGACTGTAGCTCGACTTCTTCCTCCTGCTGATGTTGATTATGTCTGTTCTGCATCATGGTTCCAAGAGGATCAGGTGTATGATGATGGCCCATTTTAACACTCAGCATACGTTGAACCAATGCTGCCGACTCAGCAACGTGGTCATGGAACCGAACATGACGATCCTTGGCTTCATCCTTATCCAATGCAGCTTCCACCAAGGTGTTGGCGGCAGAGTCGTCCAACGGGAAACCTGCTTTATGATGATCATTGTTAAGAGAAGGGAGTTGACTCATGGTTCTACTGGTGGAATTGGAGTCATCAAAGGAAGGTGTATCTGGATGACGATGATGGTGAAGACCCATATTCAATGTATCGCTTTCACTTTCCGTGTCTGTGGTGATGACCTCGTTATCTGTGCTGGTATACGCTGCGCTTTGTCTGTTCATGTCTGGATGTAATATAGCTTGAGACGAAGATACGGTGGAGAGTACAGGCGATTGCGGTATGTCTACTGGCTTAAGGACATGCGATTCACCACTGGTCGTCAATGCGAGTTCAGGTAATCTGGGCCATGAGTTTGAGGTCTGTAGTTTTCCTGGTCTGACAGGTGTAATATCAATCTCCTCGTCAATGCCACTGCTTCTGTTACTGCTGTCATGGTCACTTTTCCGATTATTCCTCTTTTTGGTATGATTTCTTTTAAAGAATCTATCCATGATAGATCAAAAAAGATGTGTGTGTTTGTTTGGTAAATGTGTGAAAATAGAAAAGAAAAGTATGCAAGTTTGAGATTTCTAATAAATAATATCAAGAAAAAAATCAGAGACATTTTATATATGTAATATCGGATAAGAGGACAATGATTCAGTTTTTTTTTTTTTTTTTTTTTTTTTTTTACTTGATTTGATGTGATCCATTGGCTCATCCTACCCTTTCTCAGACTATCTGATTTCCTGGCAAGATAACAAGCACATCAAACAAAACAAACCTGCTTGCTTTTCTTGCACTTTTTTTTTGATAGCACTAGACTATTTCAAACATTAGCAGATTTTGTAGTTCTTGATGTTCTTATCGATGTAATCTCATAAACAAGTGTGTATTCATTTACCTCGCCATACTTGTACTGAGATTATGCCCGCAAACAACTTCCGCTAGGGCTGATATGTAAAAAAAAAAAGAGAGAGATCAGTCCACTTTTGGCAACTTGATCCTATCAATGGCCAGCTTAAATTTATATGAAACCAAGAAATTTTTTCTTCCTAACATCTTGTCATGATTGAGCATGTTACCAATGAGATACATGCCCGCAAAAGATGACGACCCTCTATGAAAATCCATAGACGTGTCTAGAATGCGGGTGCCTCAAAGTGCAAGATGATAGTTTTTCATTAAATGAAACTAGACTCATTTTGGAGTCTTTACATGTAATATCATTACAGGGATTTCACCCAAGAGCTCTTGAGAAGGGTCATTTCAATGGCGTGAGATAGCTCAAATGTTGTTTCCTTAAGCTTGCTATCAGATACTATTCGCGTGTCTTCATATTCATGTTTGGATGGCAATCAGCTAGAGATAAGCTTCACCTATTCTAGATTGATACACATCATATGGAGTGGCACTCGATGGCATTGCATATAATGGGTATCGACTGTATACTCAGCAGGCATATGCTTATCACTAGCTATTGATGAGCCTTGACCTTTGCTTCAATGGCTACGATGGAAGATTGACAATGCTGTCGTTGTATAACACATGCGTCCAAAAGTTTTTCATGCTCAGAGAGAGCTATGAGGAGTTTTTGGTGATACACTTTTCCAGCTAAAAAGATGTCCTAAATACCTACTGCAGTCTGATATCTCCAACTACGAAAACAAACATTTTATTTCATTTAAGCGATCAAGTGTCTCTCTCTAGAGATAATAATCTCGTGCTAACCAATAACAAGTAATTTCATCGGTATTTAGGGTATGTTTTGTCGTTGCCAAGGAGACGAGAGGTCTCTTATCGAAAATCGATACTCGTTTAGGTCGTACTGCTCTTTGTATTGTTCTAGCCACAATCCGTTTTGAGTCTAACAAATACTTGAGAATGTGATAAAGCTCAAAATTTGTATAGAATCCTTGAAATGATTCTCGTAACAAGGCCTATATACACAAGTATGTTAGCTCATCCTCTGGGGCGAGTGAATGAATACTACTTACAAATGATATGCCCGGTTTCTTCAGGATATGGCTCATGATAGCATTAGCACAACCTTCTAGCGCATCGGGAATGATGGATCCGGTTGTATCATACCACATGAGCGGCAAAATGTAGCGTACTTTGTTTTGCTTGATAAACCAATCTGACATGAACTCGGATGCTACATAACGTAAATGTTCGAATCCAATGATGCAAATCAGAGGTGGACTATGGCTTTCAAGTGATTCTAGTGCATCAAAGAACAAGAGGGATTTCTCATGAGAATGCTGGCCGTCAAATTTAGCCCGTATCTCATAGATGGATGCACCAGCCTTTCCAAAGGAACACACTATATTGTACAATGCCCCTGAAAGCGGGTGTTTGTCCTTGAGTGCATGCAACATGTCTTCAATTTCTTCATGTGTCGATATGGATACAACGCCATCACGATCTACGCAATTATCAGGTACGTCGCGAGCAATCAAATCACATGTGGAAGTGATACGTAGGTCGAGGTCTTTGTAGATATACGCATCACGCAATGCAGCTAGACAAGCAAAGGTTATCACCAGGAGCGTATGGATACTATGCTAATAGTATTTACCTGCTGATGCTTTGGGATAGTAAGTAGACCGTTTTGGCTTGAGGTATTTCTCGACATCCTGCAAACCTATTGAAATCTAGAGGCTGTGAATACATGGTATTTGTACTAAAGCTGTCAAAGGCTTACCTTTCCCTGGGAAGCAAGGTCTAGAACAGCGGCTACTGTTCCATTGTTGATATGAGATGCTTTCAGATCAGTAAAATAAGCGCTAGAAGCCAGAGTTTCGTGAAATTGCCTTGCTTGCTTAAAGAACTCGTAAGGAAGGATGCCAGCAGCCACAATGAGAAACCTGCTACCATTAGCATCTCTTCAGCTGTTTGTGTATAAATGCTACTTACTTTTCAGATACATTGATGCCTCTTCCTGGAATGCGACCAAAGCCTGCTTTGCCTCTCATGAGCATGCCCGTTGCCGTTAAATTATCGACAGCTTGTTCAATCACCTCTTCTGGATACGCTCTTAATAGCATGTAGGCATCTTTGGTGCTGTATTTATCGTCTGGCGTGATCAACATCATCTACACAAAACGCTGTGATGAATGCATGCTCCACAGCAGATACATACCACTTTTATTTACCTTGATGAGGACCATGACCAAGTACATGGATACTTTCTGCTCGTCATAATGATTGACGCTGTTGGTCGAGATGTCATATTCATGTCCATCAAAGCAGTGTGTGTACGCAGCTACTTGGTAGTAATTATCAGCAGCACTGGTAGGGATGCCATCCCGAACAATGGCGAATTTTGAGTCAAAACCGCTTAGCTTTCTCGGCAAAGGCACAACAGCGTCTGCTTGCTTCTCTCTCTCTTGCAATTTCAGAATAAAATACTCCAGAAAACCAGGCAAATCATAGTCCTGAGTATCCCATGGTGCGTCGTCCTTGATCTCTCCCTTGGTAATGCCTTCTTGGTATATCTGCTTCCAATCCGCCTTCAATTTGTTGATGGTGTCCAAGAGCTGAGGATTTAGTCTTGTCATATAGCTAATCGTGCGACGGGATTTTTCTGGTGTACATGATGTGATGACTTTGGCAATGGGACTCCAGTAAAAGAGCGAGGCATCAGCTCTTGCTTTCATGATACTGTAAGCATGTATCATGACATCCTTTTCAACATCGCTTACGATGTGGCCATCTGCATTTTTGGCTACAATGACAAATGGGTGTGTCAGCTAAGAAACTTGTCTTTTCTCCAACAGTAAACACTTACTGTTTCTCTTTTGAGCACCCTCAGGTTCGACTGGAAGTCTTAATCGTCGCAGCTTTCTGCTAGCTACGAATGTGGACTGAACAAAAGGCCCTTGCTGTTTCAGCTTGAACATGGCTGCATTGATCTTGCGCTTTTCCATCGAGGCTTGCATCAATTCAGCAATAGCAGGTGACGCCTTGAGATTCTGTTCCTTTCTTGCCGCCTTTTGCTCTTCTTTTTCCTTTCGACTGGCATATTTCTTGAATGCCATCAACACTGAATTGTAATACGCTTGAACACGCTTTGGCGACAGATCTGTCTTTCGCGCAATGTGAATTCGCAGTGTTTTGTCATCGTCAGTAGGCACCGTTTTGGCATCAAAATCAATAAAGGAATCGAGTACAGCTTTCTGTGCTTTGGGTAGCAGCGTGTTGGATCGCCATGATCTCACCAAAACAATGTTATAAAAAATGTCATTCTCGTCGTGGAGGGTGTCTGTTTTCATGCGCTTCACTACACAGCACCTATGCAAATCTCTCCAATACCGCTGCATATCTTTGATGTCGCTCAACTGCAATGTGTATTGAAGAGGGTGTCCTGGGGCGGCATAGTCTCTTATAATGCCTTGCTTCAGTAGCCATATCTTTGGCGGAATCCTATATCCAATCATAGCGCCCCCTTCAGTCTCTATCAGCGACAGAGCATGCAAGGCTTGAATCAGACGCACAATACGTACTCGAATACGAGGTGCTGCTTGAGATACAATTTCCTTGATATCTGCTGGTAAATTACAGATAGCCGTGTCTCGGTTCTCTTCCACATCAAGAAATGCCTTCAGTGTAGGGTCATCGTATGGCAGTGTACCGTAAATCTTCATGACTGTTCGCAATCTAATCCATTTCAGAAAATCAGCCATATCCACCATGCCATCTAGAGAACCTCTGAATGTGAGATATTTAAACAAAGCGACATGCAATACTTTTGCTCTATTCCATTTAGAAGGCACCCAGCCATTCTCAATGGCATTGACACGCCATGAATTGGAATTGCCCACAATCGTTACCCCTGATTTATCCACGCAATGACTGGAATGCGGCAAAGCAGGCATAGCAACAGCCTTGATCTCCTTCCGCCCTGAGAGACCATCCATAATGGGCTTCTGAACATGATAGTGGTCAATAAACTCCTTTACTTGAGGGCTGTCTGCCGTCAAACTGGCGTGCAACACAAACTTCTTGATGTCTGTCAATCCATTGGGCTTCTTAATGGCAGTAACATAGATTTTGAGCTTCTGCTGATCGTGCAATTCCTTCACCAAGTCGTCAAATGTTTTGCGTGCCACGTTCTGGCCTCCAGCTGTCTCCAGCTCAATGCTCCTGAATTCGGTCATCATGTCTGAATTGATTTCTCGGATATGAACCTTCTCCACCATGTCCAAGATGATACCACAGCGACGTGTTTTGGTAACGTTGCGCACTGGATCCTTCTTTCCTCTTTTCTTTGTAGTAAGCGACACAGGTTTATCGTTTGTCTCATCAATGGCTCTTTTGTTGGGTATTTGACTAGCTAGTTCTTCTGTATCAACGGGCGGTGGTGTACTGGCTGGTGTACTGGCTGGTGTGCTGGCTGGTGTGCTGGCTGGTGTGCTGTCAGCCGTGGTTTTTCGTTTCTTGGCCGCTGCCTCTTTCCTGGCTTGATATCTTTCCTTGCTGTAATGTAGACGTTTGCGAGCAGGTTCCTTCAATGCCCGGCTGATCTCATCGATGGATGTGGGTTCCCGTAGTATCTCGGGTTCTTTTGACTTTGGAGCTATATCTAGGGTGGGCTCGTCTGTGATTTGAATTCCATTTGCTTTGTTGAAAGCTCTCCATCCACTCTGGGTATAATATCTGAATTGCCGAGTCCTTCCAGATACCTCTTCAGTACAATGCAACATGTATGGCATCAAATCCGAGGTTTTTGGCGGAAAAGTAGCGCTATCAAAGAAAATCTTGGTTTGGACAGGGTCAATAAACGGATATTTGTCAATCAAGTCTTGCCGAGTAAGGCCTTTTTCTGCTGCAGCTTGGACGTCCCTGTAAAACACATAGTCGCAAGGTAAGTCTCTGTCCATTGCAAAGGGCTTACTGGCTTGTATTGCATCTTCTTGAAGCCCATGGGACGTGGCTAATGTGGATAGTGTAGTTGAAGTTGACACAAGCCTGATACATTGTCTCAATCTCTTGCCATCGGTCGCATTGAATTTCTCGATCTGGCCTTGCTCATGCATCTCTTGTATCCTCACTCGAGCCCATTTCTTCTCTTTGATGGTGTCAAGCGACAATGCCTCAAGCAAATCGGATATGGGCATGATGTGGTCTGCCTGTTGTTCGAGTATTTTGTTGATTGTTTCCTTAAACACTGGCAAGCGATAGATGATACTTTCATTCTGCTGATTTTTGGTTTCTTCATTGCTTGTTCGACTGGCAAAGCGCTTCAGAAATAGCAGCTTTGTAATCATGCGAGATGCGTATGCGTCTTCCTTGACTCTACAACATGCGTGAGTGGTCATGGATCAGAATGTGGGTGCTGCTTCCTTACATTAAGCCTAGCTGATCTAGTTTCTTGACATGGTAATAGATGGTTTTCGAATCCATATCGAAGAGTTCGCCCAATTCATATTGACTGATGCCCTGATTTCGGCTCTTTGCAATGCTGTTCAATATGTGTTTTTGTTTCTCGTTCAAGCTCTTTTTCACATCCTTTTTGAAACAAACTGCACTATGAGCGTTTTATTCATATCCATTGCCTCGTCTTCACTGTACCTTTAAGCTTCCATAAATGTTTTGATCCAGCACTTGATCTGTTGTTTTGACAAGAATGTCCCTTGATTTGAGCTCATCGTAGGTGAGGTCCGTGGGATCGATGGCTTTTTCATTACACTGCAATGCGTCACTCATCCCGGTCTATCATCTGCCCTTGTAGAATTTACCTCTGTAAATAGTAATTGTGTGTTATGTTTGATTTGTTGCCAGAGGTATGCTTTATAGCGATCGTCAAAGAGTATTGCATGGTTGAGTGGAGTGTCTTTCAAGGCCTTTGTAAGCAACGTTTCCACAAGAATGAAAAGCTTGTCGACTGTGCATCCTGCTCATATACGCTCATCAAGTCAATAGATTATCTAAAATAGCTGCCATCCTACGTACCTTGATCTCCTTCTAAAGCAACCTCGTCGGCAATGCCATTTAGAACCTTGTCCATGCTTCAAGTTGAAAAATTAAAATGAAAAATGGAACGTCAAAACAAGCAAAAGTGTGTGCTTTGATAAAAATTAACCCTCCGTGGCTGAGAAATCAGCGTCAGTGAGGATGGCAAATCATGCAATTATCAGTGACATTCCAGACTGGCTGCCACTATCACTCATCACATCACTCAATTGGGATATGAAAGAAGGGTTTATTTTTATATAAAAACTATATACAGGGCAATGGGTCTAATTTTAATCTTTTCTAGTGGTCAGATTTCTGGCTAATTGAATCAATGCTGCCTGAGCTTCAGAAGATGGCAATTGTTCAATTGCTGAAATTGCTAAATCTATGTGTTTGTTTGCTAATGCAAGCGTCTTTTTTAATCCGCTACTCTGATATACCAACAGGCGTGCCTGTCTCTTGTGTGAATATATGTGTATCTGTTTGTGCGTGCGCAGTGAACATACCTTTTCAGCATCTCCCTTTTCAATGAATCCACGTTCAATCAAAGGTCCTAATTCTGCGTGCTCCTCCCATGCCAATAAAACAGGCGCTGTGATCCAGCCTGAACTGTGCTGCTTTTTTTCAATGTTGGCTGCATGCTGAGAGAAATCTCGAAGATCATCAATAAGCTAAGTGGAGGGTCTGGTTAGAACTGGATCTTGGCATGCTTGAATAAAATTTACCTGGAACGCAATGCCTAGATTTTTGCCATAGTCATATGTCATTTTGGCAACATCGCTTGAACAGCCACCCAACACAGAAGATGCCTTGCAGCTTTGAGCAATCAAACTGCCTGTCTTCAAGTACACCTTTTCCAAATAGTAGTCGAATACCTTTTGTTTGTCGGGGTTTTGCTTGTTGAGATCATGTAATTGCATAAACTCGCCCTCCACGAGATTAGCAATACAAGTAGCAATCAGCTCGATGCACTCTGCCTTCTTTAGCTGAGCCAATGCAAGTGAGGCACGAGCCAGCAGAAAATCGCCAGCCAAAACAGCCATCTTGTTACCAAATCCTGGATTTGTCACTTGCTCTCCGTTATCAATCACATCATAATGAAGTAGAGATGAGGTATAGATCATTTCAGAGATTTCTGCTAATCGTCTTTGTGTAGGTAAAATGGGGTTTTCTGCGGACGACACTTGGCATTCGCTATCGACATCTTCATGTAGCAATTGCTGTGTCGATTTCTTGGGTGCCTGGGATGTTGCTTTTGCTATCAACAATACTAAAAGAGGTCGGATGCGATTGGTGTCACCTTGAAAGTAATGCTTGCCGATGGTGTTGATAAACGGATGGCCAGATCCTAGCAGTTTGGTAATGTTGCCTTTGAGCTCCCATAAATCCTTACCAACAATTTTAACGGGGTCAAATATGCGTTCTTGGTCTGCTGAATTGACTAGACTCTGTGCCTCTTTGACAGCTTGGTCCCAACTGGTGGCATGGCCAGTGAATGGCAGCGATTCAATGTTGGGCCGAGTCACTTTACGCAATGGTGTTGCAGTCAGCAGTGTGGATTTAAGGACGTTCATGCCTTGTGCCAACTTGTCAAAAGGCGAATCGTCTTGCGCTGAGGGCTTCAATTCAACAGCGGCTTTCTTGTTGAAGTGTGTGGATGTATGATGAAATGTAGCCACAGAGACAGGTCTTGCCATCAAGGCAGGATTTTTGGATAGTGTCTTGAAACTACTACGCGATAACATGTTTGAGATAAGAGAAGAAGGAAATCCCTGGCTCATTTCCCTCTATCGTCTATTTTGTACACCAAATCTTTTTTGAATCCCCCCTTGTTTGACGTTGATACCATACCTGGGGTTGCTTCTCAGATGCCAACATTTTATGAATTGTGCACAGAAATTTCGGCAGTCCCTGATACAGCAGATCCAAAAGATCCATTGCTTTCTGAATTACTGCAAAATACATCCCTACTAGTGTGTTTCCGCCGTCTGCAAGTACTCATCTGATACACCTATTAAAGTCGATAGATAAGGTCCCTGTCTAGCGGTTAGGATATACGAACAAGCAATCACGTTATGAGCTGCTCTCATAAGGCTATTGTTTCAGATGGAGCACCTTTAACATGACAAATGTAGTCGTATAACAAACTGACCGTCTGTGGTCGCTGATGCTTACGTGGCCTATTATTTGATCAATTGGTGTGTATGGAATTGACTACTTGGAGAAAGTCTATTAATGTAGGGCGGTGGTAATCACTGCAATGAATACAGTGATGTTGCCAAATAGCTGTTACCATGCACAGCGTCATGTTTGTCACATGGCCATCAAATTAAACGTAAAATAAGGATTGCATCCGAGATGTAATATGCAATTTTGAATAGATTGGACAGTTATGCCTTTCACATTTCGGTGTGCACTTGAATGAGCAATCTGCCACGATAAGACTTCATAAATGTGCCAGTTTGCATTATAAGCAATAAAAAGTAATCATAGCAAGTTGTATTTCTTTTGAATGCGTAATAGTTTTCAAAATCATGGATTACCTTCATAACATGGCCAGCCAGCCAAAAGAATTTAAAACGTCGGTTTACTTGTGCTCCAGATTGGACGAAAACTGCTCAAAATCGACCTGTTCGATCTGTTTTGCAAGATTCGACGATGTAAAAAGTGATAGTTATCCCATCCCTCCTTGAGCTTTCCTGATGTACTTTTCAAGATGCATCCACTGGTGCCAAATATGACAGATGTTTTGAATAAACTCATTGAGCAACACCGAAACATATGAAATGAGGTTTTCGGCTAAAATGCTGAAATTTTGTATACAAAGTTTTCACAATCAAAGTTTCAGGGACTGCCCTGGATCCATAGCGACATTTTGATGTAATATATGCCTTAGTAAAAAACCTTCATTTTTGTGGTCAAAAACGCGATCGTTTGATTTTTGATGAACATCATGAGGTACCCCTCATGGTTTTTGGTCGATTTTTGGCCATGTTTTTTTTTTGGCCCAAAAAGTTGAGCAAAGATGTCAGGAAGTTGCTACTACTCAAGTACAATTGCTTGGTCTTATTCTGGTAGCCTAAAACTGCCTCTAAGGCGAAAAAATACTGCTCAAATGCCTTCCGATTTAGCTGTTTTTTGCATATAGATGCGCAGTAAGAGGTAAGGTAAGAATATGGCATGCCTGTATACGAATTGCTCCCATTGATACAGACTGAGGGCATCTCAGAGAAGTATGATTCATAGTTATAGATGGTTTATAAAGTGCTAACCAATGAAACGAAGCTTGAAATGCTGAAATTATAGTGCATGTTACTAAACATACACACCCTCACATATATTATGCAGCTTCTTTAACCCCACAACGCATAGTACTTGACATGAGATATGCTATATGCTGAATCTTTGAACATGAATCACACAAGATGCTCATTAGGGCATTTCAAGATAGTATTAGGCTATACAAAACACCAGAGCAATTACTTGCTTTTGATTGATAATTGGACAGAGTGCATTTGAAAAAAAAAAGACACGGTCTTTGATCGTTTCGAAGCAAAATCAACTTTGGTTATCATAATGAAACTGATAAAGTTTGCGTCAATCATTTCAATATAAACTTTACTGAAACACAAAATGAAGTATTTTGTAAAATAGATCAAGCAAGACGATAGAAAAGCTAAATTATCTTGCTTGAAGACATGCACTGTACCTACTTGAATGAATAAAACGAGAGCTCACTTTTTTTTTTTTTTTTATTAAATAATAATACTAGAATTTTCATTTTGGAATAGCAATGGCATAATAAAGATATGATTAAAAGTTTGTAAACTTGCCCTGCTTTGAAGATCAAGGCAACAACTTTCCTATACTAGAGGCTTGATCTTGAACACTAGAGTAGTTTAGGAGACGAGTTTAATATGGTGCACTCGCATCAAGTGCTTCCGGAAACTTGATTTACTACAATAATAATATTCGCATTGTGCACAGTGATGTTTTGGGTCGTTGACATCTATAGTTGCCTTGGGGCTGCTTATAGTCCTACGGTGAAATACCATGGAATGGACAATCTTGCAGTGCTTTCGATATATTTGTCTTGTTTTGGAGGTCCTTTTGCATACACTGCAGTAATAGTGAGGATCGTATGGGTCTGGTAGGTTTTTATGGTCGGCATTGCCTCTAACTGACGGAAATGTCATTTGGTGAATTAGGCGAAGATGTATCCGATATCTTCTTTTTGAAATATACGTCTTTTGACAGGCACGGCAGTAATTGTTGGGATCATTATCATCTGGCTCCAGTTTGCTTTTGTTGCGTGGTGCTGGTGGAAAGATAGCGTGCATTATCTTCAAATGCATTTTGAAGGAGGGTTTGTTTGCCAATGTTTTATCACAGGAACGACAGTAAAAGTTGGAATCATTGACATCAGGGATTGCGATTGTGGGCTCTTGTTGCAGTGTCCTCCAATCCACTTTGTGAATATTATGAAGATGCGCAAAATAAGAACGCTTTTTTGCCAGACGTCTGTCGCAGAATTTACAGTAAGTAGAGTTAATCATCAAGCCACCTGCTATTGACCATTGGCGGGCATACTTGACAGATGTCAGTCCATGTACAAATTTACAATGATCCTTGTAGTAGCCTTTATAATTATAGGTGTGATCGCATGCTTTGCAGTAAAAGTTTGGATCGTCAGGATCAGGAACAATGTCATTTTGGAGCGATTTCAATCCCTGCGTTGGCTTCAAAACCATGTGGTGGGAGTTTCTCAAATGACTCCTGTACGCGCCGTTGTCGCTAAACTTCATTTCACACGACTTGCAATAAAAATTGGGGTCATGTACATCTGGTTCCAAATCTATATCTTTGATTTTTCTCCTGCCTGAATTCTTAAAATTGTGAATTGACTTGCGATGTTCCAAGACAGATCTGAGACTCTCCATCCTCCTGTTGCAAAGATTGCAACGATAGTAATAGCCTGCTTTACCGAAACCACCTGCCAGTTGAAATTATTAGGATACGTTTGTGATACTGCTATGCATCTTACTATTTTGCTGTAGCATATTTTCGTGTTCCTTTGTATCTTCTTGCTTGATATCGATACCGAAGGCTTCAGTATATTTGGAGGTAAAAGTAGATGACCTGGCAACTGTAGAAGCAGGGTTGAGGTCTTCTTGCTTGATACTGCCCAAAACGCGCTTCTCACTGCATTTTAGTTTCATAGTAAATTGATTAAGGAAAAGAGGGGCGTGCAAGCTTGCAGTTTTTCTCTCAAGCCACCTTTATCGCTGAAATTTGATTGACCATTGTTTATTTCATGCAAATACTGTATCGTTTCTTTAAAATTGCTGCATATACCAAAATATTAGAATTACACACACTCTTACATCAAGCTTTAAACACTATATCTCTTACTATTGCTCACCGTAAGGTATATATTTAATATATAAACACTAGTGGCTCACACTTGACGTATAGAATCTTGAATAGCGTTAGTCATTATTGCATTTTGCATTCTAGTTGACATTTGGAGAAATAGTTTGCAACTATTGAAGCTATCAAACATACAATTCTGAAATTTTAGAAAAAGAGAGTGGCCAGGATAAGCTATAGTGCCTCTCAATTCGTCATTCTCTTGTTATTAGCTTTGAAAAAAATGGCTTTGCCTTCATGAAAGATGCATTTGCCAGCCAAGCAGGACATAACTCCGTTCACTCTTTTTTTTTTTCGGCCAGGATTGGTCAAATCTGAAGATAATCGACTCAATTTTATTTACTTTTCAAATTCGACTATAAAAAAAGTGTAAATTTCTACATATTCTTTTAAGTTGCCTAAGAGTACTTTTCAAGGCGCTTCCAATGGTGCTAACTGTAATAAGCATCTTGACTGAACTTATTGAGCAATTTAATAAAATTTGAAACGAGGTTTTTAGCGAAAATGGCCATATTTTGCATATGAAAACCTTTTAAAAATGGTTTCAGAGGTTGCTTTGGATCGAGAGAAACATTTTGATTTAACAAATACCATAGTAAAAGTCTTCAAATTCGATATCAAAAACGCGATCGTTTGATTTTCGATAAAATCCATGAGGGGTACCTCATGGTTTTTGATCGATTTTTGGCCATGTTTTTTTTTTGGTCCCAAAAAGCTAAGCAAACGTGTCAGAAAGTTACTGCTACTCGAATACAATTGTTTGGTGCTACTCTGGCAGCCTGAAACGGCTTCTAGTGCAGGAAATCACTGCCCAAATGTATCCATATTTCGCTGTGTATTACATATTTTGGAATAGTGAGAGGGAATACAAGTATGCTGTCTATTTGTAATGACTTATTTCCATTGATACAGATGTGGGGCATCGTAGAAGAGTCAAATCCACAGCTACAGGTAAGCTTAAGAGGGTTCATATGTGGTAGTGGACGCGAAAAATCAGCAGAGTTACAAAGATTGCGCGAATACAAAGAAGAAAGCTAATACTAATAGCATTCAGAAAATCGAAATGTATCCCTTTTTGATTCCAAACATTGTTTTTTTTTATTACAAAAAAGCCAAATATACTCTTTTTTTCAGCGCAGGTATCGAGTGAATTACTATCAAGCCATTCAAACATTATACATAACGCATTCCTCTATAATGATAGGCATGGTGTTGCTTGCATTGCTGAACGGTTCTACTACCTACAGCCTTGGCAAGTTCTTGAAAAAAGGTCTTGATCCCTGTGGGTGGGCAGGAGGTCAATTCCATAAGCTTGGTTTTGAATTTCTTCTTTTCTTCCTCGCTCCATCTACCACTGTTCATTTGAATAACCACGTAGTTGAGGGCCTCAATGTTTTCCTTCTTAATGGGCTGACTCTTAATGGGCTGACTCTTGATGCGCTGGCTCTTGATGCGCTGGCTCTTGATGCGCTGGCTCTTGATGCGCTGGCTCTTGACTGGTGATGAAGAGAAACTGATACTGCTTTCAATCTTGGCTTCTTTATCGTTGATAGTGCTCTTCATATTGATTTCCTTGCAGGCGGATGAAGAAAAAGGGGACGAGGCAGAAGACGTAACTGTGCTATGGAAACGTTTACCGGCTTCCAAGAGAACAGGCTTGGGGGACTTGACAGCAGCAGCAGCAGCAGTTGGCAAGGCGTTACCTGGCTTTAACCAAACCTCGGAAACACTGGAGTAAGAGCTAGCAGTAGGAAAAGAGTGAATGACCGTAGTCAATGGCTTGAGTCCAGTCGATATGATGATAGCGGATGAGATATTGCGAGCAGAGATGATATGTTTGATCTGAGACATGAGCATTGCAGATGTATACAGCGTGTAACGATTGTGAGGAGTTTTGGTATATAAAAGTGATATGTAGTACTAGATACTTCCATTGGAGGCTCCATTTATACCTTTTTCTAGCTGTATTGAAAGCTATACCATGGATATCTTTAAGCCATCTGTATATGGCAACTTTTTGTTCGATATAAAAGGCAGCTTCTGTACAGAATGAAATCAAAAGCTTGGTTTTTCAACGCAGTATTGTTTTTAGTTTATTATGGTAACAATCAGAGGTATACGTTCATGCTTCAAGTTGGATTGAAGAACCCAATTAGCAATGCATCTGCTGGTGTAGTATTTAAGCAGCTTGTACGCTCCATACACTTCAGGTACCAATTTTTAGGCACGAATTTCCTCTTGATAGCTATGTCTTTGTCTCAAAGCAGAAGGTGCATTAATGCTTATTTCAATGTTTCTTTGTCCCGTAGCATATTCAGGGGATGCAGCATGATCGACGCTCATATATATAATAACCAAGATCAGGGGAGTTTGGTGTGTTTTTTTTTAAGACAAAGCCGTTGTTGAGGGTATCATTATTCATTCTTTATAATAATAATAATAATAATAATAACAGCAATAAGTGATAATGAATATGAGTGTTTGTATATATATATATATGCGTGATTTGTATGTATATAAGGGGGGCCGTGATGTCTCTCTACTGGTCTCTACTTATGCTTGGCGACCTCTTTGGCTGGAAATCGCTTGCGTAACATTGCAATCATCTGGCTGAACCACCAAACATTCAAACATGTGGTGACGAAATTAGCAACTCCATAAACAATCCAATCTACAATTTTAACAAATCAATTGACCAGCAATCAAACACTGGGAAACCCACAAACTTACATCTCAAAGGGACATCCTCCTTGACTGTATAGATATCAGCTATAGAAACAAAAAAAGTCAGTGAATTCCCACAAGCAGGATCATTCCGTTGTATGACTTACACCACATTTTGTATGACATAAAAGTACCAAACACGATACGCGCAAAGAAAAATGTCAACAGAAGCACCATACCGTTCACCAATTGAATCTTGGAGCCAGTCCAACCCAATTTGTCCTATAAGCCAATATTTACACCGATGAGTCCCCTATCACTTCTACAGTGGATCTTGTTCTGTTCCTTACCATGAACCAATGAAAGTTGAGAAATATAGTGCTGAGCTCGTACATCAGGAAGATGGCACCATAGTAATTAACAAAAGGACGCTAGTCATCCTAAATGTTAGCAAATGGCCCACATATAACATCCCACGCTCTCTATGTATACTTACAAAAGAAAAGATAAAGACAGAGAACGAAGCGACACCATGGAACACCATACTGATACCTTGATATTTGTAAAAATAGATGGCAATGATTGTATCCCATAAAAAGTAACTAGATACACTAATTAGATCCATGATATCCGCAACAGCTGGATTTTGCTTGTATTTACCCGCAAGAAATAGAATAAATATCAGCAGCCCATCTCACATAGCCGAACACTCTATCTTGATTGAGCGAATTGTCTGCAAAAATAAAGAATGATCCAAGCACAACCACTATACAATGTACAGTGGACACAACATGGACATGCCAATTTGGTGCATTGTACTGATCTGTGCATGAGTATCCCATAGCAACCATACACCAACACCTTTTCACTTACGCCTTTGAAGAATTGAAATGTCTTTGGAAATAACACTGGTGAAAATATACGGGAAATTTCATAGATGATGGCGAATACAACAGCTGAAGTCAATACAGATTGCCAATGATACCGAAGTGTCGACAGAGATAATTGATCCAAGATATCACCAAATGTTGATGACGATACAGCCATAGATTCCATTTTGTTAGTTTAAAAGAGAGACAGAGAGAGAGAGAGTAAGAAAGGGAGAAAAGGGAGCGATACAAGTCTTTCGTTAATTTTATGCCTTTTTGTTGATTTCAATTTATTGAAACTCCCAAATGTAATAATAAATGCTTGTTGAACCCCAAATATTCTTGTGTAAAAAGGTACAAAAATGCGTGTGTAAAAATATAAATACGCTTTGCAACGGAGGTTCATACAGAGGACTCACATCAGATCGAGAAAAGGTCTGTTTATTATAATGTTAGAGAGAAACAGGGCCATTTGTTGGGTTTAAATCACATGAAGAAGAAGGCAAATCAAGCAATTAGATTACTGCTCCTGTCCTCGCCAAGCATTGAAGAGGGAAATCAAGGCTATCATGAAAATTTTTTTTATCGGAACCAGAGTTTCCATTTGGTAAAAAAACTCCAGTAGCACAAAGGAAGAGTGATTTATAATTTGAGATTACGCAAAATCGATGTGTGCTTCCTCATGTAATCTGTTTATCTTGTAAGAGTGATATAGCTTATCAACCGGGGCCACACCCGGTTGCTTGCAACAATACCATCATGATTGTGTCTTTTTTTGCAAATAAAAAGCATCATTTGAAATGCAGCAAACGTGTCTTTCATATAAATAGACATGGTTGAATCAGAGTATCAGAAACATTTGGCACCTCACATTCCTACGATAGAATTTCTATTGTGTGAGAAACATTGTAAGGTGCAGTAGTAGCTCGTTAGATTGTACATGATGGATCAAGGAGAATTCCAATATGGTTCAGATCAAAAAATACAAGGCAAGAAGTTACCAAAAATGGCATGCTGTTCGTTCCTTTTGCCACAGCTGTTGTTCCATTTAAAATAAGCTTCATGTCGGCTTGTACGTTATGATTTGCGTGGAAAAATGATTTAATCGGCTGGTAAGGGTGCGTGTGTGGGTATAAACTCGTAATTGTTGCACCTGATTTGCGTGTAAGCGAGTGTTATTGATTAAGCTATACTTAATGCCTCTTTCGTTTCATTGCAATATTAACATCAGTTGAAATCTGCCAAGAAGCAATACAGTGCCGTCTCAGGCTGTCATCATGATTGCATTGTTTTGTCATTCTCAGGATCGATTTGGAATGGTCGCTCAAGCTTTTATTTGGCATAGTAGATGCCTGTTCTCTGCTCAACAAATGTTGGGGCGGTACTCTTGTGATAATCGTGTCGTCCCGTTTCATCCATTATTTCTATTTTGTTTCTATCAAGGGCCATAATATTACAGTCTAAGGCGCGTTTGTATCGTACCATCGCATACATTCATTCAGGTCTGAAATCTGATTGATCAAGAATGATCGTGAGCCATTTCATTTGTTTCAATGGCAGTATCACATCGAGTAAGCTTAGCTTTCAGTAGTGTGTCGTCAGTGCTAAAGAAGATGCCAAAGTTGGTCTCTGCCAGCTGCTACGATTCAACAACACATTCTACTGACATGGACTTTTGTTTGAGTAGAATGGTTTGCATCTTTAGATTAGTGTCTAGAATCAAGGTACATTGAGCATGTTGTATCGCTAAAATCGGAAGCAATGTGCAATTTTGCACCTTTTTACTGATGTTTCTGATTACAAGATGTTCAACATATTGACAACAAGTTCACAAAGTTAAACAACAGCATCTCCCTTGAAGAGAGTGCAATGCGCATGTATCAAATCTATCAACAACATTGCAACGGTCACCTTTTTTAAGCTGGATGTGACTCCTCCAATGTTGTAGATTCGACACCTCTTTGTTTCCTTGCACTTTTTTTCTCAAATACTACTACAACATCTATAGCATAATGTCACAAATCTTACCTATCGATAAAAAGCAGCTTCGCGCTTGTTTATTATGTTCGCTTATCAAGGCAAGTACAGATTCACAAACCAACTGCCTTGAGTTTTATACTAAACCAACTTGTCCAAATTTAGAATGCTTCTCAATTTCGTTCTAATGGATGTGAGAACTGTGAAGAAATCCTACAAATGAGGGGTAGTATGGACAGAGTAACTGAATGCACAAGTGGAAAATTCGAAGGGTATGCTGTTTGTCTAAGTAGCAAAATGATCATCCTGAAGTAATATGTGGTGCTTTTTTTTTTTTTTTTTTTTTTCTAGTGCGATAGCTTTAATGCATCCTAAGGAGAGTTGGGTTGGCAGGTGGCAAAGAGTTGGTACGAGTTGAAATTAGAGTTTATACAGCCCAATGTGATGCTCATGTTTGACGACGAAAATAGATAAATTTCAAAAAGGAGTGTATGCCATTGTGGTTTATGGACGAGTGCCTGAAGATGTGGAAGACGAATTAGATCGACGTGGTGTGACATACAGACCAAGAGATGGCAGTGTCAAGGATTAGAAAAAACAAATTGGATTTTTTTTTATTGAAATGTGTGGAAATGGCGAAAAAAGTTATAAAGATCTTGATAATAAAGAAAGGGAGGACCTATATTCTATATGTGATGGTTTCCAAGCAAGCTAGCAACCTACACTTTCGGTTGAAGTATCACCAGGATGCTGCCAACTCAAAATTTGAGATTGTTGCTGTTGATGATGTTGATGATGATGATGATGTGGATGGTGCTGTTGTTGCTGATGATGGTGGTGATGATGATGATGATGGTGGTGGTGTTCTTTATGGAGGGTATCGTAGTTATTATCACGAATAAAATCTACCAACGTGAATGGCTCAACATTAGCTACAGAAACAGCAGCGGCGGTAGCAGCAGCAGCAGCAGCAGCATCATTATTAATAGAGCTTCCATTTACAGCGGCAATAGGAGAAGGAGGAGTGCCTGTGTGCATATTGTAGGATGGCTCTAATTGATTGTTGTTGGTGTTGGTGTTGCTGTTGTACTTTGATCCACGTCGTTCATGTGTCTTTCGGTGCTGTGTTAAATTGTCAGATCGACTGAATGCTTTCAAACAACCAGGAAAGTTACATTTAAAGGGTTGCTCATGGGTGTGAGTGCGCATGTGTCTCTTTAAATGTTCTAGACGCCTAAATCTACGATCACAGTCGGGATGACTACAAGCATGAGGCTTCTTTTGCTGTTTGCCTGCGGAAGAGGAGGAGGTAGATGAGGTAGATGTGGTTGAGGATGAGTCTAATAAGCGATTAGAAGGTGTTGGACTGTCTGAAGTCATGTTGTTTGTATGCGTGATGGTAGACAGGTAGTCTTGTTGTTGTTGATGTTGTTGCTGCTGTTGATAATTCATGAAATGCTCCTGTTGTTTAGATGGTGTTGGTAGCAAAGGGTATGGGCTGTGATGATAATAAGGATGCATAAAACCTTCTTTTTCTTCTTTAACTAAAAAAGTATTAGATGTGGGAGTAGCCGCAGAAGATATCGTTGAAGTAGATGAAGATGTATTCGGATTCTGTTGCTGATGCTGCTGAGCTTGGGCTTGGGCTTGCTGTTGTTGCTTTTGTCTTGCAAATGCCTTCTTTTCATGAGTACGGTAGTGCGCGTGAAAGTTATCGGATCGACTGAACCGTTTACCGCATCCAGGGTGAGGGCAAACATGAGAACGCTCCCCGGTATGAACCAACATGTGTCTTTTCAAATGTTCAAACCGCTTGAAGCTCCATAAACATTCAGGAAATGTACACAAGTGCTTGTTTTGCTTGGAGGGTTGCTTTCGAGTTGTTGCTCTCTCTGCGTTGTTGGTGTTGGTGTTTACTCTGGATGGTTGCTGCTGCTGCTGCGTAGTGGTAGTAGGCGGAGCAGGGACTGATGGCTGCTGTTGTTGCTGTTGCTGCTGCTGTTGCTGTTGCTGTTGAGGCAGCTGAGGTGTGGGTATAGGCAAGGAATGATGCATATGTTGAGATGGAGGTTGATTCATTTGAGGATGGTATACATGAGACATGTTGGACTGGTTCATCCAGTGATGGTAGTCCATATTGTATGTGGGTCGAGCATTGTAGTGACTTGAAGGATAGCCTAAGTCGGCAGATTGTCTCTTATCAAACGGGTGATGCTGCGAAAGAGCTGGCGTAAGTGGTGGTGACAGAACAGGGTCTTCGTGATGATGATGCTGCTGCTGCTGATGATGATGGTGATGTGTATTAGGAGGAGGAGGACAGAAAGAAGACCTTCTTGATATTGACTCTGCAAACAAGTTTGTATTCATAGTAAAAATTAGATGATGAAATGGAGGAAAGAGAAGAGAGAGAAAGAGAAGAGAGAGAAAGAGAAAGCTCAAATACACTCAATCCATCATGGACCTTTTTATTATAAAAGAATTATACATGTTGATCGATGATGGTTGGTACCTATATTTGGTTATATTGCGTTAAAGGCCTGCCCAACCTGTATACTTTTGCATGAGATCGATTCTAAACGAATCTTATACATACATGTATATGATTCGTATATATAAAAAAAAAAATGGGCGTATATCATTCTTGATACGTTGTGTAAATGGTGAGCAAGAGTCCAAAATGTGTGCGTGTATGTGTATGTGTACATGCTATAATCTACTGTTAGCCTCGATACTCCTTAGTTTTTCTTGTTGATTTGCAGGTTGTTGCATATTCGTCATTTTTAATCACGTTTTTCTCTTTATTTTCAGAACATGAAGAGAAGTGCTACAGAGTAATTCGATAGCATAGAGTGTCTACTATCTCCCATACAAGCAGCAAAGAAACGAAAACCATTCGCACACCAAATGACAAGTCTAAAAGTGAAAAAGACGCTTCAAAATGCACCATGTAGTATTTATGTATACAAATCAAATTGTTTATTTTTAGTTGAAAGAAGAATAACTTATCATTTGGTCGCTTGGCTATTTTCTTTCCCTAAACATACAGAAGATCGACTTGCATAGACGTACATGAAAGAATGAAAAGAGTAAAACAAAAAAAATAGATTTCTCGTTTCTTTGGATTCCTTTTTATATAGTAGTTTACCGACATTGGAGAACGAGAGAGCGAGAGTAAGAAGGCATCTTTGGATTCTCCTTCTTCCTATGCAAATCCTCTCCTCTTTTCTTGTTTTTTTTTCTTTGTCACTCTCCTGGATATAAGACATACACGTTACATTAGTCCAACTCGGCTTTGCTGCATTTCCCCTTTCGAAAATGAAAAAAATAACATGTCAAAAATAACAAGTTGCATAATGAAATGTGTCTCGAAAGTGATACCAAGGCACTGAATCTCCACGACTATCACCGGTCACAGTAATACAACACTCATTCGAGAGGAAATGGCGCAATTGAATAATTAATCAGCAATTCTAAAGAAATACGTTTCCCATCTCGACAAACTACATTCTTCTTTTCACTCTTTCATTGCTCTTTTAATATGACTTCAACCTACCCGCCCAAAGTCTCTGCTCAAGAACTACAGGATACTGTCTTGGTGGCAATCGATTGGGCCCTTGCTCACGGCCTCATTGTGCGACCTACCAAGGATAAGCAATTAACAAACAACGCGGCTGTCACGCATGCCCCTTTTGCCCTGTATCCTACTCCTTTTCCCCGTAAAGAATTTGAAAAAGCTAGAGATGTGCAGCAACCTTGGAACACCCTGATTCACAAGATGAGTCAAGACGATCAATTGATTTCAGAGACCATGGAAACGTAAGATGCAAATACTTCACATTGTGAAATGATCGTCAAGAACTAAAAATTTCCGCCTCCAATGTAGATTATCAAAGCTGGATGATTTCATGAACGAATTGTATCAAATCTATCTGACTGTCAAGAAGGAGGGTGTTGCTCAAGTAAGTTAAAAGAGACCAGAGAGAGAGTGAGTGAGAGAAAGGGGAGGAAACTTACTGTCTGAAAATGACAGACTGCAAGCCTTGGTATCCATCGTAATGATTACTTGTTGCATGCTGAAGCAGGTGCTGATGCAAAGACCGCCAAGATCCAGCAAGTGGAGTTCAATACTGTATCTGCTAGTTTTGGTAGTTTATGTACCAGAACAAGCGAGCTTCATCGGTAAGTCTGTTCAGCATCAGCAGATGCATCCCGAATACTCAATGTTGAATTAGCTTCCTCTTGTCATCTGTAAAGGGATATGCAGGAGATCAGATTGACATAAGCCAGTTGCCTGAGAACAAGGCCATTGACTCACTTGCAAATGGTTTAGCTGCTGCATGGAAGCATTACGGCAACCCTGAGTAAGTAGATGCCTACACTTCTTTTCTTTTCCCCTATATTTAATGCTTAGAATCAAAATAGGGCCCGTGTGGTGATGATTATTCAACCTGGAGAACGCAATGCATTTGATCAACGTTGGATTGAGTACAATTTATTACAAAAGTAAGTGCAAGAATTAGGCAAGTGAAGACGACCATGTGGGGCTGATGGTATGATGGCTAGCCATGGCATTCCATTGACTCGACTCTCTCTCGAAGACCTCGCTACTCGCGCTCAACTAAATGAAACTACCAAGGCATTAGTCATGTAAGGATTTACAAGCTAAAATCTGACATGCTGCAAAATACTTGACTAACACACACTTACCACAGTGATGGATTTGAAGTGGCAGTAGCCTATTATCGTGCAGGTTATGGCCCTGAAGATTATCATTCCAAGAAAGAATGGGATGCTCGTTTGCTCATTGAGAGATCACTCGCCATCAAATGCCCTACTGTCGCATACCAATTAGTGGGGGCCAAGAAAGTGCAACAAGTGTTGGCTGAACCTGGGCGTTTAGAACGCTATGTAGATAAATCAACTGCAGATGCCATCCGTGAATCCTTCACTGGTTTATACCCTCTCGACAGTAGTCCCGAAGGTTTAGCAGCCTATCAGTTAGCCTTATCCAAGCCAGATAACTTGGTCATGAAACCTCAGCGTGAAGGTGGAGGACACAATATTTATGGCCAAGATATTTTAGCTGAACTCGAGAAATTGACTGCCGAGGAAAGAAATGCATACATTTTGATGGATTTAATCCGTAGTCCTCCTCTTGATAATCTGATGGTTCGTGAAGGTGAAATCATTACAGGTGATGTGGTCAGCGAACTTGGTATTTATGGCATTTATCTTGCGTAAGTTGTGTTTGGAATATGTATATTAATTGTGCTTCATTACTTACGTTCTCATCCAGTGATGGCGATAAAGAAATTCTTAATGACGAAGGTGGTCATTTATTACGTACCAAAGCAACGACGACTCGTGAAGGTGGTGTTGCTGCTGGATTTGCTGTCATTGATAGTCCTTTACTTGTATAAATAGATTGTTTAATTAAATAAATACTATTCCCGTTGTCCTTTATCTTTAATTTTCGTTTATTCTTAGAAACAGTTTTGCTGATTCTGAGAAAGCAGCAGCGCCTGACCACTCTATGAAGCAAGTGACATAACAGGGTTACTACGTGCTTTACCTTTCACATCCTCCTCCTCTAAACACACAGTTTTTTGTACCAATTATTATTCCTAGTAGTCAATAATAGTACGCCTTGAAGAAACAAAATGCGCATTGTATGATACTACTCTTGATAGTTCCCTCACAGCTTGTATCCAAACAGGCTGATTTTTTTTTGTTTTTTGAAGGTTTACAAAGGAAAATATGTACTACTACATCTGTACCAAACTACCTGCAACTACATGTATTGCGTAAAACCAAAACTTACCTATCATTTGAGGTTTTAGTGAGACCAGTAGCATCAGTTCTTACGGATCTACAGCATCCAATAAACCATCTCTCCCCCGCCAGATTGTCCAAAAACAATACCCCAAGGCTAGCATTTGCTACAGTGGCGCATATCATCGTTTTTTTTTGGCACATTGATATTAGCCATATCACGCCCTAAACTTATTTCATAGACTTGATCACCGCATGAAATTGAAGTATGTTGTATATCAATGATAATAAACAATGCATATTTGGCGGGGAGGAGGAGGAGAGGGGGTATATGATACTGAGACTGCCTGACAATACCTGTAATGAAATAGCCACCCAAACGCAACTTAATTGAAAACCAAAGTTCATCAAATAGCACTCATTCAAATTCATGCTATTTGGATCTATTAATGAAAGCGCTCAAATGTACATCAAAAACCCATTTAAAAATACTAAAGTAAAGATACACGCTTATATCGCACATCGTGTGAATGAATCACTCCTGATCACAGTGTATTCAATCACACCCATGATGGTCGTAATAGGTGATGGTATCTTTATCCAAATAGAATTAAATCAATAACAAGCATATTCAAATATGACAACTATGCCCTGCTGCCATAGTTGCACAATATCCCAGATAAAGGATTCCATGCTTCAATAACAAGCATCACACTTTAAACCATCAAGGTTACATTAAATCATGCTATGACGATAGCTCACCCAAGCCCATCAAGGTTACTCAAATCGACCCTTATGGCCAGTGCTCCTGCATTGACTACCACTTTAAATCAAACATCAACAACATTTGCCAGATATCGCAATAGCAGCACCTATTGCTCTCTATCATCACTAATCCTACAAGCTAGTTGCAAATGTATAAATACTCTTCTTTTTTTTACTCAATTACAGGATCTTCAGTTCATTTTATACACAAAATAAAATACAGTTGATTTCTATTGTATTTTACCTTTGCTTTATTTTTTTTGTGAAATCTATTTAAACCTGATTTCACTGCAATACCTATTATTGCATAACTGTTCCATCACATAATAAATTGAAAGAACACTACCCACATAAAACTGTTTGGTAAATGCTAGATGATCAAATGATTGAACCTTATCATACCTTTTAATAAAGAAGAATTCAAATATTAAATATTTGGATGATACCCTTTTATTACAAACACAAAACTATCATAAATGACAAATTAATAGGAAATCAACTAGTTATTGGCCTTCGCTGCTTCAACCTCTCAGCCAATCAAGTCGCTCAAAAACTCCGCTGACCTAAAAAAAATTTTGCGAGGGTTTCCCCCGGTTTTGATGTGAGGCAAAATTTTAAGCTCCGCTATATATATATATATATAGCAATATAGCTGTTGCTATCATCAAATTTCCCCCAGGTGCTAGAGCATGCCTTACTTACACCACCTAGCTTTAAATACTGGCATTGAGACCCTCAATCATCACTAAAGTAAGTAGCGATGACCAAGTGGAGGCGGCCTATCTACCTCCTGGTGTCGGATAAAGTCTTGTTGAGCTTCAGGGATAGGCACATCCACACAACGTAAAAAAGGTATGCTTCAAAGAAACATAATAATAATAAAAGAAAGAAAGAACATAATACTATAAGAGTATAGTAGTATATAGGTAAAAAAAAAGAAAAAGAAATGCTCACACGAAGCAAGTCGAAGAAAAGCATAACAAATACAACATCAAAGATGTTTAAAGAAAACTCGTTGCTGTTGCAAGAAAAATGCATACATGAGCAACGCGCATGGTAGTAATAGTCGGATGTAAAGCAATATGGCACAAATACGCACAACTGCAAAAGCAACAGTGGTATTATAAGTTTGCGATACAACATAATGACTAATATTGTTTCATGTAAAGCTACAGAGGAAACACTACCAACAAAAGAAAAAAGAAGAAAAAAGCGCAACAACGCAGACATCATGAATGCGTTATCACGAAAAAGGAAGCAAAAATATAAGCGTTCAAAGAAGTTATATATCATTGCGACCAAAAGAAAGAAGATACTTACCACTTACCACAGCCACAAATTGGCCAAAAGAGTATTATAGGCAAACACCGGAGACAGACCAGAGAACGAGCATGCACCAAATATAGTAGACCGGGAAAGACCATATAAGCAGCAGCAGCAGCAGCAACACCAGCGCCATAGAAAACCTAAAGAACGAGCGCCATCAGCAGAGAGCAGACAAAGACCAAAGAAATTACTTACCACTTATTATCACCACCACAGGTACGCCAGAGGATATGCAATCACCAGAGATAGACGAGAAAACGAGCATACATTACAGATAGCAGACCAGAAAAGACCAGACTAACAGCAGCAGCAAGACCATTAGCAACACCATTAGCAAGACCAACAGCAATACCACCAGCAAGACTATCAGAAAGACCATCAGCAAATACCAGCAGCAATATCAGCACGGTAGAAAAACCGGAAAACGAACGATGCCAGAAACCAGACAAACGCTAAAGAAGCATCTACCAGTCATAATGACCAATGATGAAGCAGACAACAGAGATATCAGAGAAGCAAGGATATCAGCACCCACGTCAAACAGGCAAAAAAATTATCAAAACCTAATAAACAAATTCGATTAGTACTAATTCTACGTCTTCCAGTGCTCGTTATCAAATGGTGCCTACTATATCCTACTTGAAAGAAGCAGTGTCAAGCACTTTTAACAGTACATGACCGTGTTATCAGAAGCTAGAGTGTTATTTTCAACCAAAAGGGTTCCAAAACCAATATGGTTTGATACTAAACGCGTTTTGCAAAAGGGATAAAAAAAAACGAGTGCATGTAAAATGAGAGAACGCCCTACTCGACGTCACGGCCAGTAGATTTGCTCTCAGCCTTCTGCCGTGGTGTCAGCCGTAACTGCTGCACTTTAATTTGAAATTGTGCAGTGGGTATTTTCGTGTTCAAATTTGACTTGATCTCACATTCTTTAAACGTTTTTGCTAAATTTGATTATGAAAACTGTCGTTGTAATACTTTACTTTCTAATGTGTTTATAAAGAGTCAATGAAGACGCATCGAATGATGCTGATTACATGTAGCTCTCAAACCGAAAATAATGAGCAATTTGCAAAAATATGAAAACAGGTTTTCTGTGAATATGTCAACATTCAGTATATGAAAGTCTCATAGAAAGAGTATCTAGTGCTGCATTCCATCTTTACGATCAATTTGGTCTAATATGTATCATAGGAAAAGTTTTCATATTTGGGGTGAAAAACGCGATCGTTTAATTTTCAAGAATTTTTCCTTGCTAATACTCATGGAAAAACGGTGATTTTCATGAATTTGGAATGACCCAAAAAAAATAGAGATAAAGCATCAGTAAGTAAGGCGTATCATAGCAGAGCCGTTTGTTGCTATTCCAAGCGTCCACAACGCCTTGTAGCATGAGTTATAATTTATTAGAAATAAATTATTTATATAAAAGAGTATGAAATTAATCAGGTAAAGAATATCGTTTATTACATTAGAAATACAAGGGTTTATATACTATTCGAATTGAGGGGTTTGATGTGAGGATAAGGTATCAGATGGGTTGATTTGGGTGATAGGATAATAGATTGAATCTATTATCCTCAACATGCCATGATTCGGATCCTAACTGAATCCTGTTTCATGTCAACGTTTATGATCTGATGTGATCTGTCCTTGAACTGATTGTTCCTACGTATTTGGAGATCCGGTTTAGAAATGATACATCAAGTTATTCGTGCTTGAAAATAGCTATCTTTGAACAAAATTCAACCTGAAAAGAGGACGTAATAGGTTGTGTCATTAAGCGAATAACTGTTAAGTACAAATAATAATCCTTTTATTCTTTGTAGCTTATGAAAAATGTTCGATATTATAAAAACAAGAAAAGACTTATTTGAATAAGATCAGACACAAAAACTAAAGATTTATTGATAAAGACAAGAGTTATTCTATTTATACTAAGTTATGAATGCCAAAGTAGCAATTTATCTTGTACAACGCTTATCACATCTGGTGAACCTCAGTATTTAGATATCTGAGATGCACTTCAATTATCATAGCTTGTCCATGTTGTTGCACAACACAGACATATCTACCCATCAAGAATACCTTAATCTTTATAGACAGTTGTAGCCCTTCTGGCACAGCAATAATTAATTAAAGCACTGCCTAAAATACGTTGTAGAATAATGATATTGAAGCAACTTTTAAGTGGGAACTGCAGTGAAATCAGGTTTGAATAGATTTCACAAAAAAAATAAAGCAATAGTAAAATACAATAGAAATCAACTGTATTTTATTTGTGTATAAAATGAACTGAAGATCCTGGAATTGAGTAAAAAAAAGAAGAGTATTTATACATTTGCATCTGGCTTGTAGGATTAGTGATGATAGAGAGCAATAGGTGCTGCTATTGCGATATCTGGCAAATGTTGTTGATGTTTGATTTAAAGTGGTAATCAATGCAGGAGCACTGGCCATAAGGGTCGATTTGAGTAACCTTGATGGGCTTGGGTGAGCTATCGTCATAGCATAATTTAATGTAACCTTGATGGTTTAAAGTGTGATGTTTGTT